TGGCGTAATTACCTAAGTGTAGTTACAAGATGAGAGCTACGCTCGTGGTGTCCCGTCTTCCCTGTACTCTTTGTCGTATAACGCTTTGACACTAATGACGGTTTTGGCCTCTGCCACCTCCTCACTTAGTTCCAACAAAATATCATCAGCTGCTTAAGGCTGGTTAATATACGACTTGCCTTTAGGAATCTGAACAAAGAGAATCGTTCAGCATCTTGTATTTTGTTTATATGGGAATATACTTCTGGAATATGTGGCACCAACGTGGAGTCCTTATCTCGTTAAACACAAAACCAAGCTGGAGAAATTGAGAGGTGTGCCACCTGGCAACTACCAGAGCTGAGAGGTATGAGTTCCGTGGAAAGACTAAAGGAGTTAAAGCTCACATATCTGGAAAGGAGAAGACATGATCACACTTTAGAAAATACTTAGGGGGAGCTGATAGGACAGACTATTTAACCGAGGAAGGACTTGAACAAATGGAGGGACTCAGAAACAAAGTACCCAAATGAGCCACAGAGACAGCATAAATATTTCTTCAGTGTCAGAAGAGCGAGTAAATGGAGGCAAACTTTATACACAGTTTTAAACCAGCCCAAATGACTCAAGTAATTAAGGTCTAGTAATCTTTGCCAGAAACGCTATGCGTATCAGAGGCTTTAGGCATTGTAAGTACTAGCTCTATCTATAGGTCCAACATTCTGCTTGTAACTCATCTTAAATGTACTTTTATTTGAATAAACATTTGATTTGATTTGAAACCCATACGGCAGTGGTTTATGGGTTGAGAGGCGGTATAGAGGAGCTGCAGCTCACCCCTCACTAGTACAACTAGGTGAGCACACCTGGCAAACATTGTCAGCTCAACTCAAGCAAACTTTTGCAACGGAAGTGAATAATTACGATGTGGATTGCAGGGCGTGGCAAAGGGGGAGTGGGGGGGGGGAGGAATAGGGAAGGGGGAGAAGGAGTACATTTCTAAGGGGTATGGGGTTTAGTGGCACGTGGGAGGGAGGGAATTGGGGTATGTAAGAGAGCAAGTGACTGGCAAGATGGAGGGGAAGAGGGAGGGGGAATGTGTGCCTATTGGCCCATACGAGGCCGCTCTTATTATAACCACCCAATCTCACTCATATATACATGTCTAACCCACTAATTTATTATTGTGTTGGTCGAGGCCTTTCTCTTGGTTCTGGTCGCTCAACGTCAGGTCCTCACACATCATTCCTCCCAGAGTCTTGACAATATTTTCTGATTTATAAACCTTTCCGATTCCGTCTTGTATACAATATACGTTTAAAGTCCATTAATATTTGTATATATATATATAAGTTTAAATTTATCTGCTGGAAAAATTTCCTCACCAGAGTTTGGTTTAGTTGTATTGAATTACTTTCGTTTTCTGTAGGAAAAACAGTTGAAAATGAAGTAAGTCATTACTTGCATTGTTGTTCATGATGAATGGTGAACATTTCAGGTCACATAGTGACAGTGTTGGAAGCTGGCAACCTGCTGGGGAAAGCCATTGTCACGCCCACACTCAAGTCATTGTAATACTCGAAATTAAAACAAATATGTATAACAACCTCTTCATCAGTATTCACATCACTGAAGCCTACAAATCCAGTGGCATGAATGTGCAAAATGTTTATTAATAATGTTCAGAATATATTGAGAGAAGATATCGTCCTTTAAATGTAAGATTTATCTCGTGTTCAATAGACGGAAATTCTAGAGAGCCAAATGGCTCTCATTTGTCCACCTGGCAGCTCACCACGAGGTGCTCCATGTAGAATATCCACTTTTTACCTTAAGCCCTGTATTTTCACATGTCTCTCTGTCTCTCTCTGCCTGTCTGTCTCTCTGCCTGGCTCTGTCTCCGTAACAGCTGTCTAACTCACAGATAGTTAGATAAATACCTATTTAATGTTTGGTAACAGGGACATCAGGGTGAAAGAAACTCTGCCCATTTGTTTCCCGCTATCAACGGGGATCGAACCCTAGTCCTCAGGATTACTAGTCCAAAGTGCTGATCAGCCACCAGGCGCCCAGGTGTCCACTCTGCCACCAGGTGTGTGTGCGCGTGTATGTGTGTGTGTGCGCGTGTATATGTGTGTGTGCGCGTGTATGTGTGTGTGTGCGCGTGTATGTGTGTGTGTGCGCGTGTATGTGTGTGTGTGTGTGTATTCACCTAGTTGTGCTTGCGGGGGTTGAGCTCTGCTCTTTTCGGCCCGCCTCTCAACTGTCAATCAACTGTTACTAATTACTACTATTTATTTATTTTTTCCACACACACATACCCACCCAGGAAGCAGCCCGTGACAACTCTTTAACTCACTGTGGCGCAGTGGTTGGAACGCTTGCTTCATACTTCCTGGCTAAGAGTTCGACTCCCTAAGACGCCAGGCGGATGTTTCGTGTACACTCCGACGCCCAGGTCACACTAACTAGGATGAGGTTAACCTGGTCACCCATTCTGCGTCTGGCCAGACCCACTGGTACATTACCGAACTAAGCGTACCCAGCATACATTATACACCACGTCCGTCGGTGTATACGCTAATGTCTCTCTTATGAACACACCAAAACACCCACAAAAATATAAAGAAAACTGAGAAATGTGAAAGAGAAAGTGGTCAAGAGATTTGAGATTTGAATTAACAGAAAATAGTGGTGGAAGCGGCGCGCGTAGGAGGAGTAACTTACGTAATAAGGTTCCCGGGAGTACTGTCCGGTTTCTCTCGACTCCCAATCCGGAATCCGGGTTCCAATCCCGATGGGACAAATTTCCTTACTAATTAATTCTTAGTTAGAATTAGGACTAAGTGTAGGTGCAGCACTTGGGTGGGGTAGGTCTTAGTGAAGGAACGCCTCACTTGTTACTTAATTTAAGATCCTCGGGAATCGAACGCCGAAACTGAAAGTAGCGACACCGTCGCTCTACCCACCAGTTTAAATGGATTATTTTGTATATATGTATTTTTTTTACCAGTGATCACTTATTATTTTCGGTAGTGGCGTCGCGTCCAGTCGTGTGGTGTCGTACTGCTGGGTGACGCACGCCTGGACCACAAGCCACACCCACACGCAGACGTGACAACTTGACGATGCTACACTTCCTCTTGGACCATTATCATGACATGATATACTCTCCAGGATGGTGGCATAGAGGGCGTCTCGCCTTCCCATCCTTCTTATGTGTCTTAGTGGGGGAGAAGGGGGCGGGGTACATTATCTGGGACCTTCACTTGACAGCCTTCCTTCTCAGCGCTCTCTGGCTCTGCCTCTATCTCTGGCGCTATCTCTGGCCCTGTCTCTGTCTCTCTCTTTCTCTCTCACACAAGTTTCATTTCCAACATACAAGCTGAGACAAGAATAACTCAACGGAATACTAAATAAAAAATCTGAATTATCGTATTTTGAAGTTTGATAACTCGGTGTAAACATTGACCACCATTTTTACAGAAGCTAAGTGCAAATAACGGAATAGTACAGAAAGTGTTCCATAACAAAAGAACAAGTGCAATATTACAGAAGGCAACAGAAAACGCAATACCATCAGCCTGGGATATAACTGCGTACGCTGCTGCTGGGGTAACTGTTATAAGCTTTATACACGATATTGGTCGCTACTCGGACCTATTTCCCTTACCTACACCCCGGACTGGGCAAGAGGAGAGGGAGACAGAGGGACATCCACGGCATGCTGGAGGTCTAGCTACCGCTGGCTCAACATGGCGGGTTTCCGTCTTCACTTATTGGCTCTCTTCTACATTTTTGGCTGCTCCAGCGCCACCAGTAGCTCGGTAAGTAGTTAGAACCGCTCGGTAAGTAGTTATGACCACTCGGTAAGTAGTTAGGACCACGACCACCGCGACTACCACCACACAGTAAGTGGCCACACCACTGAACTACCTCCAACACCACTATTCAGCGTTGTAACGACAGGTCACCTTTTTACCTATCACAAGATAAATTTGATAGCACGGATATTAACAAACATATTTGTTAATATAATAAACAGACAAATTTGATAGCACGGATATTAGTCTGTATTGGGAAAACTGGAGTTTAAGAATGGGGAGTGTTTGCCAGTTTTGCTCTCTTATTCAAGCCCAATCCCCTCCCCCCCCCACACCTCCATCACCTAAACTTTCCCATAACCTGGAAATATCCCTCCAGCACTGAAAAAATTTCCTTTGTCAGGGAAATTTCCCTATAACCAGAAAGTGTTTCCATTCACTTAAAATGTCCACATGCCTCAAAATTTTCTCTTGATACTCAAATGACATCAACACTGAGCCTACTCTATGTCACAGATGACATAACTGTCACCCAAGAGCCCGTCCTCAGACCAGACCCATTACCACACGCCCCCCCCCCCTCTCTCAAACCACCTGGATAGTAATCTAGATATTTGTGATGGTCTGAAAGCATATTACGGTTCTAGTAATAGTTTACATGTTAACTGGCAAGTGAACCTTTGTCCTAAACGGAGATTATTCTCAATTTATACCGTTATAGTATTATAAATGATTGGTTTAAAATCTAAAAACATTTTCTTTAACAAATTTGGTTTTCTGTAAACAGAAATTTTGGGTACATTGAAATATTTTTTGAATTCCAAATTTGACGTTATCGTCAATAATACACTGTATAAACGTAACCAAATGTAATGAAAAATATCTAACCCTAACCTAATCTCACCATGGATAGTGTAGTTGATAGCACTATGTAGTCTTTTTCAGTCCATTCCCTTGAGCAGCTTTCCTCCCTGAGGACAGATTGTACCCAACGGAGGTCAATTTATTTTCTATCATTAAATAACACAAACCTTCGTTTCCACTATGAAAATAAAGATGAAATTTGTATTTTCACTTTTGTATTATTAGTAATAAGTTCAAACCTTCTTGTGAAGGATATAAGATGTAACAATACATATGTAATTGTCAGTGATGGAATCATCGTTGTTGTGTACTAACCCAGTCATGTCCCACCAGAGGTGTGACGAGGGATGGACCGGTCCAGAGTGTACGTCCCCAGCGTGTCTAGCTGGGTGCCATCCCGTACATGGTAACTGTACCCAGCCCGGCCAGTGTCTCTGTGCCCCAGGTGAGTACCTGGCATCAGAGTACAATGTGAGTGGGAATATTTGCCTAAAGATGACACAAGGAATTATGTAAACATGTGAGTGGTGTTTTGACCAATGAGACTCGTCGTTACTAAAGTGCCTATTCATTCATAATCTTACCCAATACTACGACAACAACAAACGCGGCGTTGCCATTCTGCACTTTTCAAGAAACACGGGGGATAAAGGAATACTTTTCCTCAACTGTATAAGAGTATTTAGAGCAGCCCGTTCTCATAAACAAAGTCCATTCCATGCACCCGCCAACCTCCTGTTTATAATTGAAAAACGGTTTACACACGACTCAACTGATGACGTTCGAACCCTTCCAGAACTGACGAATTTTGTTCGAACCACAACGCTGTAAATGATTTACCCACGTACTACAAATACAAATAATCGCCAACAGAACCTAAACACCTAACATAACCAATGCCTAAATATGCACAGAATGCTAATATATAACAATATTAATATACATTTGAGAAAATTTCTATTTTCAATGAACAGCATGTTTAAAACTTATGAATGCGCTTGTGTGGTCGACTGCTGAATGGAATGGACTTGGTCTGAGGACGGGTTGGTTTGGAGACCTATAGGTGTCACAAAACAATTATATATATATTTTTTCAGATCAGTATAAGTTTAAGATAAGAACATGTAATGGATATGTATGTGTCATATAATGGATATGTATGTGTCATGTAATGGATATGTATGTGTATCATAGAGGTGATCAGTTGAGTGAGTGTTACACACCTACAGGTTGGCGCGGGCGGGAGTGTAGTGAGTGTATCCCTCGGAGTGGGTGTCAACACGGCTCCTGCACCACACCTGACCAGTGCCTCTGTCACCCAGGATGGTCAGGACCCCTCTGCTCAAAGCGTGAGTATATATACACACACAACACTAAGACATTCTTCTTACGGGCTCACCATAGCCCGTGCTACTTGGAACTTTATGTTCTGAGTAGATGAATCTAGAACAACAACAACCACCAAGATATCTCCATATACTGTTTCTCTCACTAAAACAACTCGCAATATAGTATTGTTTATTTGTATTTGTTGACGGCAGTATTTGTTGTATTTGTTTATTGTTGCAAATAATCTTACGTGTTTGTTTACTCCTTGACAGCTGTTTGCAGGGAAGGCTGCCACCCCAGTCATGGCTACTGTGACCTGCCAGGGGAGTGTAGGTGAGTGTGTGTGCCTGGCAAGTTACTATGGGGGAGTGTAGGTGAGTGTGTGTACCTGGCAATTACTATGGGGGAGTGTATGCGAGTGTGTGTACCTGACAGTTACTATGGGGGAGTGTAAGTGTGTGTGTACCTGACAGTTACTACGGGGGAGTAACTAGCCCAGGTGAGGGTGTTGTAGTACAGGCATACAGAACAACACACATAAAATGGAGAAAAGTGAACCTGTTACCGTGATCCATTTTCATTACGGCATTAAAGTTAAGGGAAGACAACAGTCTAAGCCTGTCAACAGGGGTCAGAGGTCATCAGCTCCTGAGCCCAGGTCACCTACAAGCCGTCGGCTGTGGTGATCCCTCAGTGGAGTGGGCATCATACCCTTAAGATCATACGATCACTCTTTACATGTCAAATTTAACAATTTCATTTTGGGTATTATCCCTGTAAAGTACCAATTGCATGTACTATGACGTCATAATGTATCATATACAACTCTGTAGCCCCTGAAATGCGGCAGCACACCCGTGGCTGGACTCTCCCAGACACGTGCATGCTTCAGAGAGTCCAAGACGGTGGTAATATCCCGCAATAGTCCAACAACGCTGGTAATATTCCACAATACTGCCTCCATGTTTTATCTTACCGACTATACCTTTCATACTGACAGGTGTCGCATAGGATGGACGGGGCCCACCTGTGAGGAGTGCAAGCCGCTGCCTGGCTGTGTCCACGGCTCCTGCACTAAACCCCTAGAGTGCAAGTGTGACTCTGGGTGGACAGGCGGACTCTGTCAGACCCGTGAGTACTTGTGTTTCACTCTCTCGCCAGGGGAGATGAGTGTATTCTTGTGTATGTTGATAAGTGTTCACTTTTGTAAGTGGATAAGTACACACACACACACACGCTCAGGAATCTGTACACCAGTTGATTGACAGTTGAGAGACGGGACCAAAGAGCCAGAGCTCAACCCCCGCAAGCACAACTAGATGAGTACACACAGACACACACCCATGCAATAAACCCGTCTCCCTGTGTCACTGTCGGTGATGATTAGAATACATGGTTCAATCACGCATGTAAGGAAGCACACCAATAAAAATGTTAGATTAGTGTTAAACACCTGCCCCACACTCTACAGCTGTATGTGAGACCTGCCCCACACTCTACAGCTGTATGTGAGACCTGCCCCACACTCTACAGCTGTATGTGAGACCTGCCCCACACACTACAGCTGTATGTGAGACCTGCCCCACACTCTACAGCTGTATGTGAGACCTGCCCCACACTCTACAGCTGTATGTGAGACCTGCCCCACACTCTACAGCTGTATGTGAGACCTATATACACCCTGCCCCTAATGTTAAACACCTGCCCCACAGTGTAACCCCTGTGATGGTTGTGAAAGCTGAAAGCTAAAACATGGGAGTTATGATAAATTAGTTTAACATATACTCTGACAAGGTTAAACAATTATCACCGGCACTCTTAAGTCCTTCTTAGTCACTCTCTCTCACCATTCATAATAATACATTCATAATACATTTCCCATGTACTTGTTCCCATTCCAAAGACCTGGTGACCTATGTTTTCCTCTGATAACTATACATCTCTTGCCCGAAGCACACTATTCAACGAAGTGTTTGATAATGTTGATGTGGTAGCTCATGAACCAGCAAGGAACCTTCAGGTTACATACACAACTGGCTACTCTACTATGCTCTGCTGTTTCCAGGTGGCGGACTCTACTCTCTCTCCCAGGACACACTGGGCAGCTCTCTTCTCTCTCTCTCTTCCTTCATGCTTCCTCACCTTCTCACAAAGTGGAACTCGTCAAACGTTTTAGTGAACTCTTCAGTAAAAAGAGTATAATAATAATTTTAATTCAATGTGTTGGGGGACAGGCAGCCAGTGTGTGTGTGTACAGTGTACATTTTAGGCTTATGTCAAGGTCCTCCCCCACACGGTGGAACTACTGATCCCGCCCAGGATGCAGCCCCACAACAAGCTGACTAACTCCTGGGTACCTATTTACTGCTAGGTGGACAGGGGCATTGGGTGATAGGAAATACACCCCAATCATTTCTGTCCCACCCGGAATTCGAACCCGGAATTCCCGATTGCGAGTCGAGAACGAACCCGACTGACCTGCAATTGCTAGATACCTTCGTATTTCTTATATATGTAAAGTAGCTGCGAACTGTAATAATATCCGTCTCTGAAATGATTCACTCAAACTTAGCTCAAACAAGATGCTTTTTTTCCATTATTGTTTGCTAACTTGATACACTGTTGAAAGTCAAGAGCCAGTGTACTTGTATTAGTACACTGGTAGTTATATTAACACTAACCAAAGATGCTATGAAATAGATGGCAATATTACAAACCACATCAAAAATGTGCAGATGACATCTGTACATTGTGCAGATGACACAGATTTGTCGTAAAGTAGGAAGTGAAAATGATATTGAGGCGTTATAAAGAGATCTACATGAACTCTACTAATGGTCAGAAAACTGGTAAATGTTATTTAATAATGATAAATGTAAAACCTCCTCATGTGGGGCATAACAACCCACGCCACAACTACCTAATTAACAACATTACCTTGCAGCAGACTGGTGAAGAAAACGACCTTGGCGTCAGAATCAATCATTCACTGCAAGTTGCACAACAAGTGGGAACAGCAGTAAAAAAAAATGGCTAACCAAACCCTAGGAATGGTCAAGCGTACCGTTGACTTTAAGGAAAAGAAAGTAGTTATTCAACTGTATAAATCTCTGGTGCGGCTCCATTTGGATTATTGCATCCAAGCATGGCGACCTCATCTTTAGAAAGACATAACTGCCCTGGAAAAAGTGCATTACCAGGCAACACAAATCATTCCAGAGATAAGTCATCTCTTGTATCAGGAACGGTTGAGGGCCACGGGGCTAACAACACTGTAAACCAGTCATGATAGGGCGGGTCTTATCGAAACTTTTATAATACTGAACAATTTGGAGGATGTTGATCCGGACAATGTCTTCAGAAGGTCAGATGTAACACAAACAAGGAGCAACGGTTGCCCTGTCATGCTCAACAAGCCACAATGTAGGACCGAAAACAGGAGATGCATTTTTACTCACAGCAATATAAAACCATGGAACCGCCTACCCGCCGAATCTGTAAATGCCAAAAATGCTGCTGAATGTCAAAATTCAACTCGATAAAATCCTCAGGACAAATGGAGGGACCTTTGCCAAGCCACCGGCTTCCTGTCCTCGTCGAGGCCACTAGAGAGTTATTAGCCCTCAGGTTACCGCGAGAAAGATGTTGAGGTGACCACACCCTCACGCTCACTCCTCACAAATGTACTTCACTTCATTTGAACTCACTCGAGTCATTCAGATCAGTTTTATTCAGATCTTAAATGAAATTCTATATCAAGGGTACCCACTTGTCCATTTTTCTGATGCTATTAGAGATGTAAATGTCAAAACAAATGACATTATTTAACAGTTTACAACCCCAATATTGGGGTTGTATGCAGGTGAACAATGGAAGGGAAGCTGGCAAACACTGACCTTGCTAAGTTACATTGTGAACAGCGGAAGTGTTGAAGACGTGTCTTACAATGTCCTCCTCACACTCCCTCAGCTCTCATGCCTGGCCTCATCTCCACACCCACACTTGAAATAACAATTCAGACACGAATATCCTTTTCTCTGTAATGGATCCACCCATCCAGCAAACACCAAATACTCTATCTCAGTCATCCGCTTATCACTGGCCATAACAAACTTGCCAAATATATCACTTGATTGTGAGGAAATGTAACTTCAGAATAAGTGATGTAAATATTACTGTAGTAAGCCTCCGGTATAGAATACAAGAACTATTCAACAGAGAAGGCTGGGAGGTCCCCAGCTGGATATTGGGGCTTAAAGAATTACTGTCAGAAAGAGATGACTTGTTGACAAGTATCTTATGATCCCATGTTGCGTGAGCTGTGTGTTTAGTGAGCGTGTTGCAGGCTCGCTAAACACACAGCCTACTGGATGCCTACTACTGCAGTAGTAGGCATCTACTACTAAGAGGCATCGCCTCTTAAGTCTCTTGATGCAGTACTGAAGCTCTGCAAATTATTATAATATCTTCATATAATTAGTTTGTTAGTTACTTCATTTTAAGTTACTAATACTACTGCGACCACTGTTGCAATTATTAGGCTTACTACTGTTTATACTACTGTCATTATTAGGCCTATTGTTGTCATTATTAGGCCAAGTGTAGGCATTACTAGGCCTACAGTTGTCATTACTAGGCCTACAACTGTTACTACTAGTCATTACTAGGTCTACAACTGTTACTCCGAGTCATTACTAGGCCTACTACTGTTTTAACTACGGTTGTCATTACTACTACACTGAACCAACATACATCACTCAAACTGTAAGGCAAAATTGTTTTCCCATATATTTCTATAAAATGAAAGTGAGTTTTTCACTGGTGTTGGGCAGACGAGTCCAGGGAGAATACTAACAACGTGTACACGGAGCTACTAATACAGTCCTCTAACCTAAGCTCTTGGTCCCCAGCTGTGTGTGGCCACAACTGCTCCAAGGTTCACGGGCACTGTACCAAGCCGGGAGAGTGCAGGTACGTCTTTCAACTTAAAGCATGTACCTTTCTGTGTGTGCACCGCCCTGGGTGTACCTCTGTACCTTTAATGAAACTTCTTCATTATAAGTTACACCATTTTATTTACTTATCTAACAACAATTCTTCTGATTTAAATCCACTATTGAGTCTCGGTAGTAAAGATGGCCTTTAGTATTATTTTCCTCGATGGTGCCCATGTAAAAATTACAAAACAGTACTAAGTACTATTCCATGCAGCCGCCAAACCCCATGTTTATGAATGAAAAACGATTTACACACGACTCACAACTGTTGACGTTCGAACACTTCCTGTGCTTCACTGACGACTTTTGCTCGAACCACAACGCTGTAAATACTTCACCCACGTACTACAAATACAAATAATCGCCAACAGAACCTAAACACCCAACCTAACCAGTGTCTAAATATGTACAATATGCTAATATAACAATATTAATTGATATTTGAGAAAATTAATGTTTTGAATGAACAACATGTAAATATTGATGAATGCGTCCTTGGGGTCGACCGCTGGATGGAATGGACTTGGTCTGAGAACGGATTGTCCCAGAGTTCGGTCTTTGACCTGGCCTAATGTAGTTTGTGATCTGGTCAACTAGGCTGTTGAACGCTGCTGGGTTTTCGTACACATTCCATTATGCATAAATAATCAATCAATGACTTACTTAACATTAGTAACCCAACTTATTTTAATAGTCTAAAGAGACACAAGCGACGAAATTCAAACTTTAGTAGCTATGGACTTTCAAAAAGTAGCCCAATTCACCACTATTAGCCCAATAGAGCAACACTGGACAGTACTTACCTCTTGTTCCTCTGAGTGCATCTTGTTACAGTCCCGTTCCTGTGCCAGGTAAGCCCGGGCTACTTGCAACTGTTTGTTCAGAGTAGTTGACTCTAACCCAGCCTGTGAGTGTGCAGCTGGGAGCCCGGGGTACCCTCAGGGGGGTGATGTCACCATCGACTCGCACATGTCACTGCCATTCTCCAACATGATTGGCTGAGAGCCTCCAGCCCAGTAGTTGACTGGTTAACGCCTCTCTCAATTTCTGCAACAAAATTTATTGACGTCACCGATTACCCAAGCCTCTATGGTTTGAACTAAATTTCCACAGCCAACATGCTATCCTGATTGAAATTGACAGCTAGGAACAAATTGACTGTTTTTTGTTAATATACGTCCTGTGTCATCCCTCTTAACTGCCCCTGTTAATTTTAACTAGTTTCTAGTTAGTCTGAAAGATGGTGCTTGTTTTAATTGCTAGTACAGCCTGCGGCAGAATTTTTTCCCTAATGAGAGTGGCATTGTAAATGAAACTGTAAAGCTTGTAACTAAGAGAAAAATATATAGACATTTACATACCAGTGTGCTTAGACATTTACATACCAGTGTGCTTAGACATTTACATACCAGTGTGCTTAGACATTTACATACCAGAGTCTAGCACAGGTTTAGCAATTAATTTTGTATAGAGCAACACACAAGATGTACAGTGATCACAACACAGCAGTTGCAACATCAGGATCTGCGGGTTGGTACAAGAGTTCAACCAACTACCAACCACTTAGTTTGATGAAAAGGAGCAGTAAAACAACAGAAGTATACTTACACCGCATCAGGCTTGGATACCCATGTGCATGGGGACTAGGCTTACAGGTTCCGGAAGATGAGAGGAAATGTCAGCACTGTGGAGAAATGCCCGACAGACCACTGGAACATTATCTATCACAGTGCAGTTACAAACCAACTGAGATTTAGCAGTGCAGTAGTTGCTAAACACATTGGACATAATCTTACTGAAGTCAACAGACGTGTCATAACACACACACACACACACGTCATTCCCCAGCATGTGTGAGGTACAGGCGGCTCTACCGATTACAGGTGTCGCCTCACTACAGCTACTATTACAGTACACGGGTGTGCATAAACTAGAAACCTTGGATTACAGATGCGAGTCACTAACAGTTGTACATTAATTACAGGTGCGATGTGGGGTGGTGGGGCGAGAGGTGTGACTTGTGCTTCCCTTACCCTGGGTGTGAACACGGCACCTGCACACAGCCCTGGGAGTGTACCTGTAACCCAGGATGGACAGGCATGCTCTGCGACACCCGTGAGTAGCCACACCAGTTGATTGATCGTTGAGTACACACGAAGTGGTCTCCCTCGCTATCTTAAAGCCTAGTATTTATGAAGATTAGCCAGTCAGGGTTTCCTATTACCCTCGACAAGTAACGGGGTCCACAGAGGCGAGATGCAACTCTTGATTAAATATATGTATTATTTAATTCTTAAATAGTGCACTTAATTCACCAGAAATAAACAACTTGTCCTGTAGGCTCACATCCTCCATACATCCTGTCTGAACTGAACGCAACTGAAAAACTAATACTATCCTACTCTACATTTGTCGTAAGATAATCCAGGTCAGAAACATCCACCTCTCCTGGTTAGGGAATAAATCTTTGAGGATATATTTGGATAAATCTTTTCTGAAATGAGTACACACAGATATACTATCTTAGGATTAATGCTGGCCCACAACTTCACTACACATTATGTCCTACAAAAATAACATCATAATTCATTATCACCACCATTACATGCCATATAATAGTCCTCGATCACATTCTCTTAACCAATGTCCTTCCACAAAGTAGTGGTTTTCTTTATTTACTTAGCTGTGCCAATAATACTGTGCTCATCTGGCAACTCCGTCGGCTCTTGCTGGATAAAGCTGGATATATAAGATCAGTATTACAAGTTTCAGCCCCGCTCCTGTGCCAGGTAAGTCCATCATGGGCTCACCATAGCCCGTGTTACTTGGAACTTTTAGTTCCCAGTAGCTGAATCTTAAACAACAACAGATCAGTATTACCACAAGAGATACCAAGTTTAGAGATCTCTCACCTTCCATTGCGTCAGTCACACGCCTTCCACATGATGAACAAACACAAGAGGAATGAAGGTATATGTGAAGGCCAAATCCACGGTGGATCCTAGACTCTTTATCCTCGTCTGGATTCTGTCCTCCATTGTCTTTCAGACGTCTCGTGTGATCCTTCTTTGAGCTCGTCGTCTGAAACTGATGGCGATGGAGACCATAATGCTTCCCCAAAGAGGAACATTCCATCCTGCAATCATCAACTAAGAAATAAATTCAACCCACATGAAAGAAAGGGGCAAACATTTATATTATATTATATATATATATATATATATATATATATATATATATATATATATATATATATATATATATATATATATATATATATATATATATATATATATACATACCTCGAGCACCCTCATAAACACCGTCAAACAATATCCTCCCGCAAGATAGCAGCCTGACGATTAAAGGCGACCTTAGCGCAGTATACATTTACTAAACAAAAAATCTACGACTTACGGGCCACCTCTTGGGTGGCTCAATCTTCATCAATTAATCAATCCAGCTGCCGTCACTCCCAGCCAAGTTGACGGGACACACTGCTCGTCTCCTCCCTTCATAGCCGCCTCCTAAAAAATCAAAACCCGCCTTAGGCTGCCTTCTTCAACATAAAAATACCGTCAAACTGTGGATTCAAAATGGCGACCATCCCCAGTGGCGCCGGATGGCTTCTTCCCAAGCATTCTTGACTTACACGTGGGCCCCGGGGCGCCCTCAGGGACGACGTCCGTCCCTCCTCCACTGCTGGCTTGCTGCTCCAGCCTCCCCACGGCACGAGGAGCCCTCCACCACGCGAGATGAGCCACACGAGGTGGAGACAACTTCAGCAACACGGAAGACACATCCTCCTCTCGCCGCCGCCACCGCCTGAGTGACCCACGAATCACGGCTGCCAACTTAATTATCAGTTTTACATAACAAAAATGACGTGAAAAAGATCTAGAAATATCTAGATTTTACATATTTTCATCTAAAAAATTGTTTTAACTATACATTACGTATTGGTAATCCTGCAGCACAGTTTATGAAAACATAAATAATAACACAGAAATTTAATGAAATAATAAAGTAGTAATGCTACTTATCTTGATATTTCTACATTAAGCAAAACAAAAAAATCATCCTCGTCATCTTGAGCACAAGATGGGTCAGGTTGAGAAGAAACGGACAAGATCTTTTTGTGTAAAGACATTGTTGAAATGTCATTGAACACCTTGGATTTGTAAGTTTCTCTAATCTGGATAAACTGAATTTGACATCAAAATGGCATTTAGCTCTTCTAATTCAATTTTATTTCTCTGTATGGATTTTTATAAGTCATCACGCTGAACACAGTTTCAGGACTTAAATGCGGTAATATAAATGTGGCACGCTTACCAATTTCTTGAAATGGATTTGAACTGGCGGCAACTTTAAATTGAAGAACTTCTTTACAGAAGAAGTCTGTATCTGTTTTGTTATTCCAATCAAGTAAATTTATTTTTGTTAACTGGTATTCAGCCTTCGCTGTTGTTTCTTGTGGAGCATCTGAGCACGTCATAACTTCACACACTGAAGAGATGTCTTTGCTTGGCTGCAACATATTATTTCCTGAAAGAAGAGATGTTTTGCAAAACTTTTTTATCAGTTTCTGCTTCAGCTGTTGAAACACACACAAGAATTTTTTTTATCGGTGTCTCAAAAATATAGTCTTCATATGTTGTATTAAGCTTATTGTCTCTTAATTCTTCAGTTTTTGTTTCATAGCAGAAACCCAGATGTGATTAAAACTAATTCTTATCCTGATCCCTTCAGAGTGCGATATAGCCTAATGGCTTGGCGCTTTCTCCTGATAACTCCCTCCTTTTCCTCGTATTTCTTACAAGGAAGTCCAAGATGATCCTCAGTGCCTAATTTTGAATTTTCTTAGTGCTTACAAAGATTCAGTCAGGCATTAAAGGAATCAGCTGAGCAACTAAGTCAAGCAAGCATCTGATTTTTTTCAAAGGTCCATCTCTTAATTAAAAAAATGTGGCCTTAGTCTTATAGATGGGATGACCTTGCAGCATCTTGATCTTGTATACAGATTTTGAAACCGAAACATTTGAATCTCATTACATAGTCTGGATTCTGCTGTAACCTGCACGTTACTTTGGGAGTACAAATAGCCTAAGCTACTCTATCCCTTTGAGATGTATTTTTTCTCTTGTCTCAATAAACATACTTGAACTTGAACTTGCAAGTTACTAACATACTCACACATATTAAACAACAGTTTGGAAGGTATTCGTTATTTTCATTATCTTTGAAGAGTTGTTTTTAGTTTGTTTATTTAGACAGTAATAGGATTATCTGATTGGTACACGTGTTAGGATGCAGGATGATTGTGTTGCCAGTATCTCTGAGGTGTTTATATGTGCAATATACTGTGTTGCAGGAGGAGAGTCAACGGGCTGGTTCTGTGAGCGTCACCAGGGCTGGTGTCTCAACGGCGGTACCTGCATAGACGTTGCCGGCGGCCGCAACTACACCTGCTCCTGCCCGTCTCTGTTCACAGGGCAGCGCTGCGACTACCTGGCCCACCTCGCCCCCGACCACCACTCGGCACGGACCGGCCTCATCCTCCCCACAGGCAGCCGCCACAACGTGCACATCATCTCCCCGGACACCTTGTCTTCCCTGGGCACATATTCCATGACCCAGCCCACAACGGGCATCCCCGAGGACACGGACGCCGATGTGACCGACGAGGAGGACCCCAAGGATGCGCGACGACGCTTCCTGCAGAAGCATGCACGAATATCCTTCCGTCAGCCCAAGCTAGCGAGCAGCGAGGAGGACTCAGATAAGCTGCCCTTCGCCGTGGTAGAGAGGAAGCTGCTTCCACTGCCGGTGGTGCTGCCTCGGGTGAGTGACATCACCCGAGACGGGCGACGCTTCGCATACAAGCCCGCAAACAAGCAGTCGACGCCTATAATTATCCTAGGTCTCAGAGCTCCCGAGAACATACAGGAGAAAGTGCAGGCTTCCGAAACTTCGGGGAAAAACCAAATAAATGAGAACAGACGGTTTCTCCGGCACCAGCAGGAGTCTCCGGGCTTTGTTACTGACGCGGTCGAGAGCGGGCACCAGCCTCCTCAAGAGGGGCCAGTTCTGGTGAAGGTGCTCAACTCTCAGCGTCGACCCATACTGGTGAGCTCTCAAGCCAGAGCTCTGCCGCGGTCCAACACCGTGAGCCCAGCCACAGCCAGGACCTCCCCGGGGACCAGGCAACAACCTCCCGTCAGCAGCGGCCCCACCAACACCTCCACCACACCAACTCCTGCTACTCCAGATACTTCAGAAAAGCCGGTCGCCACTACGCGACCATTTTGGAAGGCCCGACAGGTGACACCGACATTGGGGTCCTCAGAAAGAGCTTCAGTGTTCACGCCGGCGCCAGAGGAAGTGGATGTCGTGGAGGGGCGGGAGAGCGTCGTCCAGACGTATTACAACGAGAACGTTAACGGTAGAGTCCACATCGGCGACACCAGTAGTGTGGACGATGCCGCCCCTCACAAAGAGATCTTTGATGCCTTTATCGAACTCAAAAAAGTGTGAAGAGAAAATGCACGCTGTAATTACGCCATGTGTGACCCAGAGCACGTTATGCAGCGTAAGGGGACAAAGATTTACGCACAAGTGTTCAGTGATGTGTTATAATATATTAATGCTGATTTACGCCTGTGTATAGATGGAGTGCGTAGCACAACTCTGTCCGTTCCCCAGGAAACGGCTCTGTTCAGGAAATTCCTGCTACCCACTCACCCTGGACGGTAGAGCGACGGCTTCGCGTCTAGCTGGTCAACGTTTTATCCCTGACCATCCAAGTGATTGGGAACTATTTCTTCCTATCCTAAATCCTTATCTCCTATCCTAAATCACAATCCCATCCGTGTGCTATTTAGTCATATCAAGCGCTTTCTACAGATAATTCCCTTCCTTCACTCATCATGCCACATCTGTATAAATGGACAATTATATAACCTTTCATTTTTATGTTCCGAATTGCTTGGTCATGTCTAGTCAGGTTGTCTGCCGGCCTAGACGATCAATACAACTGCACTGTGCATCCTCACAGGCACGCTTTAACTGTACTAGGCATCGTGCTGCTCTCACAAAATGCTCCAAAACAAGGATGAACTTTGAGCATTCTTTCTGTGCTGTATTTTTAAATATATCATTATTGTTCATTACAGTAGAGCCTTGTGGCTTCTGACTTAACTTATTCAGTATCAGACTTTTATTATAGCTGTAATGTTTTAGTTCTGTGTTTATTATTTTTTAATTTTCTCATTAATCTTCTCATTATGACGTCTTAACTAGGAAGTTCGTGATTGTTGCTGGGGGTTCCTAGTAGAAACACAGCACAATCAGTGCGTTAATTACATGAATGAAAAATTTTCAGTCTTTAAAATTCTAATTTGTCTACAAAATTCTCATCAACTTTGTAATTCTTTATAAAAAAAGATATTCAAGATTTTGCATTTCAATAGACCAAATTTGTAAATTTATTATATTTGTCGCTGAAGTATAAGATCTGGTTAGGCTATATATGGTTAGACATTAATGTTTGGTAAGGTTAGCTTAAATATTTGGCTGTCATCACAAATACTTGGTTAAGTCAAGGAGGTCAAACTCCTTTGCTATGGCCGGCCAGATTTCATATGATTTAACATGATGCGGGCCATGACAAGGACGACCTTCCTCCTCCTCCTACATGTAATGCTTGACAAGAATATTTTCCTTCCGTCAAAAATAGTCGAATTTCAGCCAAATTCTCAGCAACTCGTTTAAGGACAGAACCTCTCGAAACAGGAATTGTTGAACATAGTCCTCAGAACACAGAATTCACCTCACTCAGAAAATTGTGAAATTGTCTTTCTTTACCAAACACGCCCAGAAATATCATTAACTGTTTTGGTTACAATGTCAACTCTTCAGGTTTCTTAAGCGTTTGCACTCAAAGCCTCGTGCACAATACAATGAAAGCCTATCACTGGATGCCCAACATAGTTTGACAAGTGGTTCACAACAATCTCTATGAAGGGCAATATACGTCTGCAATGAGTTACTTTCAAAGTTTCTAGACCTGTTCCACACCCACCCAACTTGGCAGGCGCTGTACAGTCGTCATGTGAATGTATTACACACAGAAAACAAACTTTGGATACTTAGCTAAGATATCTGGTGTCATCATTTTGAATGAAGTACTTACACATTTCTTCAACACATTTGAAAGAGTTATCAATTCAGCATTTTTTTGCATTTGATTACTGCTTGCCGCATGCCAGCAAAAAATTGATGGCATGAAGCTCTCGATAGAGAGCTTCAGGGATAGAGAGCTCTCTAGCGCACCTCCTCTCGGTAACGTCACAGGGGAAGCTCTGGCGCGCTCTTCCTGCCTCGAGCCGAGGGCGCCCGCCGTCTTGCAACGTCACGCCCTGGGAGCCACGCCATTGGTCAACAACACCACACACACACACACTACTGACCAATCAGTAGGCGGCTGGCGCGGCTCCCACAATGCATTGTCACCCTCATCCCCTTGGGCGGCAAAGCACTCTTCCACTGAGGATCCCCTCCGCCATCTTTTCCTGGCAGACAAAACATAAAGCCATTCTCCCAACAAACAAGAATCATATTTGCGTCAACCGACAGTTCAGACTTCTCCTTAAATGTACAAAATCTCTTTCCTATGTTTCAAAGTATATACAAGTCAGGGACTCTTATAAGCGGGATATAGGTTAAAATAGGGTTGAACTCCGTAACACATGCCACTCTGGGCACTGCTGATCCACAGCAGTTGTCTAACTTCAGGATACTTGTTCACTATTAGGGAAATAGCGGTATCAGGCGTAAGGAAACGTCCCCAACTGTCTTGCCCTGCACGTGAATCGAACCCGGGACTATTCGGTTGTGAGTCAATTATGTTGGAACCTCTTTGTTGCACGACTCATAACTAATTATATAAGCTAAAAAAAAACCACTTGAGCCCCAGAATCCTGTTAGAATAGATAAACAAAAATAAAAATGTAGCCCTAAACAAAAATCGACCTCAGAGAGGCGTTGTTTATGGCTTTAGGTAACATCCGCCACCCCGGGTCTCTCCCGTCACCCACCCGTGACCCTGGGTCTTTCCCGTCACCCGCTAGTAACCCTGGGGTCTCACCCGTCACCCGCCAGTGTCTCTGGGTCTCTCCCTTCACCCGCCAGTGACCCTGGGTCTCTCCCGTCACCCGCCAGTGACCCTGGGTCTCTCCCGTCACCCACCAGTGACTCTGGGTCTCTCCCTTCACCCGCCAGTGACCCTGGGTCTCTCCCTTCACCCGCCAGTGACCCTGGGTCTCTCCCGTCACCCGCCAGTGACCCTGGGTCTCTCCCGTCACCCGCCAGTGTCTCTGGGTCTCTCCCTTCACCCGCCAGTGACCCTGGGTCTCTCCCGTCACCCGCCAGTGACCCTGGGTCTCTCCCGTCACCCGCCAGTGACCCTGGGTCTCTCCCGTCACCCACCAGTGACTCTGGGTCTCTCCCTTCACCCGCCAGTGACCCCGGGTCTCTCCCTTCACCCGCCAGTGACCCTGGGTCTCAGAGACACATCGTCACAGAAGAAATATTAGACACAAAATTAATGCTATAATAGTTAGAGTAAGAAAAGACCAGAACAATAATTGCACTAGTACATACAAAGGGTAGTTTAAGTCAAGTAATATTCCTCCCTTCTGTCGCTCTTCTGTCATCTGTTTCTCTTCTTTCTCCTGTTGCTCTTCTTTCTTCTGATTTTCTCTGTTCTGTTTTAGTTTTCTCTTCTGTTCTTTCTTCTCATCGACAGTCTCTCTCTCCAGACTGATCACGGCCCGTGAATCATGGGGCTTTTTACTAAACCTGTACTGGAGCCTCCAGGGCGTGCGACCGCGCACTGGGGTAGCAGAGGCCGTGGAGGGCTTCCCGTCACCCAGCAGGAACTGGATGTAAACCCCGTCACCGCGCGCCAGTGCCCGCAGGAGCTTCCAGTCGCGCTCTAGTGCCTGCACTACGGAGCGGAGGCTGAGTATCAGGCGCTCCAGCCTCTCCGCGGGCTTGTGGAGGTTGACCTGGAGGGCCCAGGCCAGGATGAGGAGAGGGCTGAGGGAGAGAAGAGCCTTCACCATAGTGTGGACCAACCACCAGGTGCCAGCCGGGGGGTCGCCGCGCCCCGCTACCCTCCACAACATATCATACAGGTAAGGGAGAGTGCCGACGACAGGCACCCAGGACCAGAGGCTTCTCCTGATGGGGGTAGTTGGCCACCCGAGGTGTTTCCTGGTGACAGTCAGCCATGTCTCCTGCAGGCGCTGCTCCGCCTGGCGCAGCTCCCAACACCCGGCCTCCAGCACCGACCACACTACGATGCTCAACATTACACAATAAAACAATTTCTTTCTGTTGTTAAGCATTTTTAAATGCTTTAAACTATAGATTTTGTATTTAACATTACTATGTTGCACATCTACAACATGGTTGTACATTCATCTACATCTGTTCATCTATGTTGTCGATGTACAACATAGTAGATGGTGAATTTTTGACGCGGAATTGGTCGTTAAGGTGTGTAGTGAAGATGAACGAGGTGTGCATAGTAATGATTAGTATGACCTGAGGTATAGCGACACCTGAAGTATGGCGACACCTGAAGTATGGCGACACCTGAGGTATGGCGACACCTGAGGTATGGCGACACCTGAGGTATGGCGACACCTGAGGTATGGCGACGTCGGTGTTGGGAACCACAGTGGCGAGCAATAAAACAGTCCTTAGTGGTATTCACCTAGTTGTGCTTGCGGAGGTTGAACTCTGGCTCTTTCGGCCCGCCTCTCAACTGTCAATCAATCAATCAACTGCTTTTTTTCACACACACATACACACATCCCCAGGAAGCAGGTCGTACCAGCTGCCTAACTCCCAGGTACCTATTTACTGCTAGGTGAACAGGGGGCATCAGTGTGAATGAAACTGTGCCCATTTGTTTTGCCGAGACTATCATTTGAGCGATTGCGTCCTGTGTGCGAGGGCAGCGATATGAAATCGCGGTGTGGTCTCCCTTACACAGAAGGCAGAATTTGGCGTCAGCCTTGCAGGTCGTGTAGTGATGATCCTGAGCGCTAATGCTGCACTTGGCGACACTTGAAACATTGTCGTGGAGTGTAGACTCGTTCCTTCTTCACCTGGTCTGGTAAAATCTTGATGCCAAAGCACTTGAGCCCTTGTGAGGTGGCAAGGTCCGCTGCCTCGATTGTGTTGAAGGTAAGTTTCAGGTTTGGTCGGGGATCGCTGGCTTCTTTCTTCAGAATAGCCAATTCGGTCGTTAGAACTGAAGGGTTTACAGAGTCGATGGTGTTCAGAGTGTCGTCGACCTTGTGTTCGGTGATCTAAGTGGTGGTTCCCCTGATGAAAACTGTTGTCTCAGCTAGGAAGTTCCGTGGGTAGGTGAGGTAGAGGAGCGCTGCTCGTAGCGTGCGCTGGGGAGGTCGTACATACAGTAAGTCGAGGTCCGCCTTTTGGGAATAGTGAAGAGCAACTTGCTCCCCCTCTTGGTGGATATCGACGGGTGTAGTGATGGAAGCGGCATTGATGGTTCGCAGTAATTGATTTTTCGTGAATGTCTGGTTGTCTAGGAATTCAACCTTCACTTTGTGCAGCATGGTAAAGGTGGCGCTGCGTCATGTAAACTATAGCTGGTGACTGCTTCCGGATGCTGTAATTGCAGGCGAGATATTAATCTTTCCTTTAATGACATGTTAGTGGACATCTGTCTGAGCTCCAACCAAAACCATCACGACTGTTGAACGAGGTATCAAGAGTTGGCGGACAGACCGCCACAGGGCCGAGGTTGAGAATAACCAGAATTTTGTAACTAGAATTAATACGGTTATCATCCAGGTTGTAATATCGGGGATATGGTACAGTGCTAATGTGATCTGATAAATTATTACAGTGCGTGGCTCTACAGAGCTCCGGAACATTAAGTGTGCAGTGTTATAAATATATAAGGATTAACTAGAATATTCTTTCGGCTGTAATCTTTGGATATGTTTACATAGACCTGTATTTACGTGGCAGCTTATGATAAATTGTGTTTAGGAAGTGGAAGTTGCATATTAGAGTTGACACAGCAGATATAGATGACATGTACATATATCTCTTGGGTGGAAGCCTATTCTCATTATATAGAGGGAGCTCATATACCTGTGTGTAAATTACAATGTTTAACCCATGTCCTGGAGGTAAGACTCAGGTCTAATATTGAAGCGTTGGTTACAGGTATTGTCCTCATTTAGTACCATTGTATTTTTTCAATAAATGTTAAGGCTGCTTAATTAGGCATTTTCCTCATTGTCACTGTTGATCAATCACTATTAAGAGAAGACAAATGCCGGTGGCTGCTACTTTAATATTAAAGATGAGTGGGAAACAATAATTATTGAGGGTTGGAGGAGGGTTACCCGAGTGCACAGATGAGAGAGTAGCACCCATGGGGTTCCACAGTGGGTGTGGCACAGCAGGTGTTGCCGGTGTCTATAACATCTGTAGCGTGTTCTTAAGGTGTTGTACATACAGGTGTCAATAGAGAGGAATGGTATTTGTTTTCTTTGTTTATCATTTACTGAGGAGAGATAAAGGGCCCTCCTCACTCCCAGCTTCCTCACATACCACTCCGGGTTCTTCGTGCACACCTTCAGCGTGTCCGCCCATCATCTTCGTCTGCTTGCCTCGTCTCCTGGGAGCCTCAGGTTCCCTTGGAACACCGTCTCTGTGCCTCTTAATCATTAACCATTCCTTCAACATGGCCAACCAGTATGGTGTCAGCAGTTTTATAGTTCACTGACTTTTGCACTCCATCTCTCTCTCTCTCCGTGACTCATTCATTGCTTTATCTTTATCTTCCCTTTATTTAAAGGGAAGATTTTTTACTAAAATTTAGTAAAATTTTTTGTCATTTTTGATTGATCAATTAAAAGGCGATTTGAGTAGGATCATTGATAAACATTTATCTCACGAATACCTTATTAATATCCCATTATCTCATCAAAGACATTGTACCTCACCTCACCTATTTCCTGCCTATATATCCACACTACTCTCTCAATGACGACGACCATTTGGTCACCACTTGGTCCGGGAGACATCTCCCGTCACGCAGGGTGCAGTTGCGCCTCCACAGATCTCCAGTATCATCTTTTGATACTGGTAATGGCTCGAAAGGGCCACCACTTACGGGCTATTCATGCCCGTGCCACCTCTTGGGTGGCTTAATCTTCATCAATCAATCATCAATGACGACAAAGTTACAGCCCCGCTCCTGTGCCAGGTAAACCCACTACGGGCTCACCATAGCTCCTGTTACCTGGAACTTTTTGTTCCCAGTACCTGAGTCTTAAACAGCAACAACTTTCAATGACTGCCAGTGGAAACAAGCCACTCTTCCTGTCAGGCTCGGCGGCCTTAGTGCCCACACTGCCACCCAAATTGCTGTCCCAGGCTTCCTGTCTTCCTCCTCAGCATCAGATGACCTGGTCATGAAATTCTACCTAACAACGTGTGTGACTCAGCAGGGATACAGGACCCCCACTTCACGGAATGCAACACAAAGTGGGGTACCATGGCAGACGCAGCACTCAGATAAACAATGCCGAAAGCCAAGAAACAATCCAGCTGGAACAGCCGAATTGTAGACAAAGAAGCCACAGTTTTGCTGGATGCACCAATAACCTCCAGTGATCGTGCACGCCTCACAGCTGTGCAGGCTCCCCATGTAGAGGACTTCCTTTTGGCAGTTCCTATGTCTGCAACAGGCACACGTCTTGATCCGCAGCAGCTTCGTATAGCATTCGCTCTCTGCCTTACTGCCCCTATCCACATTGTTCCTAGGTGTATTTGCGGCGAGGCAGATGCAGACGAATATGGATTACATGGCCTGCACTGTGGAAAATCATGCGGTTGACACTCACGACACGACAAAGTCAATGACATCATTAAGGGGAGCCGTGCCTCTGTCCAGTGTCCAGCGGAGAGAGAGCCTCGCAATCTACTGAACCGTAACTTTGTTAGCTTTGCTGACCGACCAGAGGAAATCACACTGCACCCTTCGAAAAATGGCACACAGTTGACGTGGGACTATACTTGCCTATTCACCATGGCAGCCACATACATCAACCTCTCTGTCAGCCAAGCAAGAGATGCAGCGACACACAGAGAAAGAGAAAGGTCAACCAAGTACAGCGAAACAGATCACCAGTACAACCTCGTTCCAATAGAATCTGAGACCCTAAGCCCATGGGGAGAGAGTGCAAGGAGGATTCTTAAGGATCTTTGTTCCAGGCTCATTGACACTACAAGAGACCCTAGAGCAGCAAGTTTTCTCTTCCAGCACCTCAGTGTCGCGATCCAGAGGGGCAATGCCCGCTTAATCCTTGGTTCCTGCCCGGCGTCGGAAGAGTTCGAAGAAATCTACAGCCTCTAGGAAACAAACTTTCCCTTATTTCTTCTTAATGTTCTCTTTTTGTAAACACTCAGATATTAACTGTGTAACCTCGTATTACAAAGTGTACAACATAAATAATAAAAAAAAGAGGTGGTAGGAGAAGTGAACACTCACACGTATTTAGAGTTAAACGGCAGTTTTTTCTCTGAATGCTCTGTGTTCCCTTCTGCGAGGTTATGGGTCCCCACAATTGCACCAGAGGTGGTACACACACACATATATATATATATATATATATATATATATATATATATATATATATATATATATATATATATATATATATATATATATATATATATATATATATGGGTATGTTTTCTGATGTTGTGGAGCTGTGCTAGAGTCAGCCTCTTATGGAGTGTTGGAGGTCTGAGTAGTACTGCAACATAATAGTTTTTAAATGTGTGTTAGTAAGAGAAGCCGTGGACATAAAGTTTAGATAAAGCACAGTGTTTTAGTCCCACTGTATTGAACTGAACACATGTAGTTTCATGACTGATAGTTTGAGTCTTCTTGGCTGTACCAGTTGCTGAGGGCCTCCATCACGTCTTCATCTTCCGGGGAGATTGGTTTGTACTTGATCGCTTCTCGTTCCACAGCTTGTGTGAGCTCCACTGGCTGGAGGTCAACATAGACCCCGTCCTTGGGCTGGAGAGTGAGGACGCGAGGGTCAAGGGGCACTGGGTAGGGCGAGGACGGGCACGGCCGCACCTCGAGACCGGAGAGCAGTGACACCAGACCCGCCTTCACACCCAGCAGCGCGAACCTCATTCCTATCACGAAATCACACAATAATTAGGATTTGGTTGAATAAAATGTGAATAAATATTTTCACTGTGGATGCACAATTCTACTTTGTGTACTCACCTAATTGTGCTTGCGGGGGTTGAGCTTCGGCTCTTTGGTCCCGCCTCTCAACCGTCAATCATCTGGTGTACAGGTTCCTGAGCCTATTGGGCTCTATCATATTTACATTTGAAACTGTGTATGGAGTCAGCCTCCACCACATCACTGCCTAATGCATTCCATTTGTTAATTACTCCGATGGAAATATTCTTCTAATGTTAACCAAACCACACACTTGAAGGTGAAGAGACGACGACGTTTCGGTCCGTCCTGGACCATTCTCAAGTCGATTGTGAATCGACTTGATACTTGAGTCTCCTTAGACTTTGGTCTCCTTAGGAATGCTGTAAGGGTGAGGGGGGGGGTCGTGACAGCCCCCCAAACATACACGTAGACATACACCCACAGACAACACTCACCCACACAGCTGCGGGGGCCGGCGCCAAAAGGTAGGTAAGTGTAGGGTTGTATACGTGCCCGGGCATCACCCAGGAACCTGTGTGGGAGGAACTGTTGTGGTTGAGGCCAGTAGCGGGCGTCTCTGTGGAGGCACCATACTGGCACCAGGACGGTGGTGCCGGCCCTCACATCCACCTCCCGCCCTCCCTCGCTCCCACACAACCTGTCATGGACCAAGGCGGGAAACACACCTCCATCAAGGTTACAATCATAATAACCTACGAATATATGAACATAATTCGACCTCATTCCGGATAAACCTGTTAGGATTATCGAGGTCCCCTTGACCAACTAATGACCTTCCCAGAATAACTAATATAAACCAAACCAAAAACAAATAACTGATCCCTGAATCAATTTAGTAAAAGGGAGGGGAAACTATCAGGAAAGCGCCATTGCGACTATATATCACTGGGAAGGAGTCAGGAGATCTACCGACTACCCCAAGTGGTTGGGTCAATTTAGTAAAACCAAAAATACAAAATATTATATGGATGTGAAAAGATGAGTTGGAGGGAGGGTGGTGTGTGAGAGTGACATACTTGTAGTCCTTAGTACAGACTCTCTCGATGATGGGCGCGGCGGGGTACAGTCTGAGCACCTCGCTCACCACGGCGTCCAGGTACGGCAGCGCCATCACCTCGTCGTGCTCCACCTGCCCGGCGCCCCTGACAAATTGCACACTTAATTAATTCATGTTTCACCTCACTGTTTGGAGTCAGATTCACTAAAACACTTACGCAAGCACTTACGAACCTGTACATCTTTTCTCAATCTTCGGCGACTTTGTTTCCAATTATTAAACAGTTAATGAGCTCCGAAGCACCAGGAGGCTGTTTATAACAATAACAACAGTTGATTGGCAAGTTTTCATGATTGTAAACTGTTTAATAAATGTAACCAAAGCCGTCAAAAATTGAGGAAAGATGTACACGTTCGTAAGTGCTTGCATAACTACTTGGTGAATCTGCCCTCCTAGTTGTGTCTGTCATGTGGTAGGTATAAACAAAGTAGAGTGTTGTCAACATACCTGAGGAGAGCGAGAGCTATCTCCCTCCTGAGGGTGGCCTGGACGCGCGGGTGGTGGGCCAGCAGGTGCAGGGCCATGGCCAGGGTGTTGGCGGTGTTGTCGTACCCGGCTAGCAAGAACAGGATGGACTGTGCCGCCATAGTGTCATTGGACAACCCTGCAAGACACCTCGTACTCCTCAACCGTGTGGCGTCATGCAAGGTCGGCTGACCCCCACAGGTGTCTGTCCTCATACTAAGGACACACACTCACACACATTCAATGTCATATATATATATTATATATATATATAATATGACATTGCTAAAGTACACAAGCAGTTGAAGCGGGTGGGTGATGGCTGGGCAGTGGGACCCCGGGCCCTGGGCACGCCATACTTGCCTGAGGTGACTGTGGCGCCCCCTGGTGGTGGTGGTGGTGGGGGGGGGTAGGGCAGTGAGGGAGACTCCTGGCTCCCTCATCTATCACATATATATCATATATCAAATGTATACAGAATATTATTATTATATTTATAAAATATTATATTACAGAAAGTTAGACTTAACAATAGATTATGGCACCAACACTTTTCATAATGTACTTCAATGATATCAGTGATAACATCTCAAGCTTCTCCAGATTCCCACTCAAGAGTTTCACCTTGTAGTGGAGAGTGGCTCACACACACATGCCTCCCTGGGGTCAGTGAGGGCTGCCTCTCACCCCGTCCCTGCCCCCTATCTGGAAACTATGTGTACGCCCCCCCCCCCCTCAAGACTTGTGATGAGGGGGGGGGCCTCAGGTACGGCTCCCTGGGACCCGTGGAGGTGCCTCGGCCTCTCTGGGCGATCTGTGTGTGAAATTAAATAAACGTAGAGTCCCTGTTCCGGTCATGAGAGCACCCGCTGGAGGGATGGTCCGTGCAGGGGCTGAGTGCCCAGACTGGGTCGAAGGGAGAAAGAGGTCTTTGCACCAGTGCCTTCTTTGGCCACTCTAAGTGATCTTCCCTGTTCCCCTCCAACTTCCTTGGCAGGAGTGAGCCCCAAGCCCCAGGGGTGACTGCCTCGTCACCTGGAGTGGTTCCTTCTGTCACTGTGACAGCTGCGTCTTTTTATCCCCCCGTCTTTAATGGGGGGACGACGGCGCTGTGTATCTCTACCCTAGGCGAGACGCCACGCCTGCTGCCTTAGCTTTTTCTCAGATATGATTTATGCCGGTGCGACCAGATCACATCCTAACAGATCTGATTTGCCTCACCCTTGAGCCCTCTTTCTTATTTTCCCATCTTATTGGACGCTGCCCTCCGCTCCATTCCTTGCTATACCTCCGTGACATATGGAAATATGCTCCCTTTTGAAATTCGGACTGTACTCTGGCTGTATGTTGTAAGCGTGTGACCTGGAAAAGACACCGGTGCCATGAGACACGTGATTTTTTTCGGAAGACGAGAGAAGTAGACCATAGAACCATCCATACAGGTAAAGTTGGACATGTAATGTCTCGACCATTTTGTTGACACCTCTCTCTCTCAGATCTAGTGGAAAGTAGGTAAGAGTGTAGGTAAACTTGTTCCAGACATTTCGCCTGTCCTCCATCTCCGTGGTTCTATTACAGCAGATCCGGTGGTGGTCGCGAATGAACTGAGTTCGCATTTTTCTTCGCACTTCTACTCCATTGCCTGCCCCCGGAGACTGACATCTTCACGACAGAACTTTGTGTAATTTTGTATTCACTTTATCAACGCTTTCCGACGTCAACGTTCCTTTGTCATCGTGGTTGACACTGGGCACCCTCGTGGCCCAGGAGACCTTTAACCATATGCATCCTTTGGTGGTCGAACTCCAATATTGGCTGTTTCTTATCTCTAGCAGATTTAAGACCGCTGAGTTTTGCTGGGTTCCTAGTCATGCTGGTATTACCTTAAATGAACGTGCCGACACTGCCGCTAAGGAAGCTATCTGCACTTATCCTCTTTCCAAAAAAAGTTATTTTTTATTAAGATTTCTTCAAAGTCATTCATTCCTGAATCTGAGACCGCTGGTAGGGTCGTTGATCTGACATTACGGGTAACAAACTAGACCTCTTGGCCCTCCTCCTACCACTGTACGGTTGGAACACCAGGTTTGGTGTTGCCAGCAAGAAGCCTACACTATACCTGGTCTGCCTTTGCTGGTAGACTCCATGAGCAGGTCGAGGAAGTCGCCCCGTCGCTGGCCCGTCTCCTGGCGCCTGTTGATGGTGTGGGTCGCCACCTTTATGAAGAACTCGAACTCGGGGCTGACGAACTGGAGGCCGAGACTATGAGCCACCTGGGCCACTCGGGGAGCCATCGCCAGGGTCAGCATCTGGGGAACACAACCACCACTAAGGTAACTATCTCTCCCTTCAAGTTGTTACTTCCACCTTGCACAGTGGCCAGGGTATATCGACTCACAATTGGTTACTCCCGGGTTCGGTACCCGGGGACGGCGAGACCTGACACCCGTCGCCGATGCTCATCAAGCAGTAAATGGATCCCCTGGATTGTATGAGCTGTTGTGGGTTGCACCCTGTGGAAGGTGACTCCCCTGGCTAAGGAACGTTGGTAAGCCTAACATTATTACTGTCCCTCACAATGGTCAGCTGATTATTGTTATACATGATGCTTAATGCTATTTATACTTCTAATTCATTCTTATGTTATTATTATTCATACTTGTCAGTGTTATTCATGCGTATGTTATTGTTATTCACGTGTGAACTATTATTCGTTTCTATTACTTATTTTAATACTAACTGAAGTTATTTTTACATACAATTGATGAGGCACAAAAGTGACTATGGAGAGTAGGCCTATTAGGTGAGGAGGCCAAGGTCACGTGATCTGACATGAAGACATTGAGCGAGCTAACAGTCTAATTGATTGTTAGTGACTTGATGTTGCCTGGTGCGGCCTCGGGGTAACCTAGTGTTACTTGGTGTACCCCCAGGGGTGACACTGAGTTATCTGGAGTGACCTAGTGTGACCTAGTGTTACTGAGTGCGCCCTAGGATGAGGTAGCAGTGACTGACCTTGAGCGCCCTGGTGGGAGAGAGCTGGAAGATCTTGGCAGCCATGATGGGGAAGGCGGCTGCCTCTCTGGTGAGAGCATCACACTCTATGCCGAAGGCGCAGGAGGCGATGGTGTCCATCGTATACCGGCCACACAGTTGACGTACCTGAGCCCCGGAGGGCAACATGGCAAGGAGACGTCAGCCCGAGCTTTTGTACTGTGTGGTCTACCGAGCTGGAGTTGGTCTACCGGGATGTTAACACTATAGAATGTGGTCTACTGGGATGTTTACACTATAAAATGTGGTCTACTGGGATATTTACACTATAGAATGTGGTCTACCGGGATATTTACACTATAGAATGTGGTCTACCGGGATATTTACACTATAGAATGCAGTCTACTGCGATGTTTACACTATAGCGTGTGATCTCATTATAACACAGGGTACCTCACGACCCCGACCTCCCAACAGCTGCGGGTGCAAAATTATCTTACGTTATCTTGCGGGTGCAAAATGGGGGAATCTTTTAAGAACAGTATCTATATTTGATAAATAGTGTTTTCTTAACTCAAACAATGTGGGGTTTATTATTCTACACACATTTCTAAAGTCTCTCAGGTGTTCACATTCACGTAGATAGTGGTCAAGGCGGTGTCCGTCACAGTTTCTGCTGACACACAGACCTGCTCCAGTCACTACTCCCAGTTACTGTGACTTCTATCCTCTGTTGTTTTAGATTCAGCTACTCAGCACAAAAGTTGCAAGTAACACGGGCTATGGTGAGCCCGTAGTGGACTTACCTGGCACAGGAGCGGGGCTGTCCTTCTATCCTCACACCCCGGGGTTTATATCCCCGAAACTTCTCCAGCTAGTGTCAACTGGTAGTTTTTAGCGTCTTCCCAACTACAAGTTAATGACGTGTTGTTTAGCGACTTGTACTGTCAGCTCCCCGAGTGCATCTTATCTATCTCGTTAACAACTTCACACAAACATTCCACTTGGCATTCTATAGGAATTTCAATTACCGTTGTTTGACATGACTCTTAACTAATGGCCAGTGAGGTCAACCTCCTGAACCCTTACTCATACTAGCTAGGAAGACGAAGATGATGATGATGATGGAGAGAGAGAGAGAGAGAGAGAGAGAGAGAGAGAGAGAGAGAGAGAGAGAGAGAGAGAGAGAGAGAGAGAGAGAGAGAGAGAGAGAGAGAGAGGAGAGAGAGAGAGAGAGAGAGAGAGAGAGAGAGGGAGAGAGAGAGAGAGAGAGAGAGAGAGAGAGAGAGAGAGAGAGAGAGAGAGAGAGAGAGAGAGAGAGAGAGAGAGAGAGAGAGAGAGAGAGAGAGAGAGAGAGAGAGAGAGAGAGAGAGAGAGAGAGAGAGAGAGAGAGAGAGAGAGAGAGAGAGAGAGGACACTAGAGTTAGTGGCCTTCAGGTAAATCAAGTAAATCGGGTTTAGAGATCTGTTAGACATCATATAGTTCAGTGATTTATGGATCGATCAACAAGAGAAGATGATTGTAGTGCTTGTACAGTGCCAGCCAGCATACATATATTTATGTCCCTCCTACACCTCAACGCCATCTACAGTTTTAACAGTAGATATACTTGGGGTAAATTTAGGTTAGGAATCATTGCATTAGTCAACCAGCAGCGGGAAAAGTGAGTTCCAAGAGCTAAAGCTCGATCCACCAAATTTTGCCTACCGCTGAAAATGCAGCACAAAACCAAGGCAAACCTGACCTTACCTACTGTAACCTGACCTTATGTAGATTAACTGATCAAAAAGAGTTGTGTTAGCGGTGTAGTCGTCGCCCGTTTTCCAATACGCTCCATAATGTAGACTTTGAGAGGAGAGGACTTGTCTCTACAGGTCTCTGGGTGGTTGTAAGGAGTCGCCTCTAAACAGTCTAAGGATCCATGGGTGGTTGTAAGGACTCACTTCTACGAGTCCAAAGGGGGGTTGCAAGGACTCACCTCAACGGGTCCACTGAGGGTTGCAAGGACTCACCTCTACGGGTCCATGGGTGGCTGTAAGTGTGGCCACACGCAGGAAGTCTTGTGCCCGACACTGTAGGAGGGGGTAGAGGCGGCGGGTCTTGGTGGCGGTGAAGGCTGGGGACACCACACTACGGACCATCCTCCAGTGGCTGCCCCGAGCGTTCGTCAGCATGTCGTTCGCAACCGGATTCACCTATTCACAAATACATAAAAAAATTAATGTGTGAATTTCAGTAAATCATTTTCAGCAATGTTCAATACAAAACAGTTAACCCCGTCTCGTCTCTGTGTGCCAAGTTTTCATCATTATTTTCTTGAAGAGAAGTTTGAAATGAGAATTACAAAACTGGGTAAAATGTCCATTTGTTTTTGAGCGGCGTGAATGTATGGCGGGGTTGAAACCATCGTGTCAACAAGTGAAACATAGCAGGCGAAGAGTCACAATAACGTGGCTAAAGTATGTTGACCAGATCACACACTAGAAGGTGAAGGGACGATGACGTTTCGGTCCGTCCTGGACCATTCTCAAGTCGATTGTGAATGATCGACTTGAGAATGGTCCAGGACGGACCGAAGCGTCGTCGTCCCTTCACCTTCTGGTGTGTGGTCTGGTCAACAAGTGAAACATAAGCCGCTACATCTCCCATGTAACAGTACATAAACAACAAGACAAAAATCATCAACTTCGTCAGCATATTTTATCTGTATTTCATATGAATATCTAATCTTAAGATGAGTGTTTTTCCTTGCTTTTTATGACCAGTTACGAGTGTGAAGTTCTATTTTCCACTCTGACCAAGTTACACACACACACCAAACACAGTGTTGACCTGACAGTTATACACCAAGGCCCAGGTCACAGTGTTGACCTGGGCCAGATTCACGAAGCAGTTACGCAAGTACTTACGAACGTGTACATCTTTTCTCAATCTTTGGCGGCTTTGTTTACAATTATTAGACAGTTAATGAGCTCCGAAGCACCTGGAGGCTATTTATAACAATAACAATAGTTGATTGGCAAGTTTTTATGCATGTAAACTGTTTAATAATTGTAAACAAAGCCGCCAAAGATTGAGAAAAGATGTACATGTTCGTAAGTACTTGCGTAACTGCTTCGTGAATCTGGCGCCTGACAGTTAAGAGACAATACGCGTGTAGCACTATCATGGTGTGAACCAGCTGGCCCGCGACTCCTCAAGCATTTACACAATAACTTAAAAAACCTGTACATCTTTCCTCCATGCCGACTGTGTTTACATTTAATAAAGTTTGTGAAACTTGACCCCCCATGGTTGTGAAGGTGGTCTTAGGTATAACAGCATCGGTAGGGTTAGTATAACAGACTAGGGCCGTCACCGTATATTACATGTTACACACTGTCAGGTTAGGGCCGTGATAGTATGTTGCATGTCGACTAGTGTGACGATATCAACGCTTTCCATGGAGTGAGGTGTGGCGATATCGACGCCATCTATGGACCTACACTTAAACTCCAAGGCATTATTTGTGACGAGGACAACGCCATCTCTTGCCGGAGGTGTGGCAAGTTCAGCGCCATCTGTGAAAGTCTCCTGTTCGTACCTCAGTTAGGAGGTGAGGTCGATGATGAAGACCTCTAGTGAGTAAAGTAACTATAGCAATGCCATCTTGGGCAGCCCAGGGGCCAGATTCACGAAGCAGTTACGCAACTACATACGAACGTGTACATCTTTCCTCAATCTTTGACGGCTTTGGTTACATTTATTAAACAGTTTACAAGCATGAAAACTTGCCAATCAACTGTTGTTATTGTTATAAACAGTCACCTGTGTGCTTCGGAGCTCATTAACTGTTTAATAATTGTAAACAAAGCAGCCAAAGATTGCGAAAAGATGTACAGGTTCATAAGTGCTTGCGTAACTGCTTCGTGAATCTAGCCCCAGAATTCCTGACTTGTTCCTGGGAGGACAAGTGGCGGCCGTCGGTAGAAGACAGTATGTTGGCTGTTGCTTGTGTAGTGGTATTGTCTGGACCGACGCACCCGGTATTTGGCCACGAGGAGTTACAACACGACAGTATTGGCCATCAACCTGAGAAGTTCTGCTAGTGTGTAGTCAAACTTCTGCCGGGGTGTTAGTGGAGACCCCTGCACGAATTACTTGTGACCCATATCAGCGTGTTGCTGAAGACCTCTGCCAGCGTTTTTCTGGAGAGCAGATGTGGGGTATTGGGACATCGTGACGATATGGTATGTGGTCTGGCCCACGTTGAGGAAGGTGAACTCGCCGGTGATGCCCACTGAACGTGGACGACGTATACTTGAAGATAGTGAACTCGCCAGGATTTGAAGAACACTGCAGATGTATTAAGTCTTCTGGGAGAAAGAGACACTATACATATGTGTAGTAATAGACAATAATAATACTGGTGAAGGTGTTATTTAGGTCTTGTTTACCCACCTTTATTCCTTGCACAATTACTTGCCACCGCCAATTCTTGATAACTTACCACTGACTAGGGCTGGATCATAGAAGAAGAGGGTCTATGGCCCCATAAGCAGAAGCAATCCGGTTACTGTCTCCAGTGGGCCGTAACACTGCCAATGTCAGACTTGGGTCGTGACGATATATGTCGACAGTGACAAACTACAGTCGTGATAGTATGTTACATGTCAGACAGTGATTGACTAGGGTCGTGACGGTATATTACATGGCTGATAGTGTCAGACTTGGGTCGTGACGATATATGTCAACAGTGACAGACTAGGATGTGACGGTATTATATAACAACGTCACTAGGGGGTCGTGACGGTATTTGATACGATCTAACTCGTCGCGAGAATAATTGTGAAGAACGTAGTCATGTGTACAACAACAGTTTACATTAGTTTACCAAGTGGCAACACCAGAGGAACAAGAGGGAAGGAAGAGGCGACCTACCTTCGCCAGGTCGTTAGTTTACCAAGTGGCAACACCAGAGGAACAAGAGGGAAGGAAGAGGCGACCTACCTTCGCCAGGTCGAATGTTCTGCGGTCAGCGAAGTGATTGAAGTCCCTGACGAGGATGCTCTTGATGGTGTCCGGGTTGCCCACCACCAGGCCGGGCTTGAGGAAGTCATAGAAGCCACACACGTCCCGTCCATCATATTGCTCGTACACCTCCTCGAAGAACTGGCAGGGCGGGGGAGGGGAGGCATCATGGAAGGTTTATATTCCATACGAATTGGTGCAGAAAGACACAGCTGAATAATGTGTGGTATGTGTTATTTAGGTCTGTACGTGGAGGTTGAAGCTCGGTGTGTGGGCGTCAGACTTTCTTGCCTATTGGGCTTTTCTCTTGTAAATTGAGTATCTTTTGTTTGTGACGCTTTCTACCAATTGTGTTCCATTTGGGGTGTTCCTGAGAGTGACCTGACCCAACCATGCTAGAAAATCTGGCCCATTAACATGAAGTTCTAAATGAACAATAATAGAAAGTAAATTCTAACATAATATTACTATTTTATTATCTTTATTTTATCATCTACGTACAGCGACCCGGGTACATTCTCGTGACCACTTCGGGGAGCGGTAATCGTATATATAAATACATGAAAAGTGACTTTTACCCTTGCACTCATTATCAGTGTTTGGTGCGTTGGTGAAGTGGTGGTGTCTGACCACCAGCCATACACTTGGTAACGCAACCCGTCTACATCTCTCTTATCTCCCTGGCTGGCGTTATCTCCTGCTATATCTCTCAGAGCGGCACCTCACCACCTGCTGGGTCAGTGAGTCTCTACTCTAGGGCAGGTAATTACCGTCTTCTGAGATAGATTGTATTCCCTCTCAATGTCGAGGGGGGGGGGGTGAAGGGTGCTGTGACGTCGCCAGGAGTGTAGTGGACCTAAACGTACCTAACACTACGTTTATCTGACGTTCTTTATCGAACACTGCTTCAACCTATCAGCTCTTCGTGTCCCGCCTGCTACCCTTGTTGTATCTGCTGCCTTTTACCTTAACTATCGTGCTGTTCGAATATTTTGTCGAATATGTACAAAACTTGTGGATGGAGATGGCTTCCACAACCTCTTCATCCAGTGCATTCCACTTGTTGACCGCCCGTTGACTTATCTCTCTTTGATTAATGTTTGTTCCAGTTTCGTCGCCTAAACTCCCAGGGAAGTGTACCCGTTGTGGGGTGTACTCTAGGTACACATCCCCGAGTGTACTAATGTGTTCTAGGAGACTGACAATGTGGGAGTGAGTGTGCAGGGGTCAATGCAGTATACAAGCAAACTTTATCATGGGTTACACTCTGGGACCAAAAGGTAAACACTGAAGACGAGACACACAGACACATGCAGACCTGGAGGGGAAGCTATGAAGAAGGAAGGTAGAGTCAGCTCATGCCACAGTCCGTACCCATGACTCATGCCACAGTCCGTACCCATGACTCATGCCACAGTCCGTACCCATGACTCATGCCACAGTCCGTACCCATGACTCATGCCACAGTCCATACCCATGACTCATGCCACAGTCCGTACCCCTGACTCATGCCACAGTCCGTACCCCTGACTCATGCCACAGTCCGTACCCCTGACTCATGCCACAGTCCGTACCCCTGACTCATGCCACAGTCCGTACCCATGACTCATGCCACAGTCCGTACCCCTGACTCATGCCACAGTCCGTACCCCTGACTCATGCCACAGTCAACGAGGGACTGCAGGTAAACATTAGCTATAATGCCATACTCGCTACTCTTTCACATAAATTTTTATTCAAATTGGAAACTAATATTAGTCAAAACAATGTTTAGAAGAGAAGAAAGAGTTAGAGCTAGAGTGAAAGCACGGAACGGGGGACAGACAACAGAAATCACAATAGCGTGATGTATCAAATGAACAAATCCACAAAGGCCATGATGAGGGTTCGAACCTACGTCCGGGATGTTCCCAGCTGCGCCTTAGTGGTATAAATGGAACGGGGACACACACACACACGCACACGGGAGACATCTCCCGTCACGCAGGGTGCAGTCGCACCTCCACAGATCTCCAGTATCAGCTCTTGATACTGGTAATGGCTCAAAAGGGCCACCACTTACGGGCTATTCATCCCCGTGCCACCTTTTGGGTGGCTTAATCTTTATCAATCAATCAATCACACATGCACGCACGCACGCGCGCGGCAGTGATGGAGACATGAAGGAGAGACAATAAAGAGTAAGTGGTAGTAGTGCCGAGGACACAGAAGGTAATCATTTCTAGCAGGTGTGGTCTTGGGAGATATTTTCCAATGTGGCCGCCAAGATGGCCGCCAAGATGGCCGCCAAGATGGCCGCCAAGCCTAATGTGACAAGTATCGACAAATGGACCGTATCTATGGGAAGGCTGCTTCTAGCTTCACACCAGAGGACCACAATTATTCACAACTACTTTTGTTTTACACTCCATGAAAAGGTCGTATGAAAAGGCCATTTACACTCCATGAAAAGTATCGTCGAGGAAGGGACCAGCTGAGAGTAGAAGAGACTCGATAGCAGCAACCTGTCCTCTTACAAATTACGTCTGAATTTGGCAGTGTGTACGCAGGGTTACCTTCGACAAGCCGCCGGCTTCCTGTCCTCGTCGAGGCCACTAGTGCTAGTGGCCCTCGGGTAAATTCAAATAAATTTTAAATAGAATCTCACATAAAAGTAGCATATAATCTGAAACATATAAAAAGTAATTATTACAGAGTTCACAATTATTATTATAGCGTACAAAACTGTTCTGAACAATTTTAGGTCTTGACAATTTTCATCTTGAACTATTTCCCAATACTACTAGAATGGGGCTTGGCGGCCATCTTGGCGGCCATGTTGGAAAACATCTCCCCTCACCAGAATGGTACACTCAAGGCAAAAATTATCTTCCGTAGGAAAGAAAACATTTTGAGAAGAGAAGAACAGTCAGGACACTTCCAAGAGTCACTCCTCTGTAGTGCCTGGAACCTGAGAGAGAGAGAGAGAGAGAGAGAGAGAGAGAGAGAGAGAGAGAGAGAGAGAGAGAGAGAGAGAGAGAGAGAGAGAGAGAGAGAGAGAGAGAGAGAGAGAGAGAGAGAGAGAGAGAGAGAGAGAGAGAGAGAGAGAGAGAGAGAGAGAGAGAGAGAGAGAGAGAGAGAGAGAGAGAGAGAGAGAGAGAGAGAGAGAGAGAGAGAGAGAGAGAGAGAGAGAGAGAGACAGAGAGAGAGAGAGAGACAGACAGACAGACAGACAGACAGACAGACAGACAGACAGACAGACAGACACAGAGACAGACAGACAGACAGACAGACAGACAGACAGACAGACAGACAGACAGACAGACAGACAGACAGACAGACAGACAGGTAGGTGGTAGGTGGTGTTGAGACCTGGGTGAAGGGTTGAGAGAGGCCGAGGCGTCGCAGGGTGTGGCCGACGAGGAGTGTGGCAGGGGGGCAGGGCATGCCCCTGGCCGCCCAGTACCCATGTTGTCCCTGCAGGTGGCGCACCAGCAGGAGGCATGACGCCGTCACCAGGAGCACCGTCACCAGGGGCCCGCTGCACGCCCACACCACGGAGGAGGAGCAGATACTGTTGCTCCAGGAGGACCAGGTGGAGGTTGCCGGGAGTGGCAGCGTCTCCTTCATGCCATACACGTCTGCCATGGCGAGCCTCACACCTGTCGACCACACATGTCTATGTCTTAACTCACACAGTAGTCCAGTCACCTCTTTATTTAGTCCTCACCCATATACTCCTAATTTTGATTAACTGTGTGTGTGTGTATTTCTTATGTAACTAAAATACACCCAGTGACAGACATACACACGGTATATATGGAACACTTGTATTTGTCTCAAGATTACCCCCCCCCTCCCCCCTTCCTCTTCTGCCCCCTTTCCATTTTCCATCTACGTCTCATCTTCCCCCCATTCCGTGTCCACTCTTTTCTGCTACAATATCATTGATCTTAACACTATAAAAACATTTCACTCTCCCCATCTCTTCTACCCGTCCCTTCCCCCCCCCCCCCCTCCTTCACTTCCAGCTCTTTCTCCACTCAATACTTTTCCTCCTCCCCCCCCCCCTTTCATCTCCCTTTTTTGTAAGAAAATTAACTTAACAAAATGCTCAGTTCCTGGCCGTGATCTCTAATGGGAGAGGCTGCAGCGTTGTTCAGGAGGCAGACCAGGGTCCAGATTCACGAAGCAGTTACGCAAGAACTTACGAACCTGTACATCTTTTCTCAATCTTTGGCAGCTTTATTTATAATTATTAAACAGTCAATGAGCTCCGGAGCACCAGGAGGCTGTTTATAACAATAACAACAGTTGATTGGGAAGTTTTCATACTTGTAAACTGTTTAATAAATATAACCAAAGCCGTCAAAGATTGAGGAAAGATATGTACACGTTCGTAAGTACTTGCGTAACTGCTTCGTGAATCTGGCCCCAGCACGGTAAGAGAGGCGTAACTATGTGTTGACAAATACGTGTATAAAGTTTGGTGCAGTTCCCCCACTGTGGCCACCCAGGTCTCGCCACATTAATTAGGCCTCCGAGGAGTACCTACACAATTAATAATGTATTGGTGTTCGATGAACGTAACAAGTAATTTGACCTCCACTGCTAGTGATTCATGAATCCAGAAATTCTGTTTTGAAGTTATCAAATTGATAATTAATTTACATATTTGTATATTTAGAATTAAAATAAATAACAAACATTTCCCCACAACCGTTCATAGAAAATCTGAACTGGAGCTTTGCGATGTGCAATAATGAGCAGGTTTAAGTCTGAGGGGAAATTGTCTATTCAAAGCTTCTCAAAACTGGACAGAATGGGGGAACATTTTCTCCAACAATGGGAGCCCCATTATGTGGTTTAGGGTTGGCGGGAATGACGCTGGCAGGGATCGCAGCGAGGAACTGATAACCAGATTCACGTTAACACTAGATATGATTAGGAAAAGGGAGGGGTTACTGTCGTATGTGTTCTCCCCAAGGCTCGGTGGTGGCGGCGAGTGGATGTCAGGAGCAAATGGTGTAAATTACCGATGTAAAAGGCATTGTGCGGATAGTGCAATGCCATTTATCAACGACTGGGGCTCGTTCAGTGGTAGGAGGTCGCCGTACACGAGGGACGGGGTGCACCCATCAAGGGTTGTTGTTGTTATAGATTCAGCTACTCGGAATAAGTTCCAAGTAGCATGGGCTATGGTGAGCCCGTAACTTACCTGACACAGGAGCGGAGCAAGAAGCACGGGCTATGGTTAGCCTCGTGGACGGGAGATGTTTCTCGCGCCATCAAGAGATGGAGTGGCAGATATAGAGGACTTGTTAGAAGTAATCATGACCTTAAACTGTCAGAGACTACAGGTCTGGGAATGTGAACGGACACAATATCAACGTTGCACGGCGTATTAAAGACACACAATGTAAAAACAGAAGCGAAGTGCGCATGGATTGCAAAAAAATGGCATACACCGTTCGGCAACAATAGACTGACGCTTGACAAATCAATATTATATGAACTATAGGAACATGAGATATAACATGGATAACATTGAGCACTCGTGAGCACACAGAAGCGTCATCTAGGAGCGCTTACCCACACAAACCTAAATGTAGACTAAAGATCATCTACCTAATTACCGGCTATATGTATCTTCACGAAGGCACAAGAGGCGTAAGAGGTAGATGAAAGATATTTGTGAAGGACCTAAAATGTAGTACTAAACAAGAGATAAAGACCCAAGGACTATATGGAAAATATTTGGATTGTAGCTGAGACTAATGAAAAGCTACTAAGTTGGATAGCATATAGGCTTCCCCGAGACCTTGAGTAAGTGGGAGGCAGAATCATGAATCAAACTGCAGGAACCTCAAGAACCAGCAGTAACTTGAGGAGTGACGCTGGCAACTTCACCTAGAAGGTTTCCTAGCTGAATGTTGCAAGTAAGTAATTACCAAAAGAAGGCACCAAGCCGGGTATGACTGAAGTAATGATGATGTGTGTGAACGGAACTTGAACCTTGAGACGTTTCATCTTGGTTATTCTTTGGCAAATGGTATTTGTTTGTGATACCGAGAAGCCTTACACAGACACTCCGTTGTTCACATTATAATTTTCTTATTATCTTAAATACATGAACGATTTTGTTTTTGTTCAATGAATAGTTACTTCAAACCGTGAGGCTATATACCCCGGGCTAGGCTTCTACAGGCGCCGCTCCACTGCTAATGTAGACAGCTGTGTATATATGTGAGTGTGCGTGCACATGTTAACATGTGTCGACGGTCAAGGTGTGGGGCACCAACCTGGTTGGGAGTGTTGGAGACGAGGCTGTTGGTCAGCCGGTAGCGTCACCAAGACTAACATGGGCGGCCAAGAGTAACCCTGCCTGTGGTGTGGCCTTGTGCCGTCAGTCACCCTCCTCACTAGCCTTGGTGACCCCGTACTCGTCTCTCACTCACTACCGGCAAAGTTTTGATATTTCCCCTACCACAGACGTGGCCACATATTTACCATGCTAATACATCTTCTGTCCTCCATGGACGGGGTTAGAGATCTGTTAAACATATAGTTCAGCGATTTACTGAATGAACAATCACAGAAGGTGACTGTAGTACATTTAAAATACTAATTTAACCCTACATACATAAAAACATAAATATACAGATTTACGTCTGTCCTACATAAACAGTGTTCGATGTGTCTTTTTAGAGTGTCATTAATGTGCGTTTACAAAGGTGAAATGCAAATCTGACCAGCTTCCACATATCCTGTACACACACACACACACACACACACACACACACATATATATATATATTGTGTGTATGTATATGTATACATGTTAAAGCTGGTCAGATTTGCATTTCACCGTTGTAAACGCACATTAATGAGATAGTACTCATTAATGTGCGTTTACAAAAATACATTTTTTGAGATAGTACTCACTATCTTAATCACTGTAAACCGAGTGATTTCAATTTATTGTTTTCAAGTAAATCATGAAAGTGCGTGGATAAATAGTGAAAGTAAGTGCCTACTTTACAGAAAACACATCCGTGATTTCATTTCAAACTTCAAGAAAATCGCACGTAAGGGTTGTGTTACAGGTCGATATTCCTTTAAGTTTTTAACTTAGCCCAGCACTGTCAGCCTATGTATGTTCCACACCCAAGATCATTTCCCCTGCAAAGTTGCGTAAGGCTTGCCCCAAGCGTCTGGCCCCGAAACCCGGACAGTCAAACCTTCTCTCATATAGTCTGAGGCCAGACAAGGGAGAGGGGGAAAGTGGGAGCAGGAGGGGGAAGAAGTGAGGATACGAGGAGAGGGCATAAAAAAAGAGGGGTGAATAGGGTAGGGAGACAGACAGACTATCCCGGGCATTGCCGAGTACCCCTTCTAATATATATATGAGAGAATGTATGTTTGTTGGAGACAGACGGGCAAAACATCCATCCATCCATCTATCCAGACCAGGCCAGACGGTTGGGGACAGCCTCACCCAACTTTCACACAGCAAGCATTTGGGATAGGGGAGTAACAGGCCAGTCAGGGTCGGCTTAATTGCCAGGATTTTAGAAATATCGGCATCAACTCTCACCCCCCTCCTGCCTTGTGTAATTTTCATGAAGTTAAATATGAAATATTGGTTGTGTTGCCCCTAGATTTATTAAGCAGTTTTAGTGCTTTGATATATAATTTTTTGTGAGAGAGAAGAAAGGAAGGAGAAAGGGTGGAGGGAGATGCTCGAAGAGAGGATAGGAGAGAGGGGTGACGATGGAGAGGGATGGAAGAGGGGAGGAGAAGTTAGAGACTGGTTCGGGGAGTGGGTGGATAGGGGAAGAGAGAGGGGAGAGTGGGGGAGAGAAAAGGGATCAGGGGGATTTTTGGAATGAAACCTGAAGGGGGGGAAGAAGGGAGGAGAGAGGGAAATAGGGAAAACAGAGATGAGAGAATAGGAAGAGAAGAGAGACCTGGGTGCAGCCGGATGTCCCCTCTGGTCCCTTATAGGAGAAAGCTATACGTGTTAAAACAGTTAACAAACTTTAGATAAAGTTAACAGTAATACTTTGGGAGTTTCTTTACTTCAAATTGGGGTCATTACAAATCTTATCAAGATGGAAGGGCATATGATAGTCCCACTTGAACGATATATGGCTCCAGAAGGACCAGCCCCACTTAACATTGTAATGACCACCCAGTTACTCAACTCTGCTTCCTAAATACTGCATAAATTTCAAGGAACACATGGAGCTCTAATCTGATGCTCCTCAGTGTGTACATGTGGCATGCGAAGTCAATACATTAATACCCAGTGATGTCACTGGGACGTTTACGGGGAAGAATTATCATTGTAACTGTGTGTGTCGTGTGTAGATACTGGTACACCCCTGAGCTCGACCTGTGACACTGAGGCAGGTGCAATGAGCGTCTCTAAAGTGAGTCACACTTTTTATCTGTTTGTTCATACCTCAAGTCCCCACCTGTTACAAGGTGCTTCGCCGTGCGAGTACTACTGGGCAATCTCCTACAGGTCACCTCACAAAAAGAGTGCGGTGCCTATTTTCTTACCAGTTCGTTCACGCTCTTAATCTCATCCACTGAGGCATTCGCGGCGTTACTGCGAATACGTCACTGCCTGCTGGAAGACTGCTTCCAGGAAACATTCCCACAACACAGGAAACATTCCCACCATCACAGGAAACATTCCCACCATCACAGGAAACATTCCCACCATCACAGGAAACATTCCCACCATCACAGGAAATATTCCCATCAATAGAATACTAATCGTAAGTCTTCTTAACCTTAATTCATGTAGTTTTGTTACTTTAGTTCTGAAGAAGGCTTAAGATGTCGTACGTACCCGACCCTGGAGCCAACTTGGGTAAAGAGAATTATCTAACATCATAGTTATCACACACAAACATCATGTGGTTATCACACACAAACACCACGTGGTTATCACACACAAACACCACGTGGTTATCACACACAAACACCACGTGGTTATCACACAAACACCACCTGGTTATCACACACAAACAGCACCTGGTTATCACGCACAAACACCACGTGGTTATCACACACAAACACCACCTGGTTATCACACACAAACACCACCTGGTTATCACGCACAAACACCACCTGGTTATCACACACAAACACCACCTGGTTATCACGCACAAACACCACGTGGTTATCACACACAAACACCACCTGATTACGACACTCGAGTAACGGGTTAGCAAGCCAAGAGGTTGTCTCTTTAGTTCATAATACAGGGACCCGGGTTCAGTCCCCTGGCAGGACAACCCAATTGGGCACTACAAGATACAGTCCGTGGTTACAGCCAGAGTCAACAACTGCATCAGAGAAGCTCCAGGATATTTCAAATGCCTAAGTATCGTAGAACAGATTGATGACTGTGAGTGGTGTCTCAAGAAACATGAAGGTGTGGTGTAGCTGTATTTGAAAAATAGGTGAGATAAAGTGAATGTGCCAGAGGAAGTGAAATAAGTGGATGAGAAAAAGTTGCCATAGTGTAAACAGTGTAGACGACAAAATTAAAGATGGCCGCTGGCAAAAAGAAAAACAAAATAGAGCTAGATTTTGGTAGTTTCAATGAGGAAATTATTAATATAAGCAGTCTACATAACAAGTCAGCAAAATTAGACATTATTGTAAACTATCATGTGAAAATAATCAGTAAATTGAGAGAAAGTAATGACCACTTGAGTAGCAAAGTATCAGATCTTGAAGGACTAGTGAGAGACTTATACAAGGAAAAGAATTAATGAGAAGCTAAAAGTAAAGCCATAGAAGAGGAAAATAAAGTCTTAAAAATAGCTTTATTAGAAGTTGGTCTAAATCTAAACATGAATGACTACAATAGGTTAAGTAAGGAAATCCAACAGGAAAAACAGCTTTTGTCAGTACAGATGGAGGAAGTTACACAGGGCATAGAAGAGTGCAATTAGCATATGCAACTCACCTATGCACATGTAGCCAAGGAGAAGGAAAAAATAGAAGAAACAGTAAGGGAAGACAAAAACTGCAGCAACCAGGATTAAACAAACATTACCTGCTTACCTGCTTCATACCTGCTTGATGGGGTTCTGGGAGTTCTTCTACTCCCCAAGCCCGGCTGTTGGGATACAGCCGGTGGTTAGGGATACAGCTGACATTGAGGTTAGGCTGGAAGTCAGAAAGGAATTTTCATCAAACCAGAAATTGGTGTAAATCACAGTCGCTCGTAGTAAGACCCAATTAACTTTTGGTTGCAAAGAAAAGGGTATAACATCTAGGTCAGAAAGAGCCATAGAAGAAGAGAAAGTAGTAGATAAAATTGTTGAGCAAGTGGAAGGTATTACAACCAAAGAGAATGTCTGGGACTACAGGAGAATTGGCAGGTACGAAAAAGGGAAATATCGACTTTTGTGGATTACCCTTAACCCCTGGGATGCTCTTGTGATTATAGCCAGCAACATACTAAGGTGCAAGAAATAAAAAAATAAAAAAGTATTTTGTCTTATAAAAGTGTTTATTTGTGTTCCCCTGACCATGGGGAGGGAGGGGGGGGGGCGATCATAGGTGACATATTTTGGCCGCATAGGGTGAGGAAGTCTGGCAAAATTGAGGCGTTGACATAACAATCGTTGGGGGCGGTCAGCTCCACCCGAGCTGTCAGGCGGGAGTTGCCACAAAGATAATATTACCTAATTATTTTATCTGATTTTTTCTTAGTTTTTTTGCAGTAATATTATTCAATAGTGTGTAGTGTGATATATTTATATAATAAAATATGTGAATCATCTCTATACTGTATTCAAAATTAAAATAAAAAAAATGAGCAAACGAGCATTTCATCAACTGTCACCGTGCCGCTGTCTGTGCATCTCTAGGGGGAGCCCCAGACCCCCCCATGCTGGCAATCCACACCTTTAGTTCTGAAGCTGGATGTCAAAACCCACAAAAAAATGCCAACCAAAGGGAGGGAGGGTTGCCGGGAGCCTCCAAGTCTCACCCAGAAAATGGCAATTCATTACCATACATTCAACGCTGGTTTTCTGGGGGAAGCTCCTTAACCAAAGATAAAACAACAGGGAGTTACTCAGGAGGCCGTCTCCACTCACTCCTAAACTCGAAGTCAAGACAACTGGGTGCAACCGCCGACCCAATGAGACACATGTTCGACTAGGGCCAGGAACATTGACTAGATAGCAAGCGGCCAAGACCCTGTTCGACTTTTAAAAACCCCGTGCCCCGGGAGACCCGAACCCTGGAACAGGGACGAAGGGAAACCAGGTCAACCCAAAGTGCGTCCCCGGCCATCGAGGCCGTGGCACGCAGGTAGTGGCGAAGAGCCACAACCGGACACAACACATGATGTACCCCCGGCCGAACCAACTAAGCATCAACAACCCAAGGACCCCTCCGGAAAACAGCAGTCTCATTATTCACCAAAAAGGAGATGGCTGCAAACAAACAAACCTACCACGAGGGCCAAAAGAGCAGAAACTTTTGCGCCGGAGAAGAGCATGAAGCTCCCCAACCCAGCCCCCAGAAGCCAATGCCAACAGGAAAAAGAGCCTTCGCAAAACAATCCTGAGCCGAAGGGGCCACAACAAACTGAGAAGAGAGAAAGGAGGGCAGCCGGTTCAACGACCAGGACGGCTCAGGCGGCACATGTGCAGGCTGGAGGTGAAACAACGCATTAGACAGCTTGCAGAACAGAGCAGAATAACATCCACCCTGAAAGCAAGTTGAAGCGGCTCTGCCAGCGCCGCACTATTCCAGGTGACAGTATTCAGCATAAGATGACGGTCCTGAAACAACCATGAAAGGAAGGATAAGACAACTCGATCCGAAACAGAAGAAAACCTATGGAGGGACAAGAAATAGCAGAAGGACCGCCAGGAAACTTCATGCTGCCGCTGAGACGAAGCACGCAAGTGGGACACCATCAACAAAGCCACTTGCACACCATACAAGTGGTGATAGATTCGCATTAGAAAGAACAGATGCAAAGACTTGAGGAGAAGATCAAACCAGCTATCTAACGAACTGGCCCGATCTGCCAAAAGAGGCGGAGCCACGGGAAGACCCCTGGGTTCGGACACCGAGCAAGCAGCGCCTGAAACTAAGACTGGGCCGACCACCAAGGGGCCAACGTTACTACTCTTCCCTGGTAAGTCTCCAAGCGAGCTAGGACCTGGAGCAACAGCAGAACCGGGAGGAAGGAGGTACAGGTAACTCCACCTTGACCAATCCTGCCTGAAGGCATCGATTCCAATGGCCTCGCAGTCGTGGAAGGGTGCCACATATAATGGGAGACACCTCGACAAACTCAACACAAAGAGGTCCACCTCCGGGAGCCCATAAGTCCTGCAGAGCCAACTGAACGAGTCGGCATCGACTGTCCATTCCGTGGACAGGGAAATGAACCGAGACAGGCCGCCCGCCAAAACGTTGGACACCCCCCAAACGTGAACGGCCAGGAGAGCCAAACCCTGAGAACTCAGCAGACAAGTCACCCCAAGCGACCAGCACCAAAGAGCCAAGGACCGCATCAAACCCCCGTGGTTCAGGCAATGAACTACCAGGGAGCAGTCCGAATGAAGCCGGATCACTGATCTGCGAGCGACTTAAACCCTCCAAAAGCCGAACCAAGTGATTGTGAGAGGGACAGAAACCTAACCTAACGTAGTCCCCGAAGGAATCAGAACAGCCAACGAAGCCAAACCTGGCCCGGCAGGAAGACCTGCTTGATGGGGTTCTGGGAGTTTTCTACTCCCCAAGTAGTGGACTTTGTGAGAGGTCCACTAGGCTGTTGCTTGGAGCAGCCCACTGGCCCACATATCCAACACACCCCAGTTGGTCTGGCACTCCTTGGAGAAAATCATCTAGTTTTCTCTTGAAGACGTCCACAGTTGTTCCGGCAATATTTCTTATACTCGCTGGGAGGATGTTAAACAACCGTGGACCTCTGATGTTTATACAGTGTTCTCTGCTTGTGCCTATGGCACCCCTGCTCTTCACTGTTCTATTCTGCATTTTCTTCCATATTGTTCACACCAGTATGTTGTTATTTTACTGTGTAGATTTGGGACCTGGCCCTCTAGTATTTTCCACGTGTATATTATTTGCTATCTCTCTCGTCTCCTTTTTAGTGAGTACATTTGGAGAGCTTTGAGGCGATCGCAATAATTTAGATACTTTATCGTGTCTATGTATGCCGTATATGTTCTCTGTATTCCCTCCATTTCAGCAATTCAGTACTGAGCAGTACTCAAGACGGGACAGTACAAGTGATTTGTATAGTACAGTGGAACCTTGGTTGACGACTGTCTTAGAGGGCACATTTTTTGGTTGAAGACGTCAAAGTCATCGTAAAATTTGAATTGGTGTATGACAGTTTACTTGGAAGACATCTGTTCGTACGTGTATGGGTGAGTAACAACGTAACATTTATCACTGTTATGATAAACAGAGGTGACAGATTCAAGCCAAATGAACGGCAACGAAAGTGGTAAGCCTGATGCCCCACAACAAAATCGAGCCAGTCCCTGAACCTCGGATGAATTGGGATGTGCCAATACACGTCCCAGAGGTCCATGGACACCATCCAAGTGCCCGGCTCCAAGAGAAGACAGACCTAAAACAGAGTAGTCATCCGAAAGGAGGAGCAAGGAACCCAGGGGTTCAGACGGGATAAGACCAGAATGAACTGCAGGGCCACACAGTCCTGTTACAGAACTGGAAACAGACGGGAAACCCACCTGGGGGACAAGGATGTTTTGACCATGTCCAAGCAAACGCACTCCAAGATGACTTGACAGAGCGCAGGAGAGGAGGACTGCCCCGCAAGCCCTGAATCTCCAGAGGAAAGGCCACCCAACGCCACTCCAGGCCACAAGAAACAACCCAAATTACCACAAATAGTGGAACCAGGCGTGGACAAACAGAGCAGACAGCGGTGCAGTGACAATTGTGATTTCATGCTCGTTTTTTGTTTGGGAGAGTTCTGTCTAACTGTTCGGCTTTTAGTAGCAATATTTTAACAGATAAGGTTTGTTTTGGGGTGCCTGACCCAGTCAATGGCAGACATAGAATGCTTCCAACCACACGGGGGTTTCTATAGGCCATTGCTCCTCATGCCTCTCTGAGGGGGGCCAGGTTCCAGCTCTTGGTCCCCGGTAGGCCTAGAACTCCATTCACTTTGATGCCAGAGTCTAATACATTCGTATCAGCCCAGATAGCTCTGGGGAGTCGAAGGGGCTCCCCCCAGAAATGATGGTCAAATTTGAAAAAATAAAATTGATTCAAAAGTAAAATGGCAATAAATGTTGTTATTCCTTTAATATCATTTGCTTCCATGATACAAGTCACTTACAAGTATGAATACATTTCCACACATTCACATTACTGGCCCTTTACATACTGGAGCCTACATATTACTTGTTCCTTATATCTTAAGAGCAATTTCATGAATATTTTAAATTTGTATGTACTATACCTTGCTAAATAAAAATTTATATATTAATAAAATATCCAAGTAATTAATAGCTATGAATGAGGGAGTTGGGCAGTCTGCCCTTGCCAAGAGGGGTATAGCTACATAGTAAGTACTGTTACATATAAATTTTTGCTTCAAATTAAAATTTTTATTGTCTTTAAAAGGTTACATGTGTTGGTAAAATTACGTCTAATACTGTCAACTAGGTTTAGTTGCCTAACTTATATTATAACAAATAGTTAAGGTTATCAAAAGATAACACATCTTTAAATAGTATGCAGATAAACTGTTGTAACATAAAATTATTATATTATTTACATAGAAAATTCAGTACAGTATATTGATAGTACAGATAAAAAGTGAATATATTTCTATATACCTGTACTTTGCATAAACCATTCTACCATAACTCTGAGAAATGGTTCTTTCTAAATTGGTAGAGAGTTAAGAGTTGTCTTCACGTTGGACTCTGAGATTCACTCCCAGCTAAGCCAATTAATGCTCTACGAATTTCCTCATTCACCTGATCATTATCTGGAACTTCTGAGAGCACCCAGGTGTCATCGGTGCTTTTAAGAGATTCTCTGCATACTGGGCAAGTTTTGTCTACCACAGACCTGGAATGCAACCAAATGAAATATTTAAGACAATTGCAATCACCATCACATTACAGGTCAATATCAGTATTAATACAAGGGAATATATATAAATTGATTGAGAAACCATAGAAGGGTACAATTTCAGTCATTTATACTTATCAGCAGTCATAGATAGGTTTTAAAGCACTTTAATTAAAGGCTCAGAAACTGCAGATAAGAACAATGATTTAACATGTAAACATATTTATGTACTCACATAAGGACAAATTACCAAAGTATCATGCTATTAGTCTTCAAAATATACATACATACATTACAAGCAACAACATTTATGCAAATAACCAATTGCACCAAAATGTATATATTCGATTAAATAGCATAAAGAACACATTTCATGCAAACCATTAACAATGGCAGCAAAGTTGCAGGAAATCATGCACAATGTGTTTGGCAAATTAATATGACAATTTAGACGAGTAGGTGACATACAATACTGTACTATAAGTTTGATATGTATGTCATTTTTATTATAATTCACCGTTACAGATGAATGGTTTATGCTGTACGAACAAATTCAAGCATGGCATTGCAAATCTTAATAAGTTTTATCATTAATTTGTTAAAAGTTTGATTAAACATCAATTTCATTTAAAGGAACTATTAATAGAAGGTGCCAAGCTGGGAAGACTATGTAGCAGTTGCATTTACAAATACAGTAATCCAAAACTAGGCATGTTTTGTTCACTGACGATCAAGGCAGGTACAACCACAAATATGTGCAGGGGTCATTTTCTGTAAAACAAGTAATGCAAGTGTCGTACAAATTAATCCCAAATATAAAAAAATTAGCATTGAAAGTGGCGAAATGCCAGAATCTGGGTGAGCCCCGGACGCCCCCTGAAGCTATACACCAAGACAGTTCCCATGTACCAGGTCACATCAGCCGTTGAGTTCTTTCTGCCTACTGGGAACCTGGCCAAACATGCACCCCTGGCCAAACCAAGGCCCAATAACCAAAGGACCCCTCCAGAAACCAACTTACTTTTTTTTTTCACCAGAAAAGAAGGAGCTGGTTGCAAGCAGACAAAACGCCCACCAGGGCCAAAACAACAGAAACACGTCTCCGAAGGAGAGCACGAAGCTCTCGTACCCAACAACCGGAGAAAAGAAACACCAAAATCAATACCTAGGAGAAAGAATCATGGACTGAAGGAGACAACATAAAACGAGAAGAGGAAAGGCGAGAACAGTCCAAAAACCATGCAGGCTCAGGCGGTGCACCAGCAGATCAGAGATGAAACAAACTGTGACAGGCTGCAAAAGGACACTGAGGAAGTATCAGCACCGAACACAAGCTGCAGCGCCTCTACCAGTGTTGCATGATACAAGGCGACAATATTTAGCATGAGATGCTGATCAAGAAAAGGCCAAGAAAGGAGAGCACTACACATAGAAACCAACAAACAATGATGAAAGGAGAGGAACTGGCAAAAGGAGCCATGAAAGGTCATATTGTTGCCTAGAAGAGGAATGAAGGTGGGACACCAACTAAGAACCCACCAGCTTGCCATAAAGATGGTGATAACGATATACTGGATACAAGAAGTCGAAATGTGAAGAGTTGAGGAGAAGGTTGAACCAGTGAAATATGTTACTGAGCCGACCCTCTGATTGAGGTGGAGCCATGAAAAATGCCTGCATTTGGACATTGAACAAGCAGCACTTGAAACTAAGGCTGGGTCAGCCACCAAAGAGCCAAAAGAACCACTCTTCCTGGTAGGATTCCAATCAGCCTAGGACCCAGAGCAACAGCTGGACCGGGAGAAAGAAGTACAGGAACCCCCCATCTTGACCAGTTTAGCCTCATGATGGAAAAATGGAGCCACGTACAAAAGAAGGCAATGATTCCAAGCTAAGAGGTCCACCTTCGGGCATCTGTTTGCCTTACAAAGCCAAAGGAAGGAAGTGGCATCAACAGTCCACACCGTGGAGATGGGAAGGAACTGGGACAGACCATGCGTGAGAATGTTGGACAATCAATGAATGTGAACAGCAAGGAGAGCCAAACCCCAAGAACCCAGCAGAAAAGTTACTCGAAGCATCCAGCTCCAGAGGACAAGAGACCGAAGCATGGGGGGATCACTTAGAAGCATGGGGACCACCACAACTGATGGTGAGTTAGGAGCACTAGAGTGGCATTAAGGATACTACATCAATAAGAGAATTGACCTGTGAGGAGTGTCAGTGGTGGAAATCCAGGCTGTCTGGTGATGGGTGTTGATACTAATGGGTTTGAGCCAGTTTTGAGTGTTTCGGTAGTTTCTTTTGAATTGTTTGGGGAGTTGTTTGATATTTTCAAAGCTCGATTTTCTCCAACTCTTGCAGTGGTGTTATGATTCTCTGGCTTTCTGAATTTCTTCCTGATGGGGTGGCAGAATGTCAACTGGTCTCTATGCCAATGTGAGAAGGACCAGGTTCTGGATCTGGTCCCCAGTAGGATCAGATCCAGATACTGTGGTTTCCCTCCTCAAACACAACTCCCACAACTGATGTGACCTAGTAGATAGTTACAATCTCAGTGAGATGACTTCAGGAAGCCATGAGGGGGCTTCCCCAGAAAATATGGCTACATTTCCGAGACCTCCCAATTTCTCAACATCACTTTTTTTTAACCTAAAATGCATATAATGATGATGCAAAACATTACAGGACTCTACAAAACCTAAGTATTTCACACTCACCACTTCTGTAGACAATGTTGGCTTATGTAATACGAGGAAGGGTTAGTGGCACCCACACGAGGAAAATACCAAGCATGAAATGCATGAACAAGGTCGGTTCATGTCCAGATGGGCAACAATAATTTTATAGCCAATACATTATTTGGCAAGACGAATAATGGTTATAAAAATGAATAATTGTTTACCATTTTTAATACAAATTTTAAATATTTTTGTATTCTGTTTTAGAATTTGACATTGGAAATATTAGTGAGAGGTTAGTCCATGCTAATTCATCCATTAGTGATGAAGTCCATGCTACGTTTTCAACATGAATATTTAAGCTTTGAATATGTCTAAGGCTTTTTGAGGATAGCGCCTTCAATTGTTCTCCGAATCATCCCCTATATTGCCAACCCGGCCCTCAAGATGCACCACAGTGAGGACTGCTTCGTCACCATGACAAGCACCTTCACTAATCACTTTGAAAGGGAACGTTAGGGACGACGGTGAAAAAACCTCTACCCAACAGAGACTTTGCTGCGATATAAAGCAGAAAAAAACAAATCTCAATGCCCCCAACAAGTAAAACCTTGAAATCACAAATAAAAGTAATTATTGCTCTGAGACTACTAAATTACCACTAGTTAGTCACTCACCCACAAAGTTATGCCAGCTCTTTGGAGACTGATACAATGAAGTTTTCCAAATTGGTTTTGTTTGATACTTTGCATCTGCAGAGGGGGAGGGTTATTGTTTTAGTGTACACTTAATATACATGATTATTTTAGCTGTTTGCATTTCTCAGACCTCTGCTTTCAGTTTCGACTTTCTCAGAAAACCCTTTTCTGGTGATAACTGTCAAAGGCTGGTGGTTTTCAGTTTTCTTTCATGGCACTGCTAGGTATGGTTTCCCTCCTCAGAATTCTCAGGTTTAGGCCTTGAGGTTGGCCACTTTCCTGTGGAGAGCCCCTTCGGTTCCCTGGAGCTATACCGGGCTGATGTGTATATATATTATACCGTGGCAACAGTCAATCGATGGAGTTCTAACCTACCAGGGACCATGAACCAGACCCTGGCCCCCGAAATCGGCTCACGAAAGTGATGTGCTGTCCTGTTTTCTGTTTGGGTCCTCCAGCTTAGTCTGTTAAATTAGGAGAGGACACTTTCAATTAATGCTTTTCATGACATTTTGAAACTTTAGGATAATTTCCTGCCCTCCTAACCTACCAGAGGACCTTTAACTTACTGTTTTGGGAAAAAAATCCGAAATTTATTTTAAATTTTTTCATTTTCGAATAAATCCAAAATTTATTTCCATTTTTTTCATTTTCAAATTAGGTCAGTTTTAAGCCATACATGCAAACAGCTAAATTCAGAAGTAATTTGTAAGAGGACAAGTTGCATCGTCATAGGTGCTCTCCTTTGGTATTCTCTTGCTGGGCTAAGTATAGCAACTTTTTGTTTGATTTTGGAAATATGCTGTTCTTGCTGGGCCTCGTCGCTGCAGACGAGGCTTGGTTAGAACTAGCCGAGCCCACACCACTTGCAACTAATCTCCTTTCTTGGGTCTTGCCGAGCTGAGGGATTAGTTTCTGTGGTTAGTTGCTTCATAGCTAACCTTTGTTTCTGAGGGCTGGTGCCCTATGAAAACAATACCTGCCAATATAACAGTGACCATGGGTGATCAAGGTCTAGCTTATTATGCCCTGCCTATTAACCCTTCTGTATCCAATGCTTATTTGAACTTCTCTGATTGTTTAATTCTTTATCATATTTTATCTTGAACTTATGGATGGCAATGGCTTCCAAAACTTTTGCTTTCAGTTGTAGACCACCAGTTTAGGGGGGGGGGGGTTTAAGAGTATTTTCTTAAATATCTTCAACTCCTTTACGTTTCCAGCTTCTACCTGTGTCCTCTCGTCTTATTTTTTCTCAATTTAAAGGCAGTCTTTGTCTACCTTGTCTACTCTCTCAGAATTTTGTACGTAAATTGTTAATCATTAAAAAGTGGGGAACTCTCCACATTAAAGTGAGCATCTATAATATATCTATAATAACTCTTATTTAGACAAGTTAAATTGTTAAGCAATAATATTAATAATCTAATTGGTATAAATTATCAATCCTGATAGTTATCAAGTAATAATATTTGCTTGCAAATATATCTTGCTTGAATAATATAACTAGTTAAGTTATATTTACTAGATAAAATGCCAGTTATTGGCTGTCACAGTTTAAGAGCTAGGCCAGAGTGTGTACAGTGTTCACATCTTTGTGAAGCTACACCACAACCAGTATTCAAACAGTTATTATGCTGTATTTTTTCATTGTTTAATCCATCGTATAAAATACAATGCTAATGTTTCTAAATACCAACAGGTACATTTTGCTTCTATCAATATCCTGGTGTCATTAAGTAACAGCACCTGACTACAGCCCATTACATTTGACAGGACAAGACGAAAATTGGCTGGACTTTCCCTCAGCTAAGGATTTTTTTTATTTATTGTGCATGCTTATTTTAAATTAGCATTTAAATATTTTAGTCCTAATACAATTTTCTATCCCAGGTATTTATCCCACAATAATAATGTAAAAATCTATTTGGGGCCGCTCGGCCGACCTTGGGTCCTCCTCATGTGTATATAAACTCTCAACACACAATCTTTGTGGTTTAATATGGTGCACAAATAATATAGTTACATATAACGTGTGTGTATACAGTGTAACAACAGCAAAAACACTCTTTGATCTAAGAATATACATGTCACTATATATGAACACCATATTTTTGTGAGCATAGCCATCGTCCACATATGATTATATAAATTTCCCAAATTACACACTTTTGAATTTTTTTTTTTTTTTTTTGCTGTAATAATAAAGAAACCCCATTGAAAGACATTGAAATAATTATGAAAAATTATATTTGAAGCAAGTGCCACCCCATGGGGGTCACTGGGGGCTAGCGTCTCAGAGTACTTACTCAACTCAGCGTCCATAAATTGCTAAACTTCTCTGCTCCATCACGGCTAAAGTATGTGACATACAATATTTTTGTTTAGTTCCTGTGATCATTTTAATAATATACAAGAAAATAATTTTGTTGAAATAAATTTTTTCCTGCGCACCACGGAAGTGTCATTATAATGCAGCGCAGTCGTTGATGCACCTTACCTTTGGTAAAGTATATTATCCAACAGACAGCCACACAGACGACAGATATAAACATAGTGATAGACGTAATTATACACACACTTTCAGACAAACAAACAGTGAGGCAAAGACAGAGGTGCAGATATACTGAATAAACAAAAGGCAGTCAATGTCTTACACTGTAGGCAGCCTACTCAGGTCACTGAGAGGGAAGAAATAAAAATGTTTATTTGTTGGCATCTGGGAATATTTTCATTTTGATGCAATGAATATCAGATTAAACAGTAGGTATTGATAAAATCATGTTCACCATCCTTATCACTGTTACAACAACCTAATGAAGCCCTAATACCTGTATGTTGCTTGCAGGTAACAGACAAAATCAGGAATGCTAACTTCAAAGGGACTGTACTTGTAAATAATGTCGACGATTTTGAGGATTAATGTCCCTGCAGCCCGGTATCTGACCAGGCTTGTGAAACTAGTTGAATATTCTTTATTGTTATTAAGTTAGGAGAGAACTTACAGTTCTCATTCATTGGAAAGAGAATAATATCAATTACCCTCCTTTCCTGCTGTGAAGCAGTATACAATGTGTAAAAATACATCCCCAAGACATTTCTCATGCCCTTTAACAGTGTAGCATGCAAAGCAAAGCAACACCACATTCTGTTGCTTACATTGAATATACAACATTGGAGGAAGTACATTCTTGGGATGAGGGTCTAGTGTATTCCCACCATTGCTCTATGCAGGGAAGACAGTAAGCATGGGCACATGGAAGGATCACATCTGGCCGCCGCTCCAGACAGATGACACACTCGTCCAGGCTGGTCGCACATGTCCCAGCAGCAGCAGTGCTCTCTATCCTGTTTTGGTTTAGGGGGCCAGTAGATGGTGTTGCAACGTCCTGCATACTCCCCAAAACCATTGATGCTGCCATGGTAGGGGGAACAGGCATGTTGCTCCTTCGTTCCCCGGAACTTTCATCTGTCAAAAGTAATTAAAACATTCTTATATTGGGTAAACAAAAAAGCAGCATGAAAATTTTGAATAGCTGGAAGTAGTACTTGAACTATACAAATTAATAAAAAAAAATTAACTAAGTATAAATAGATTCTAATATGTTTTTATTTTATAGGATTCAGTTCTACATGGTAAAATAATAGTAAACATGGTAAAATAATAACATGGTAAATATTTGATTCTCTATGGTAAAATTTGATTCTACATTATCAACATATTTTGAACTACCTAAATATTACACAAATCAAATGAAAAGTGTACACTAATAATACTCAAAGCTTAACTTATAAATAATTATTAGATAAATTTTTCAATCTTATAACTTAAAACAAATAATATTTTGAACATTCTTAAAAACATAAATGCCCCTCCCCTGCCTTATCTGTACATATACAGTATTTTAAAACATGAACATATAGTACATAACACTCGCCATCATGTAATTTAACATGCGTATGTACAAAAAAAAAAAGACTTAACAATTTCAGGTCAAGCAGGGTGCCTACCCCATTCCCACACCCAAGATGAGATGCCTACATTGTTCAACAGCCGACTACTGAATGTCACAGCTCACCCTCTTGAGTTATTGCCCCCAACCCAGCCTAACATTTTTGTGCACTCACCAGCCATTGAAGATCTTTCCTACATAGTTTTATTTTTATGAAAATATTTAACATCCTGCTACCCTGGCTCCAAATAGCAGCAAACCAATGAGGAAATAAGTTGTGTACATTTTATGAGTCAACTCTGCATCCCTTAGGAGTGTCAAGTGTGCTGATAACAAAGTCACCACAACCACTATTTATGATACTTTGAAGGCAAAGGACAAGGTCTTTACCTGTTATGCTACAAGCGTTAATAATGCAATTAGAGCAGTACAGGCAAACTTAAGACAGAAATCAGTGGCAGGTGGCTGATCCACGATAAGAGTGCAGTTCTTCTACTTATTTTTAATTGTCTGCATTTGTGAACAGAATTATTATACTACTTATTTCTATTGGGCTGCTTGCTTACTTCTCTATTTTCCAGGTAGATTCTTCCTTTTGGCTAGTCCCATTCTGAAGGGTGGCATTCGTAGTGTTCATCTACCCTCGCGCACAAACTCATTATTCTAGTTATTTTCCTAACCAATCTTGTTAATAAACTCTTTTCCTCTACCTGAATCTTTTCTCCTTCTCTGACCTCATCTTGTTTACAGTATTTCCCTTCTCCTTTTCCCATCTCTCTTAATCTCCTCTTTCTTTCTTCCTTACTTGTATCTGAATCAATGTAAACCCATCTGTATCTCCCTCTGTCTCTAAGCTTTTTTTTTCCTCTATGCCAATGTGTGGGTCACTGGAAGACTCTTTTGGAAGGTAACCCTTATTGGTCTCTGTTGGATCTCCCTATTATACTAAAGATTTTAACTTTACAGGTTGTGCCACTTCCCTACCTTTGCCAAGAATTTCTTTCAATTCCTCTCAATTTCCATCTCGCTTCTCCTGCCATGTGCCCCCCCCCCCCACCATCCTCTCTGGTTCTGTCAGGTTGCTTACAATCACTGATCATTCCTTTACCATTTTCTTGAATGGTGCCTGTTTTGTTTTGACAGTATTCAATCACTGTTGCTATTATTATCTACCTTACTGCCTATCCTCTGGCTACTTTTGCACAAATTCATGCTGGTTCTTGATACCCTTGTTCTTGCACAACCTCCAGTTTTTGTTCTGCCATTTCCTTTAACACATCCTTTGTTTTTCCCTTTCTTTACTTCCTTCTTAACCCTTTCATTAAGCATGTTGATGCTCCCTTTCTAATATGGGACCATTTTCTTCAATTCCTCTCCTTCAGCCATGTTGTCTGCTCAAAGTGTGTTACTTGTACTCTGTCCCTATGGTCATTTTTTAATTCAAATATCTCAAATATCTCCTTTCTCTTTCCCTGATTTATAATTTCCATAATTGCCTTAGTGAGTGTTACTGTCTTCATCATTCCTATCTCCACCTCCTTACCCCATTGTAGCTCATCTATCTTCTTAGTTTCCTAATTGGTACCACTGAGGGGGCCCCAGTAAAGTGGCATCTCATTTTATAAAATGCTCTAATTTATTATTTATAAAAAAATATATTGTTTCCATATTATTATTGTATAAAATATGGGCAAAAATACATTCTATTACTTGCTGCAAGAAAACTAATTAAAATTTTATGATTAAATGCATAAATTCCACAAAAACACAGATTCTACACTAATATGGAACAGGACTAAAGAATATACAGTGGAACCTCGATTGACGAGTGGCTCTATTAACGAGTTTTTCCAGTAACGAGCAAGCCACTCGCAGCAAATTTGTCTCTATTGACAAGCTCACCTCTATTAACGAGCAAAACCACATGGCGTTTCCTAGCATCTCGCGGGTTCTCGCAAATTCTCGGACGCCTCCGACGCCAGTGTTGTTGTTGTATCGCACACGACAAGCATCCCTCTGGATTTATTTGAGCTTTTCTTTGGGTTTTTAGTGGTTTTGCGACTACAATTTGTAACACATGATGTCTCCAAAGAAGCTGCTTGCTAAAGATAGTGTTGTCAAGAGGAAGAAACACACAATTACTGTGGATTTGAAGAAGGAAATTATAGCAAAGCATGAGTGTGGTGTCTGTGTGACTGATCTCACAAGGGAGTATGGCAGGTCTCATCAACAATTTACACCATTAGTAAGGGAATGAGGAGGTAAGGGAGGATGCTGCCTCTTCCACTGAATTCAGGGAAGTGTTTGGAATGTTTGAAAAGGTGAACGCATTCTTGGAAAAGCTGCCCTGATAAAGCAGTGACAACCCGGTGTGTGAAAATGGTTAATTAATTTATCACTTTGTGATAACACTTTATGAAAGTGTTATCACTTTCGCAGGTATATGTCGCTTGAACGTGACACACTTTTTTCTCTTGAATGCACCCAAACACCGCGCTCAAGTGTCATTTGAGCAAATATTTCTATAAAATCCAATTCTTATCCGATCGTCTTGGGGATTGTATACATGTTTGCCATGAAATTTCCGTTTTCTTTAATAACCACATTGCCTATTTGAGAAAACGGCATTGTATTGTAGCTTCGTGGTAAGACTATTATATTGTTGACACGAGTGTAATCGACGTAGTTTTTTATTTGGTGCTGGTCTAACGCATCCTTGTGTGACATTTGAAATGAAATTTGGGTGAAATTCCCAAGAAGAGAGAGTCCGCCTGACTCAGAGGTGGATTCTCCTTCCACACCATAACCCCTCTCCTCCTTCCCACCTCCCCATCGTCTCCCTCCAGCCAGTAACTACTCTTCATAAGGAAAAGTAAATATTAAAGCACTACAACAAAATATTTATATTTACATGTGCAGTATTATATTTACATAAAAAAAAGTCATACAAGTATGGATGTTTTTGGGAGTGGAACGGATTAAATTTATTTCCTTTATTTTAAATGGGGAAATTTGTTTCTTAAGACGAGTTTTCCAGGTAACGAGCTCGGTGCCAGAACGGATTAAACTCGTTAATAGAGGTTCCACTGTAGTCTAAATTTTGGAGTTGCACTTTCAATATGACAGAACATTAAACAATAATGAAACATTTTCCTACCTGCAGCATCAACACCAAATATGCCATCAATGGTTCCAAGTGAACCACCTGTACACTCGTAGGTTATTCTTCGAAACACCTGCAAATAAAGACAGATGTTCAACATGCTTCAAATTCCTAATACTAATACATAGAAGGAATTTGAATTCCTTCAAATTCAAATACAGAGTACAGTATGCAGGCGATGAGTCACAATAACGTGGCTAAAGTATGTTGACCAGACCACACTAGAAGGTGAAAGGACGACGACGTTTTGGTCTATCCTGGACCATTCTCAAGTCGATTGGGTCCAGGACGAACTTGAGAATGGTCCAGGACGGACCGAAACGTCGTCGTCCCTTCAATTCTAGTGTGTGGTGTGATCTGGTCAACACAGAGTACAGTACAACAAATATGTATTTTTTAATTTCACCAACACGAGGATAACACAAGTAGAAATATTAATTGAATGTTATGGTCAGAAAAATTGTTATGGTAAAAAAAATGGTCAGCCGAAAGGCATCCACTGCATGGGCCTTGTGTCCAGGGAATGGAGCCATGTAGAGAAGAGGAAGGCACCGAATCCAGGCCAAAGCAAAGAAACCATATTGGGGTGCCTGAATGTCTTGCAAAGGAACTAAAAGGAGGTAGCAACAATGGTCCGCTCCATGGAGATGGGAACAAAGCAGGGACCTTCTGCAAGAACACTGAACACTCCCCGGATGAGAACAGTGTGGTGCACCAAACCCCGAGAATCCAGTGTAACCTACCCCAAAGTCCAGTTCTAAAGGCAGTCTTGAGCACATGCAGCTCCAAGCACTGTAAGAGCCAGGTCCACACAGCACAAACTCTTCAGAAAACCCTCATGAAGCTAACTAATATATAGAATAATACCAAGTAAATGGCCCCCACAGGACAACTTCCAAGGATGACCGGCATTTAGCTTAGAAGCAGCAGGACCTGCACAGCTGTTTGATGACCCAGGGATCCTACAGTAGACAACTGATGGAGTCCACATCAGCAACAGAACTGGCTTGAGGAGACCTGGAGTTTCGACACCCCTACTATTCGCAGGTTGGTAATTACTCAAGTGTAGTTACAGGATGAGAGCTACGCTCGAGGTGTCCCGTCTTCCCAGTACTCTTTATTGCATAACGCTTTGAAACTACTGACGGTTTTGGCCTCCACCACCTTCTCACTTGGCTTGTTCTAACCAACTACCACTCTGTTTGCAAAAGAAGACTTTCTAATATTCTTTCAGCACCTTTGTTTCCTTAGCTTGAATTTGTATCTTGTTCGTGAAGTTGCTGGTTTCAGGAATTCCTCTTAGTCAACTTGGTCGATTCCTGTTAGTATTTTGTAAGTGGTTATCATATCTCCTCTTTTTCTTCTATCTTCTAGTTTTGGCATGTTTAACGCCTCTAGTCGCTCCTATTAACTCTTCTTTTCAGTTCCGGAAGCCATTTTGTAGCATGCCGTTGCACCTTACAATATTGCACCACCATACAATGTTGCACCAGTACAATATTCATCTTGTATGAAGTACGAACTAAATTCTAATTTTAAAAAACTATTCTTTATAGAATCCTTAAAATTACACTGCATTTTCAATTGCTTATTTTTAGGGTTAAATATATCCTTACTTTTTTTCTCTTTGTAAATCATGAAATAATTTAAATCACACAATTTTGTTAGGGAGTGAATAAGAATTTCATACTGTACCTGCAAAAACTGTCGTATGTTTAGTAGACGATACGATTGCACCTTGTTTGTTGTCGTGTTAAGTTTGACGCATGCAATGCGCACAGTCGCTTTCCAAAATATGGTGGAGTCTGTTCCTTTCTTGACAGCAAAAACTAATACGTGACCTTCACTGTCTTTGTACTCTCGGCAACTGTAAGGTAAACACCACGAATTATATTATCTAGAAACCTACAGAACTGAATGCTCGAGGGATACTAATATAAATTTTTATATATTTTTTGTACAGTAATTAGTTTGAAACTTGCATACATTATCTACTAGTAGTCTACTTATTACCCACCAGTAAAGTCTGTTTCCAAACCTTGGAAGTAGACTTCCAAACCCTTCAAACCCTCTTGACCCCTTCAACAACAATAATGGGAGACAGGTGTCTAAATTGAGTCATGCACCTTCCTTACATGTGATTGAGTTGAGTGATGTAACAGAGGAAGAGGTCATAGGTGAGGGTAGTTGTGGTGGCAATGTCGTAGTCTGCCCCGGCATGTTTCATCAGCTGGTTGTGGAGAGATTCCAGGTTCTCCCGCAGTGTGTTACTGTTACCTTGACCCATCTTGCTGCAATGATAACATGTGTGCATCATGAACTAACTTAAAGCTTATTTATATCTTTAGGATTGATAGGAATATCAAATTATGCATTAGTATTCAAACATGGCTATACAGTACCATACTAACAATGTGTTTACAATGACAAAGTTCTTTTAGGAATTGTGTTAAGTACATAAAGAGTGACTGGAATAATAGTTGACTTATTTTTGTATTTGGCTTTAGCAAACAACCAATTTATACAAATTTAATGAAAAATAAAGTAAAGTGGTTCAATACATAAGAAGAGCAAACACTACTACCCTATACATACACTAGAGGTAAGAGACGTAGCTTGTTCGTTGTCGACACTCCTTTATGGTCACATTGTAAGCTTTTGTACCATCTGTTCCTTAAGTTGTAAGTCTCTCGTCACTTGTGTGTGGTCTTGCAATGGTGCATAATTAACTCCTCGTTGCACTAATAATAATCTTCTAGGCTAGGATATTACCATTTATATTTTTTCTCAAAAAGTTTAAATGTATTCAATCAGATACTGTATTACATCTATTACATTAGGTGTCTTACTGTTTATATATCTTAGTGCACTATAAATGTACAGTAACTTTCAAACACTAATACCAATAAAACAAAATTTTCTACTTCATCGTATTACTAATTCTAACACAGCTACACATACTACAGTGTATACAGAAGTTCTTAGCACGAAGTAAACTTCACCCCTATGCCTTCGATTCCAAACTAGGAACTCTTATTGGTCAAGTTCCCCTGCTAGAGCCATCAACTTTGCAGCTAAGGCGGAACTGAAGCTCACACGATACAAGGGGCTAATGCTGTCCAGCAAGGCATAAGGAGTTTCAAAGTGCTTTTCTGAAGACTGAGAGTTGTCGTCGTATTTAGCTCCAACAATCCTAGAGGAAAATGCAGAGTTATCATTCTTTGTCGTAAAAACCATGTATGAAATTACTATTACAGCAAAACAATATTATTCTATAACATTAAAGTTGTACATAATTTCTAATTGAGTAGAATAAAATATTATTCTGATCTCTCTCAGAAGTATAAACTCGGATCATGGAGTTTCATATTGCTCATGATTTACATCATGAAAACCGTGAGGGTCACAGAAGTACAGTAGAGTTCGTTCTTGATGCACAATCGAGAATTCCGGGTTCGAATCCGGGAAAGGACAGAAATAGTTGGGCACATTTCCTTTCACCTAATGCCTCTATTTACCTAGCAGTACGTAGGTACTCAGGAGTTAGTCAGCTTGTTGTGGGGCTGCATCCTGGGAAGGGTCAGTAATTTGACTCTGGGTGGTGGGGGGAGGGAAGGGGACCTCAATAAAAGCCTAATGTGTATGAATACACCCTGGCTGCCTGTCCCCCAACACAGTGAACTATTATTATTATTATTATATCTTCATTATTTTTATGGAAGCAATCATCTACAAACAATAATATTTCATTCATTCGACCAGTTTTCTACTCATCATTTTGTCTATTATTTTATACTGAAATTCAAGATTTTTCACAATTTCTAGTACTTAAATTTATTTATATAGACAAGGCTACTGTAAGGAGCAAGTACAGTACAGGTATATAACACACCTAAATCCTGAAGCAGTCAGCTCAATGCAGTAGGTGTTTTCTTCCTTGGTTGTAAGGTTGAAAAAGATTGTGGTGTTTGAGGAGGGAAGGGAAGATACTTGAATCTGAGAAACACAGTCCTTCACATCCTGGATGACGGCAGCGGCCTCCACGTGCCACTCCTCTTTGTCATGCAAACGCTCCTCTTGGTCCTCCATGCTCCAATACTCATGCTAGTGTTGTATCAATGCATCATTTTAATTAATACTCGTAACATACAAGAAGAGAACGCCTGAAAATAACAAGCAAATGGTAAAAATGGTACAAGGAAGCATACAGTACCACAGATAGAGCATAAAAATCACTAACATCCCAAATTATAATTTTAGGTTTGGTTTGGTTTGGTTTTCATCGATGGTGCATGAGGAACACAAATCTGGCACATCAGCGATTCAAAATATTTTTGTAATGTTTGTGATTCCATTTGCATTACACCCTTACAAAGAAATCCAAGAGCCTTAGATCCACATATCTTACCCCTGACAACCACACTCAACAATTGAACATTCAGTCTGAGTTAAGAAGTGCACAAAATAATTACTTGGTAAATCATTAGGGCCACTATACAGTATTTAGCTGTAAAGTGATCTACAGAGTATCACTTGCTAGGTAGACTAAATTATAACACCCCCCCCCATAAAAAACACAAAACAAACATATAGTTATCCCCAACTACTGTGTATAATTGTATAGTGTAGTGAACCATTTCACAACAGAATATCAACAAGATAGTTGTTCATTGAACAATCAGTTATATTCCTGGTCAGATCACCAAGTGATATGACCAGGAATATATAGAGACAGGTCCTTTTGTCCGGTTGGGCCAAAAATGGTTGGGCACATTTCCTTTCACCTAATGCCTCTATTCACCTAGCAGTAATCCTGGTCAGGTCACAAAGTGATCTGACCAGGAATCACTTCCTGAAAATCACTTCCTGAAAAGTGGGGAAAATTGAGAGGCTACACTGACTCCATAGTGGGGTGACTCAACGTAGTCAAGGTTACCAATACTCACATTGGACCAAGCTGAAGTATCATTATGCAGCAACTTGTGACCACCACCTGTGTTGACACTAATACCTTCCCTTATTGACTCAATTACTCGCCATTCCAGCCTTGGCAAATCTTGTCAAGTTACCAGCCGCCACTGGTTCTATTTCGTCGTCTTACCACGACAACTAATGACACAGGTGCGACACTATGGTGTTCCTCATGAACTCCAGTAAGGGACTTTAAAAGTCCTCAGACCCACTCTCTCTTTGATGATACACATGTCAGTATGATATTATGGTGCTGTAACAGAGGTGAATTAAGGAAAGAAGCATTTACAGTAGAAGCATTTTACTAACACATTTGCCATGGCTGCTTTGTCATCTTAGGTTTAGTGTTAGTTCTTTTTGTTGTGGGGGACTCTCGTATCTTCATCCCAACCTTTCATTCTAAGTCAAGAGTAAGATTCTGGATTTTAGGAGAGGCCGTAACTTAGTTTGGGTCAGATTACTGCATTCTTCAGAGTATTATTTTCTGCATCGTGTGACTTCTCAATATGGGTATCTTCTGGCATCTAGATGCATTACTGTTTTTCCTGCTTAGCTAAGCTTCATACCATATTTTATGCTTCTAAAGCCAAAATTATACAGACTTAGTACATATATATTTAACTAGGTAGGCGTAAAGCTGCTGCTATGTTACCTAAGGTATATTATATGAGAAAATTATATGAGTAGATTGGATACTTGTCTATTGTTGCTAGTGCTAGTAGGACCTCAGAAGACAGTGGAGAAGAAAGAGTTGTGTCGACCACCAAACAGAAAAGAAGAATTAAGAAGGTTGAAAGTGGCATCGTATACAGTGTACAAGAACGTAACACAAGTGCTTTATACGTTGAAGAAAAGTGCAAATATCACTGCTCTTTATGCTAACTTTAGAATGACAAGACCAAAGGCATTAGAAAGGTATTCATAAATAGTCACACATCTTTATGTGAGGCAACAAAGAAGCCTAAGCCAAGATTGCTCCCTAAAAACAAGAAAATTTAATGAGCAAATGAACACTACTGAGCCATGTTGTGTTCTTATTCTGATTAGTGGTTTAGGTGTTCTAGGAATCACAATTGTACAGTATTACAGGTGTATTGTATCAAAACTTACAAAAATGGTGAATAAATTCTATATAGAGGGCTACACTGTACTGTAATATGTACAGTAGTACACCTGTTGCACATAAACCTGTTCCTGGCACAGCCTCAAAGGAAGTATCTTTCAATCAAATGATTGCTGCAATTCTATTTGAGCTAAATATAACATAACATTCAGGCATGGATTCAAACATGAGGTAACTACCAAATCATCATGTGAGGCTAACTACAGGATCCTTGTACAAGCTAACCTCATCTGTGTAGTAAGCAATTACAAAACATTAGAAGGATTTGTTTATAGGTCTTGGTCAACTTCATACATCTATATTTACATCACTAGTATAAAAACTGGCCAATAATAACAATAATCACCATACAACATTAACCACAGAGGCCCAGGTGATCAACAAATGATGATGACCGCACTTCTGAGAGTTAAAACTGTAGAAGACATGATTCATCAAATCAAAATGAAGTACAATATGTAATGTCACTACAAACTAAAACTACTGAGATCTTGACAGGGACACAAACATCAACTTTGAAGAGTATTTCAATTTATAAATGTTTTGTACTAACAATGGGAAGGCCAATTATACAAGCGTACTATTTTTGGGTTAATCCACTTTGGTTTGTATAATTGGAATGAATGTAATTCATGAATATCCAACCAAATAAGGGACAGATGCCTGTCTAAATCAGAATACAGTCATGATCCCAGAAACAGAACTTTGCTCTTCCTGGAAACCTAACCCATGAAAAAATAAATGATGGCTATCTGAATTTCCAAGTAATGCACAATTAAATACAAAATTTAAACTTTACTGTTTCAAGAACAACCGATATAAGCAGGCAGGCAGCAAGCGGTGAATTCAGTACAGTGCTGACAAAATGTAAACATTCTGAACAAAAATACCACCTGTCCTACTTGTTCGATAATGTAGATTAGATAGGGCATTAACACGTCCCGTAGTCTTCCCACACCAAGTGAAGTGGCAACTCTACTCTCTGACTCATTTACACTTATATTTTATTACACCAACTCTTACCCATGGGCCTTCACCACACTGCTAAGTCCTGCAATTGGTGTTTATTTTTAATGTTTAAACATTAATGTTTAATATCTAAAATTAGTATACAGTAATTCTGTCAAATAGTAAGAAGTTGAATGGTTTCACATGACAAGATTAAGCTTCAAGTGTTCTGCTACATAACCCAGCAACTAGATAGAGTACTTTGTTTTTATCAGTCGGTCTAAGGTGAGGGTGGGCAATGGGCAGGGGTAAGGGGTGGGCTGGGCAGAGGGGGTGGACTGGGCAGAGGGGTTGGGGAAGGCTGGGAAGGGCTTACAGGAGGTTGGGGTGGACTGGGCTGGATGAGGTGGGAGGGGCTTGGCAGGAGGGTGGGCTGGGCTGTGCTGGGAAGGGTAGGAGGGTGGGGTGGACTGGGCTGGACAGGGCAGGAGGGTGGGGTGGGGTGGATTGGACTGAACAGGAGAGTGGGGTGAGCCTGGATGGACAGGAGGGTGGGGTGGGCTTAGCAGAAGGGTTGGATGGACATGGCAGGAGGGTCGGGTGGGTTGGGCACGAGGGTGGGCTGGGCTGGGCACGAGGAAGTGGGGAGGGGAGGTATATGATATACAAGGTTCTGAATGATTCCTCGTACAAATTTTTAAGGGTTATTCTTATGTTGCCCAACCTAGCAGATGGCACTGATAATATCCTTTTGATGTGGGGTTCAGGAGACTGGTTCAGTGTGATATCTTCACACTCCTGATCTTTACACCCCTGATCTTCATCTCTACTAGATTCTTAAAGGATTTCACCTCCCATTTGATATTTTGTGGCACCTCCTGCTCCCTACCTCCCTAGTTGCATTACTTTGTAGTTACCAGAGTGAAACTCTAGTTGCTATATTTTTTAGACCATTCTTTCAGTTTGTCCAGGTAATCTTATAGCCTCTTGTTACATTACTCTGTGTTAATCCTCCTCAACAGCAAACATTGAGAGAAATGAGTATTCCTTCTGGAATATCATCTACATATATTAGAAACAGGATAGATCCTAGCACTGAACCTGGTGAGACTGCATGTTCACTGCAGACATCTTGCTTCTTAGGTGTCACCCCCTCACAGTAACCATGCTTGATATCTGCTTGATGGGGTTCTGGGAGTTCTTCTACTCCCCAAGCCTGGCCCAAGGCCAGGTTTGACTTTGAGAGCTTGGTCCAACAGGCTCTTGCTTGGAGCGTCCCGCAGGCCAACATGTTGCAACCCGTTCTCGCAAATTTAATAAGTCAATATTGACTTATTAAATATGTGCATAGGTGACATACTTAACACTTTCGCGCTATCTGGACGCGCCGGCGCGTTCGGTTTCGTCTAACGTAAACGCATAGTGGACATAAAGTTATGTCTACTTTTAAAATATTTGTATAAAATTCAATTTTTATCCGATTTACTTTGGGTTTGTTTCAAACTGCGCGCTATGAGGCTCTCTTTCTCACCACTAGGCTGCATGGTACAATAAGTTCATGAAAGGTGTGGATAACTTCGATCAAATGGTATTTTGTCCCAAACGGGTTGCAGGTGGGTGACTTTAGCCGTTTATACTGGTAATTCTTCTCCCATATCATGTATTATATGCATATGTCTGTTTAGGGAATTTTATTCCGATCAATATACAACCAAAAATAACTGTGTGCAACAAGTATAAACTTGACAAACATAACAAAAGTAAATATATTTCGTGTGTGTTTGACGCTCACTGATATGTTCCAGCGTTGTTTTATGTTTGTCGCTATTCTAACTTACGCTTTGTTGATATTTTTTACCTATGGGCACATAGAACATTCTATTGCGAACACATTGACATAAAAATGAATGACGTACATAGAAAATTAATGTCATGAGAGTGAAATAAGTATAAACTTTCAAAGCGCCGTGCGTCGTCCCGTCACCGATACCGGGTAACAATTTCACCACTTTCCACACTCTTGCGGGCGGGCTGCATCATTGTTCTACGCTTATATTCATATCACCGTGTTGGGAATTTCATTGCGAGTCCATTGATACCAAAATTAACGCTGTAGAACAAGTGTGGAGGTGATTACAATCCCAAGAGTAAAAACATTTTGTTGCTGATGGGCACTCACGGCGAGTCATCTACGTAGTTATTTATTTGGTGCTGGTATCCCTATATGTTTCGTGACTTATTTTACTGATGTTCTTCTAGAGAATTTTATTGCGAACACGTTGGTACCAAAATGAAATACGTAGCATGAGAACTAAGGTCAAAAGAGTAAAAAGAGTATACACATTTTTGTTTTTACGCTTAAGCGATAAAAACGCAGCGCGCACATTCGGTTGGCTGAGTGACCTTTGTGGAGAGCGCGAAAGTGTTAACATAATAGATACCCTTAAAAAGATTCATAGAAAACACCGACCTTACCTAACCTTGTTAGTATCTTAAGATAAGCATCTTATAGCTTCGTAATTACAATTATTACCTAACCTATAATAGGCATAGGTTAAGTAATAATTGTAATTACGAAGCAATAAGATGCTTATCTTAAGATACTAACAAGGTTAGGTAAGGTCAGTGTTTTCTATGAATCTTTTTAAGGGTATCTATTATGTTTAGTATATCACCTATGCACGTAGTTAATAAGTCAATATTGACTTTACGAATTTGCGAGAACGGGTTAACATATTCACCACAGCCCCGTTGGTCTGTTGTCCTCTGTTGCTTAGGTCCTCCCTTATCCTCTGGAGCACCTTCTCTGTTACCCCCTGCCTGCTTTTGCACTAGTCTCTTATGGGGTACTGTGTCAAAGGCTTAGTGACAATAAAAAAATATGCAGACTCCCCACTCTTCTCTGTCTTTTCTCATTTTTGTTGCTTGGTCAAAGACCACATTACTGTATTATTGTATTAGATGTCTCATATTAGACCTGAGAGGCAATGCATGGAGGCCTGGAAAACACCAGGCATAGCAATGTGAGTACCGAATGTTAACAATGTCATAATTCAACCCATCCTCCTGTTTAGATAGTACTTTTTTGCAACTATGTGCACCATAGTGCATATATTGGCATAAAAGGCAATTAGAATTTAGTACTACTGCATTCACTTTATTTACTCCCCAAAAAATAAAGCTAAAAAACAAATAAATATTCCTAGGCCTAGTATAGCACATATATATACTATATTAGGGCCTCAGAAAGTGTGTATTAGACCTAGAAAGGTTAGGCTATCTTAGTTTAGGTTGTCTTTGCAACAAATACAAAACCTTTTCCAGTTTGTCCAAATTCAATAGCAATGATTCCTACTTTCTGGCTGTCCATTATGTCATACTGTATACATTTCATCATACATGATACATACATGACACTCGGGAATCTGTACACCAGTTAATTGAGTGTTGAGAGGCAGGACCAAAGAGTCGAAGCTCAACCCCTGCAAGTACAACTAGGCAAGTACACGCATGGCAGCTCCCATAGAAATACAGCATGCAAAAAAAGCACTTTTATATGGCTAAGCGATATGCTTAACTGGCAAATGAGGAATACCTCAAGTAATAAGGTTAGAATTGTACCAAGACACTACAGTACTACAGGATTGTACTAATATGAGCATTATATTTGTATTGTATAAGATTTCATTTGTATTGTATAAGATTTCATTCACTTAAGGGACTATGTCAGACCAAAAAGCCGTATTGACAACATTACACGTGTACCAGTAAACGACTTCATGGGAGCAAGTGTGGCGGACAAAACAGCTGTAGTATAAATTAACATCATTATACTGAACACGTGTGCTTTATATATACACACACTAATTTAAATAATAAAAATATACACACCACTTGTACATGTATTCACTTCCTTCTCAAAATATGCATAATTCATTTTTTATAATTATGTGGAATTTCCAGAGATAATAAATAACCACTGGAGGTAAGCACACTAATGACTAAACAAGCCAAAATGTAATACTTGATAACTAAAATTTAATAATAGTATTCAGACTATACTCCCACATAAAAATTGCACAGTACCTTATTCAGTAGTGAGGTAAGGAGCCACAACATACAATTCTTGCAAGAACACAATCAGAATGGGAAATAACATCTACCATCAGAGGCCCCAATAACAATAGGGATCTCCCTAGTACCACTATACGTAAGTCTTGAATGTTTCAAGCATATATATAGTCTCCAGATACCAGACACTTGCAATTTTAAAAGTAAAAATTAATTCTGACAAAGCAATAAATTATTCCAACAAGGAAAACCCCAGCATTGAGTGTAATGAAAAACCTCTTCTGGGTGAGCCCCGGTGGCTCTCTGAGCTATTTCGCTGAGATGGCTCCTACCAATTGGGTCACATCAGCTGTGAAATTCTGTTTAGCCTACTGGGGATAAGTGTCACAACCTGGCCCCCTCTTATATGCAAAGAAAACCAGTGACACTCTGCCACTCCACCAGGAAAGCATCCAGAAAGTCAATGAACCAATACAAAACACTGCTGTGTTCAGAGATGTCGAACCCTCAAGACTATCAAAAATAATGTAAACTATCTCTCAAAACAAGCCTCAGCTCATTAACACTGTCCCCCACTACCACCACCAGTGGTGAATGGGCCCAGAGCGCCCTGTGTCCACTTGTCTATTTCTGAAGCAGTTTTGGAACAAATGAAACCCCCCCCCCCCAACCGATGACTTGGATGGAAGGGACGGAATCAGGAAGCCCTCGGTTCACCCAAAATGAGGCATTTCACTACTGTACACTCAATACTGGTTTTCTGGGGAAAGCCCCTTGTGGCTCCCTGAAGCTAACTGTCCACAGAGAAGAAGACAGAGGGACTTACAGGGAGAAGGATACACCACAGGCAGTCAGAACAAAGACGAGAGACCAGGACAAGAGAGAGAGAACTCACTGCAGCACATGTCCGAGACAGGCAAGAATGGTGTCCGAGATACCCAAAATTCTGAATGTAACTCATTTTGTATGCATGTACTTTTACCTGAATAAACATTATTATTACAGTATTATTATTATTCTGAATAGATGATAACTCTTAATACTACTGCTTTCAATCCTCTGAATGTCCCTGAATGTACTAAAAATACAAAATACTTCCCTAGGTGCTTCTCATACAATACCAGTTATGTCATCTTTTTTGTGTACAAAATATCCAAACAACAGTGTCCCCTGAGGCAGCAGCTAAATATTACAGTGCTTTAGTAGCCTGTATCCAATATATACATAATTCTTATGTTGGGTAATGATTACAAGTATTATTATTATTCAATTATACTAGACAGCCAAACATACTATACCCTTACAAACCAAAAATAAACTGAAGACATTTGTTTATTATAAATCATGGTCAACTTTTACATTGATGCCAACTTCGGTTGCCAAATAAATGCATTACTACAGTCAAGTTAACGAACTATTGGCTATCATTTAGTTTTACTATTACTCTACTGTATTAGAGTTAAACTACAGTACTAAAAATACAGTAATATCATACAGTACAGTATTAAGATCAACAATTAAAAAAAAAAAAAGAGGAATGACTTTGCTGTTAAAAATATGTTAGTCAAAAGTTACCTGCCTTGTAACATTAAGAATCTAATAGAATGAAGTGTCAAGAAGAGGTTTGGGCAAGTGGACCTACAACAAAAATCTGTCAGGTAGAGACAATGACACTGTTCCTTAGTGCTGTGACAGTGGACGGTTTCCTCCACGACAATGGTGTTATTTGTCCATTGTTGTGACAGTGGACATGCTTCACCTGTGGGGTCGTGTTATCTGGTCAGTGTGATGACAGTGGACATGCTTCACCTGTGGGGTCGTGTTATCTGGTCAGTGTGATGACAGTGGACATGCTTCACCTGTGGGGTCGTGTTATCTGGTCAGTGTGATGACAGTGGACATGCTTCACCTGTGGGGTTGTGTTATCTGGTCAGTGTGATGACAGTGGACATGCTTCACCTGTGGGGTTGTGTTATCTGGTCAGTGTGATGACAGTGGACATGCTTCACCTGTGGGGTCGTGTTATCTGGTCAGTGTGATGACAGTGGACATGCTTCACCTGTGGGGTTGTGTTATCTGGTCAGTGTGATGACAGTGGACATGCTTCACCTGTGGGGTCGTGTTATCTGGTCAGTGTGATGACAGTGGACATGCTTCACCTGTGGGGTCGTGTTATCTGGTCAGTGTGATGACGGTGGACATGCTCCACCTGTGGGGTCGTGTTATCTGGTCAGTGTGATGACGGTGGACATGCTTCACCTGTGGGGTCGTGTTATCTGGTCAGTGTGATGACGGTGGACATGCTCCACCTGTGGGGTTGTGTTATCTGGTCAGTATGATGACAGTGGACATGCTTCACCTCTGTATAATAATAATAATAATTGTTCAGGTCAAAGTACATACATTCAAAATGAGTTACAAAGAGGGTGTTGGAGTTGTAGATAAGAGTTAGTAGAGTAGTGGGCCTAGAGGGAGCACTACGCACAGCGTGTGTGGGGGGCCGTGGTGGTGGTGGGGGGCCGCCGCCCCCATGTTAAGGGAACAGTACTCACATGCTCTAGAGTTAGTGCGGCTCACAAGGCTCACAACGTACTACCAGTGGGCGTGGCAGAGGTACTGTGAGGGTAGTGGTAGTGGTGGTGGTGGTGGTGTGGGGCCGCTGTGTTGATACTGTGGCAGGCTGGGGCAGGGCCACTGAGCTATCACGCCTACACTAACACGCCTCCACTGAAGACATCTCCCCGCCATCTTGGAACACCCTATTTTCGCCTCTTATTTATTTATTTATTTATTTATGCATATACAAGAATGTACATAAGGAATGTGAGGATACAATTATGGTAATTACAGTCTTGTAAAGCCACTAGCACGCGCAGCGTGCTAGTGTAAAGCCTCTTTAGCCCAAGCCCAGCGTGTAAAGCCTCTAGCAGATTCAGATTCAGATTCAGATTCAGATGTTTATTCAGGTAAGGTATATACATACAAGTGATGTTACATTAATGGATTGATATATAGATAGAGCTAGTACATACAATGCCTAAAGCCACTATTACGCAATGCGTTTCGGGCAAGAAAAACATTAATATCTAGAACTTAATACTAATTGAGCATAAAGAATAAAAGATGTTGAGAACAAATACAAATAAAGATAAAAAAAAGGGGGAACATGACTGAAAAAGCAGCACAAATACAATAGGTTGACAAACAGTGTTGATTAAAAAAAAGAAAAAAAAAGAAAATAACAGACATGGGTTGACAATAGAGGAGTGAGGTAGATTACAGGGAATTTATTAGGTAGTGTTTAGTTTTTATCTTAAACTGGTTGAGAGAGGTACAGTCTTTAACATGGTTGGGAAGGTCATTCCACATTCTGGGCCCCTTGATTTGCAGAGCATTTCTAGTTTGATTAAGACGTACTCTAGGAATATCAAAACTGTATTTATTTCTGGTGTGGTGCTCATGGGTTCTGTTACAACCTTCTATGAAGCTTTTAAGATCAGGATTGGCATTATAGTTTAGCGTTTTATATATGTATAATACACATGAGAGAATGTGCAGTGACTTAATATCTAACATATTAAGAGATTTGAGTAGGGGTACCGAGTGATGTCTGGGGCCAGAGTTGGATATTGTCCTAATAGCAGCTTTGTGTTGGGTAATTAGAGGACGTAAGTGATTTTGGGTAGTAGAACCCCAAGCACAAATACCATAGTTGAGATAAGGATATATAAGGGAGTAATAGAGAGTCACCAGAGCAGGGCGTGGTACATAATATCTGATCTTAGAAAGAATGCCCACAGTTTTTGAAACTTTTTTTGATATATTTAGCATATTTAGCAAATATTTATTTACCTGAATTTACCCGAGAGCCATTAACACTAGTGGCCTCGACGAGGACAGGAAGCCGGCGACTTGTCGAAGATCCCCTCCCCCCCCCCATTTGCCTTGATGATCTTTTTCAGCTGTAAACGTTAACAGTTTTGGCATTTACGGCTTGGGCGGGTAGGCGGTTCCCTGCGTGAGCCGCGTCACTCACACTACTAGGAAGTGTTAGTGTGTCGAGACGCGAACTTTATAATAATAAATAAATAAATGTTTATTTAGGTAAGGTACATACATACAAGAGATTTTACAAAGATTGATGGATTTATAGATAGAGCTAGTACATACAATGCCTTATGTCATGAGTACGAAGGATACTATGAGAGTTTTTGAGTTCATATATGAAAGGAAGGCAGAGCACAGTGGTACTAGTTGGAAACAGGTTTAGGACAAAAGACATTTCGTTTAGCTCGAGGATAGGCACACTTGATAAAATGTTAGTGATAATTAAGGCGAGAGAAAGATTAGTAAATAAGGGGAATTCCAGAATAAAAAAAACTGTGGATCACTGATGCGTAGAGCGTGGAGGAAGAGAGACGAGGACACTTGTCTTAACAGATGGAGGATTGTAGGAAAAGAAGTGAATATACATGCCACTATGCATGGGTTTGTGGTCGAGAAAGAGAACCCGGACACAGCTGTGAAAATGAACGCCAAGAAAAAGAAGGATTTTTATTGTTGCCGCCTGAGGCGGTTGGTTTATTGTGCACCTCATACACATCCTGTGAGCAGTAGCTCCAAACACACCAGCGTTTTAAGTAATGAAAAGAACACTGTTTTTTCTCAAAAAAACGGTGGGTTTTCTGAGGGAAGAAAACGTATGTCTGGGAGCTGAGTCTAACCACCCACTCTTGTGGGTGGTTAGACTTGCGCAACGAGCCAGTGTTATATAAGCTCTGCCCGCAGACTGGGGGGGCTCCATTTGGTCACCACTTGGTCCGGGAGACATCTCCCGTCACGCAGGGTGCAGTTGCGCCTCCACAGATCTCCAGTATCATCTTTTGATACTGGTAATGGCTCGAAAGGGCCACCACTTACGGGCTATTCATGCCCGTGCCACCTCTTGGGTGGCTTAATCTTCATCAATCAATCAATCAATCACTGGGGGGGCCCTGTTCTCGACAAGCAAGCAGCTGCTCACTTACAAAACAACCTGCAATAAGACAAGCCAAGTGCTACATAATACATACATAAAGTATATGGTTACTCCATTTGCCATGATCTTTTCCAGCTGTATTTTAAAACCCAGCAGTTTTGTCGTTTACGGCTTCGGCGGGTAGGCGGTTCCACGGGTTTACAACCCTATGGGTGGAAAAGCATCTGTTTTCTGTCCTATATTGTGGTTTGTTGAACTTGAACTCGTTGCTCTCGTTGGTGTTACATCTGTCCTTTTCAAGAAATTGACCGGATCGACATCCTCCAAATTGTCCAGTATTTTTAAAGGTTTTGATGAGCATCATAGAGATTTTGATTTGCACATTGTGTAGTGATGGTCCTTGGTGCAAAAAAAAATGCTGCACTTTTGGAGTACTGACGCTTGTCAGTGGGATGGGAGAGCTCGTAGAACTTGAAGCACTGATGTATCTTGTGGTATTGTTCCTTATTCACTTGGTAGGGAGGACTCTTAATGCCATAGCAGTTGATTCCTTGTGTACTAGTCTGTGTAGTCGCACAGGCTAGAGGAACTTGAGAGATGAAGGTTGTTTTTGCTACTAGAGAGATGGTTATTTTCGCTACTAGAGAGATGAAGGTTATTTTCGTGGTTGAATGTTTGCCGTCCTCTCCGCCGAGGAACATAGCTCAGTACACCAACATGTTATGATTTTCTGTCTCTACATTGGTGAGGACGTCCAGTATGGTCTTGTCGGCGATCCATTGGCTAGTTTCACTGACAAAGATCATTCTTGCAGCCAGGTATTGATGTGGGTAGTTGAGAGAGAAGTCGGCTTTGTCCAATTCACTTAAGCGTTCCTGTAGGTCCTGTCATTCTGCCATCCTACTCCAAAGATTTTATCATTAATTTGGTAAGTTAAGGATTATTCTAAACTAAACAAGTGGTTTAGAGAATATATTTACATCTCGGGGACTCAAAAATAAACATGCCAGCAAACGAAGATAATCACAGTCAATGCAAGAAACTATCGCTCAGCACAAGTAACCAGTACCGTACTGCTATTTCTTATCTCTGCATGAATAAAATTGCACATTACACAAATTCCTAATTAAAACATACCTGCGTTTCCATATTATATTTGGCAATATCAACATCCAACAAATGCACTTTAAATATATATATATACCCAACATCTTCACCTGGCTACAGAATAAAGAGATGAAGTATGCATCACCCATAATTGCACTCTTGTTTCAGTTTACAAGTGTGCCAATGTCAATCAATTCTCCAACCCTCTAAAAATTATAACAATTAACATTTGTACCCATATTCATTATAGAGTAGTTTAAATAGAAACACTTGTTTCTATAGAATAGAAATAGAAACATTAGAAACAGTGTACTAGACAGTAACATAAGAAGGTGAACTTGGACAAGTATGCAATACTAATCTCAATTACCAGTTACACATTTTCTATATAGTTTAAATATGAAAAAATATTTAATTTAGATGGTTTAGAAAATTTATCATGATACAATTAAACTTTTTAACCTTTTGGAGAAGACATCTTTGAAAATGTCCTCCTCATTGGTTCTTATTACATAGGAATAAAGTTAACTGCAGAAGATCTATTGACCTACATGAGGCACTTTCTATTTATATCCACCCAAACCTATTCATATTTATGTCTAACCAATTGTACCCAGATGTACACAAAGGTACAACATTTGTTTTGCCATGAAATCTCACAAAAGTTGCAAAACTGCAATAAATACAGTACTCTTATTAATTCGTATGGTTAAAATACTTTAAATACAAATATTTCCTTTAAAACTTTTTATTAAAAATATAGTTTATACATAGGTGATACGTACATGCCAAGAAATATACTCGTATCTGGCACTCAATTTCCAGCATGCAATTTATATTTTAAGCTGTGAGAACACCCATAGTCATTTATATTAATAATATGCCCTGGTCTGGGATGCACTAACTTCATAACAAAATATGTTTAAAACAGTATAATAATACTTCCAAAATATATATATCAAAAAAGCTTACAATTGTTCACTACAACTGAAGACACACTAAAACTTTAATGCAAGATATATTCTTGTTCTAAAGGCAATACATTTGCAAAATTCTTAGTTAACTGAAGTACTATGACAAAAATGGGGTACCCAAGCATTATCACAAACTTGAAACTCTTAATACTGTATTCTGGAGGCATACAAGTTTTAACACTTTATAATGTGGACTAACAATGTTTCTGTAGTACAAATCTCTGCATACAAATCTTCTAAACAAATTATATTCTGATCAATATGCATCAGTCTCCTCTTTATAATGTTAAATACAATAAACATTATTATTTTGTTAAAATAAGTCAAAGCTGTGCTAAGTTTCACAATACATACAGTAGAATATATGCAAGCTACTATAAATATTTTGTTCTTTACTTGGTTATAATATGCTTGACTAAACAAATCTACTTAGCAATACAATCTTTACAAGAAAGCATTTTTTCCCATTTGTCTTCTTAATGTCTGGTACTATCTTCCAATTTTACAAGTTGTACCTATCGTCTCACATTCTGACATAGATGGGCAATTACTAATTACACAATATTAATCACTATCGTGTAAAACCATCAAACTTTCTATAACACGGATTCTTTCCTACGAATGTGCACTGCTACCCTTAAGAGCCTCACATCAAAACTACAATCAATTTATTTAGCCTTAACTGAAAGCAATAAATTTATCGACAATATGATTAACTATTCACTGCTTACAAATATATATATTAGGTTTGTTTACTATATTCTTTTACAGTTTTGCCCAATAGTCATTGTCTGTTCTCTTACTGGCACTTTATGTAAACATCTTGGTTACAGCTTTAAAATCTATACTTAGCCATCTACATTTGCCTATAACTTCAACTATGCTCCTATAACTCCAATTATATTTATATGAACTTTAGCTAGACAAGCATTCATCATGTATTCCAAATGTTCCAATTACCTAGCTTTATATATTTTATTTTTAAGAATAAAAAATTGATTTGTTATATCATTATTACAAGTGTGTTTACAATGCCTCATTCTCTTCAACAATGTAGTGGTACACACACAAATCTTTCTTAAATACTTGAAATACATGTTATCTCAATATTCACAAATGAACATTCTGAACAATCTACCCACCATATACCCAAGACCCACCAAGTCTTTTTTATATAATACAACACTTAAACAGTGACACCACTGTCAAATGATCCACCATTGTCAGTGACGCACCACCATTAACTGAGAAACTACTGGCAATAACACCACAATCAATGACACACCACCGTCAATGCCATATGACTGTCAGTGACACACCACTGGTGGTAACTAAAGACTGTCACTGACATGCTGCCATTAGTATCATACCACAGTCAGCAACATAGCACACCACCAACATTAACATATGTCAGGAGTAAAACCATTACTTTTCCCCAAAATATTCATTTCTGAAAACCATTACTATGTACGCCTCTTGGAACAAACACATTTAAACAGACGCCTTTTTGTTCTATCTCATCTTCTGTTGACTATGCCATCAGCATGGATTTGACAATTTTCAAGAGCAATTTTTGTTACCAGAAATAATAAAGCAGGCATTAATTCATAATTTAATATATTCATTATATCTAATAATGTAATAATAATAATGATGCTATAGAACCAGAATAAACAATACAAAATTGTTATTTTATTGTATTTATCTTTAGTCAAGCTTCAATTGTCTTATGATGATCAAATGGCCAAACTTTTCATGACATTAATACTGTATTGCTTTGCAGACGACGAGTCACAATAACGTAGCTGAGGATATAAAGACTAAACCACACACCAGAAGATGAGGAGACGACGCTGTTTCAGTCTGTCCTGGACCATTATCATGTCAATTGTGATAATAGTCCAGGATGGACCAAAACGTCATCGTCTCCTCATCTTCTGGTGTGTGGTGTAGTCTAATATTGCTTTATTTTTCTTCTTAGCCCTTTGGTTGTGCTAGAAGAATAAAAATATAATTATTTTTACCATACAAAAATATGGTACTGTATTGCCAAAAATGTACAAAAAATGTCCCCCCAAAACTGCTACTTCTCTGGTTATATGAGGTATACACAGTAGCTGGGTGGTGCAGTCAATGTCTCACAACCAGATATGCAGCTTGTTTACTCGTGGTGTAGGGACATGAGTGGCCTCAAATGATAAACTTGGACAATTTTTATGTTCGTGGCTTCACATGTTAGTTTGCATTATTTTGTTGTTGTTGAACATCTCAGTTTATGAACAAATATTTGATAACAAGTGATTAAATACTATATGGAAGCCTAAAATGTAATATGTACACCAGTTGGAAAAAATCCTTAGGAACAGTGTGGGGGGAAAAACTTTGACATGCCGCCGGCTTCTAGTTCTCGTTGAGGCTGATAGAGATAGTGGTTTTCAGGTAAATTCAGGGTAAAACACACAAACCTGTCCTCGGAATTTCTCAAGGGAAATGTCCAGCAACCAACTTCTTTGCTGCTGTTCTGTCTGGGAACATTGTCCAAAAACAAATTCAAACAAAGGCAGGAAAGACCAAACTGTGATTTGAAAATAATTGTAAGCCACTAATACATGATAATTTCATTGCATAGTAAATACAGAAATTAAAAGTGATAGCAAATTATTTTTGGAGTCTTGGCTAACTCCTTTACATTCATGTATTATAGCTTTTATACCCATATTTACACGATTTACATAAAACCAGGATATAATAACTAAAATTGGAAAATGAAGATAACTGCATTGGTCCAGAGATTAACATATGACAATTACTAACCTTCAGAGGTGGATATCATCATGAGTTGATCATTGGGGTAATGCAGAGTTTTCATCACATGTTGATTAGTTATTATCACCCAGTTATTATACAAAGGATGCAAATCTGGTTATAATACATATATTGTACCTGGTACTGTATATGGATATTGTACCTGGTACTGTATATGGATATTGTACCTGGTACTGTATATGGATATTGTACCTGGTACTGTATATGGATATTGTACCTGGTACTGTATATGGATATAATGAAGTCAACCAGACCCATGACAAAATCTGCTATTGTTTTTAATGGCTTAAATTAGATGAGGCGCATCTGAGCTTTGCTCTTTTTTGCAATTGAATAAAAAGCTTCTGGTTTACCTGATATTCCAAAGAAATGTGTTCCATTTGAGTGGGAGTGCATGGTTCAGTGTACTATAAATATCTACATAATTATTAGCAACTGGTGTAATTGAGGAGTAAAATACAGTATGTACATTCTGCCATAGAAGTAATGCACATCAAAATGAAAAAATGCAATTTAAGACAACTATAATGCCTTCTTGCTTATATGCAATCATTGTAAATGTTGCAAAACATTTTTATTAATTTGCACAGTGGGAATTTGATCCTGTAATGAATGAAGAGTAGTATCTGCTACACCATGCATTTACATCTTAAAACTAATAACTTGACAACTAGATTTAGGTGAACCCTTAAATGCATAGAAAGGATAGGAAAATAGCTATAAATAGGGGTGAAAAAATCATGACTATAAATGGGCCAGCCCAAGGCAGATCACAAAGTAATGCTTTAATGAATATTTATTTAAATCATGCACATAATATAGTATTTTCAATCATTGTATTTAAATATTTTCTTATATAAAATACACTACACAGTGAAGACTTGTGACTTCTCTTGACAACATTCCAAGAGATATAATTTATAATAAAGTAGAGGCTGGAGCCCCTTGGGATGAGCCCTAAACCTATCCCTTAAAAGCCTTGGCTACATAAAAGCCTTGGCTACATAAAAGCCTTGGCTACACAAAAGCCTTGGCTACATAAAAGCCTTGGCTACACAAAAGCCTTGGCTACACAAAAGCCTTGGCTACATAAAAGCCTTGGCTACACAAAAGCCTTGGCTACATAAAAGCCTTGGCTACATAAAAGCCTTGGCTACACAAAAGCCTTGGCTACATAAAAGCCTTGGCTACATAAAAGCCTTGGCTACATAAAAGCCTTGGCTACACAAAAGCCTTGGCTACGTAAAAGCCTTAACTGTGCAAAAGCCATCATAATATATCTCCCATCATTAACTTTGGCCAATATGCATCATTTACCACTTTTAAAATATATAACAGTGGTGTGCCCCTTTCCCCCCCCCCAAAAAAAAAAAATCAGTGTACACGTTACCACTCTTGGCTTAAGATTCACTCTCAAACTATTTTGTGTTAAGGTACAACTTCAGTGGTCCAAAATATTTAACAAAATAAGCCTTTATAAAATAAAAATAATAGAAATAACAATTATACTTGCTTCATATAAGATGCATAATAATTATATATACAGCTTTTGGTGGTGGACAATTTGAATGTCCTCTCTTAATGGGATAATATATATACAAATCTCCAGGTTACTGCAGAGGCCCAAAATTACCACCATATAAACATTTGGTTGACACATTACGAACCTATACCCCAACTCTAATAATTACAAACAATTATTATACAACATTCAAGACATTATGAATTCAAAATATACAGTTTGGGATACATATACAAGTAATACAGAGAAATACTGTACAAAGCTGACTTAAGAGCGCTAAACGCTCTCTGCGGTAATGACGTAAGATACACAATACTGAGCCATGTATTTACAAGTAACACGAGCACACTCTTGATAATACACAACAGGTAGGGTTGTAAACTGTCTTTTTTGTTAACATTTTTCCATAAAGAAAAAGATAAGCATACTAACAACGAAACACAAAATAATTTAACTTTTCATAAACCTTTTGTTGCACAGTACAGAAAGAAATTCTACAAAATAGCACCTCATACACACTGTTGAACACCATAATGGAATGCAAAGCACAGGAAACTGTTACATGATAAGTTAATATGAACGCTTTTCCAGCCTGCATCACAGAGATGAATACCTAACACTAATTTTAATGGCAATACAACTCTCAGATGCATTCTGTAACCGGTATGATACTCACCAAGACTCGTCGTTATAAAACACTGAACTAGAAAATTATGAAGGAACTCGGTCATTATTATGAACAGTTTTACCCCAACTGTCATTTGTCCCAGTTTCCACTGCTTTTCAGATGTATAAAGTCCATTTCATAACAGTAATGGGATTACAAATCCTGATGTAACAAAGAAATCTTAACATGATTCCCGACAGTGTTAGAAATAATGGTGTAGTATATGATATGACCTAAAACAAGGCAAAATTTTCAGGTACCTTTATGAGTGGAATGATAATATCATTACATATTACTCATCACTTTCTGCTGGAAAATATTTGTGAGAAATCGGAGAGAAGTCCCTCAATAACACGATTGTGGAGCATCACGTCTGTCATGAGGTCGTGAGATGATGTTACTTGTGGCCAAAGAAGGCAGGGTCCAAACACGATGGCTAGGTTTGAAATACTCATCCGATTTTCACTCTCAAATTCACTTACTCTGTTAAATGGAGAATAAATTAAGACATACTGAAAATTGAAGAATATAGTACAAAAATTAAAATATAATACAGTACATACCAGTAAATGTAATAATATTTATTCTGTATTATTCTAACATTACCATGAATTCACTGGTAATACATAAATCTAGCACCGAATATAATGAAATGCCTCTAACTGATGAACTATTCAGTAGCTTCCAGGCCATGACCAAGCCTTGAAGACCACACCAAGTCTCTGAAGACTCACGAGTACTTACCAAGCCTTGAGGACCACACCAAGCCTCTGAAGACTCACGAGTACTTACCAAGCCTTGAGGTCCACACCAAGCCTCTGAAGACTCTCGAGTACTTACCAAGCCTTGAGGACCACACCAAGCCTCTGAAGACTCACGAGTACTTACCAAGCCTTGAGGTCCACACCAAGCCTCTGAAGACTCACGAGTACTTACCAAGCCTTGAGGTCCACACCAAGCCTCTGAAGACTCACAAGTACTTACCAAGCCTTGAGGTCCACACCAAGCCTCTGAAGACTCACGAGTACTTACCAAGCCTTGAGGTCCACACCAAGCCTCTGAAGACTCACAAGTACTTACCAAGCCTTGAGGTCCACACCAAGCCTCTGAAAACTCACGAGTACTTACCAAGGACAAGAACCAGAATAAGCCTCGCTCAAAGAGGCATAGGAGTACAGTAATTAGGAATCAGAGATCACCACAGAATTGAGCCAAATGTAGAAAAAAGAAGCAAAACACTTCAAAATACGAAACTGCTGGAAAAAATTTGTAACCCTGAAGTAAACAATGCAATTTTTTTTTATTGTGGGTAATTTCCCGCTGTGAGAGGCCCACCAGTCACCAGATGGCCTGGCAATCCAACATCTCAGCTTGCCAGTAAGCCCAATTATAAGCCACCCCAGGAGACAACCCACCAGATCTTATGGGGATGGAGGAAACAGGGTACGGAAGGAGTTACTAAGTAGCCCATCAGAAAGAGGTATATCATTACATTCAACATTGGATTTCTAGGAGGGTCCAAATGACCCAGAGACAGCCCAGCAAGAGAACTGAACAAGACAGCCTGGAGAAAGTCGAACAAAAATAGCCTGGAGACAACCAGTGAAGACAGCTCAGGTACATAGACAAGCACGGTAGCAACAAAATTCAACCATAAACAGCAATAGCATGAGGTAGCTCTGCTTGACAATACTGGTATAGGCAGACGATGAGTCACAACAACATGGCTGAAGAAATGATGACCAAACTACAACTCAGAAGATGGAGAGGCAATAATGTTTCGGTCCGTCTTGGACCGTTATCAAGTCATGTCAAGACACGGCGTCGTGTCAACATTTGGTAACATTATGTCTATAGCTCATTTCAAGTTCCAACATTTATGACACTCTTGATGTACTGACTGCCATCCCCTATCCTTACCATAGCTTGTATTTTCATCAATTACCTGCTTACTCCCACTCTTTACCACCACTTGATGAACATAAAATCATTCCAATTACCCGAAAATTTGGGTTGCAAAAATTCACATTACTGAGCTCTTACAGTACTGTATTATTTCTTTCTTCCCCAGAAACAATTATTAATCAAACTACTGAAGGTATTAAGTCATACCTGAGAAGATGCTGAAGAAGAACCTTGAGAGTATCATAATTTTCTGGTGGGAGCCTGTTCACAGCTTTTGTCAATTTCTCCACTTGTTGGTTCATCCGCCGGTACTCTGAAAAGGACGTGTATCAGAGGAAAAATTTAAATATTAGATAATTTATTATCTATATTATATGTATTCTGCATATAAAAGTGTTGTGAACCCCAAATAGCCTCATGACCTAGGTTCTGCCTAGCATGAGAGATATTCCTCACCCAAGCACACAGTTGATTAAAACAGGACGTCTAGCACGGCTTGCAAAGTAAACCACAGTTGTATGAGACGTAAGAGGCACTGTTAGGTTCGTGTGTGGTAGCTAATTAGAGCTCATATTCATTGGAGGACAAGTTGTTGATGGTTCTACCATTGACCAGTTAGAAGAATACTTCATCAGAGAGGTGGTTTACTTGATTAAAAGGAGGATTGTTCCACAGCTGATCACAGAGATCATTGGACATCTGATCCAGAGATCATTGGACATCTGATCCACAGAGATCATTGGACATCTTTGCTTGGTTGTTTGAGGAGTCCATTGTACTCATGTATGTGATGCAGTATATGGAGGAGTGTGTGTATACCTGTTCTTATTCAGATGCATGAAAATAATTTTGAGGCAAGGGAGTGACTTGAATGCACATTCTGGTGATTTTCAAACACCTGCCTTAACTGATTTGGCCATGAAGGCACAAAAGTAGACTAGCCTGGAACACTACTGAGTCACTGAGAGGTTCTGAAGTCCCTGAACCAAAGTCCAACCAGGGTTTTACAGTCCATCTGACCACATTCTGGCCTACGGTAATGACGTTCACACTCTTACGACCTACATCAGACCCAAGTAAATAGAAAATGTGGAAAGAGCTTACTCATGGGAGGCAAAGGAACATGCAATAAATAGTGTGAGGTTAATACCCAAAAAATATCTGAAAAATCAAGGTAGCTCTTTTCTTTACTAAAGTATCTGTATCTTACATGAAAGCTGCCACTTGTCCAAAGAAAACAAAGGGTTGTATAATAAATAAATAAATAAATAAATATATTTATTTATTTATTAAATATTCTATACTAAGACACCTGACCACCACACCACACACAGCTGGTAGAGCAACACAGGGCAAAAATTCAGAACAGGAACATGAGGCCAGAGATGACTGATCACCAGCACATCAGTTCAAAAACTGGAGTGGTGGGCTGCCCACTCCCCCTCCCCCCATGGGGGAGTAACACTAACAAGTAGGAGTGCTAGTTGCATGAAGTGTTGCTTCTTGGATTTCTTTCTAGGGGAGTCATTTTGATATTTTTGGATGTTGATTGCACAGGTTAACCAGACAGTGGTCTGTCTGTTTTGATTTGTCTACCTTTCTGGGTCCTTCCCTGGTCGATGGCAATTATGACATACTTTAAATGTAAAGTGCTCATAGGCCATTGCTCCCTGTGCCTCTCTGAGGGGACCAGGTTCTGGCTCATGGCTCCTGGTAGGCATAAGAACTCCTGTGACTGATGACCCCAAACTAATATAGCACTTACCAGTTCAGGTATTTTCAGGGAGCCAACAGGGCTCCCCACAGAAAAGCTGCCAAAAAATGATAAAATTCACTTTTGCAAACAGGGTGGTAGATAGTTGGAAGATGTTAAGTGAGAAGGTGGTGGTGGTGGAGGCCTAAAACCATCTGTAGTTTCAAAGTGTTACATAACAAAGAGTACTGGGAAGACGGGACAACACGAACAAAGCTCTCATCCTGTAACTACACTTAGGTAATTACATTGTTGGGGACACATGCAAGAACACCTGAGCAGACTACTTCAACACAATCAGCATCAACACATACCTTATTTTCAAGCTGCTACTATGATAGCATGGAAGAAAAAACACTTCAATATAATTTTGTTCATAGGGAGATGGTATAATACTCTGAGCACTTTATATCAACAAAGATTAACACATTATTGGAGGCTAAATATAATGTACTGCAAGCATTTTGTACAAATGTTGTGTGTTGCACAAGGGAAAGGCATTTAATATACTGTACAGAGACGTGTCACCTGAGCTTCTGGAACTCTACTCCTCAAAGCGTATATATATTGCACTGTCTCCGCCCTGTGCTGCAGTGAGGCGGTATAGTGCAGCTAATCATGACTCGTGCCTCATTATGAGAGCCTGGTACAGAAGGAATCTTTAACAAATTCCTGGCCAGTTAATCAGGGTTTCTTTCACTCACCATTTTGTAGGCAGCGAGACAGTCACATACATCATTTCTGGCCAAGTGTAAGGGCATTATAGAACAAATTCATGGTGCACTGGATTCAGTCCCGAGACAATGGACATGTACTTACCTAAAGAATTTTATTTTTCTAACTCTTCGTGTTTAAGTAGTAAAGAAAGTACTGGAATTTGCTGATCTCTCATTGTATTGCTGTGAACAATGCAAAGATATAAAAAACCAGCATTGGATGTAATGAAACACCATTTTCTGGGTGAGCCCCGGAAGCTCCCTGAAGCTATCAGTAAAAGGTAAAGGACTGGAAGGACTGATGACCCCTGGAAGAAGACCAGGAGACATGACCACTACCCACAATTCCTCAGGGGAATGGACAGGATCAATGTACCAGTCTCTGATCAGGTCTCATGGTTGGTGGTCTGAGAGGGTAAACTATCAGGAGAAAGTGCCAAGCCATTATGACTATATAGCATTTGGAAGGGGGTCAGGATAAGGATCTGGGATGGGACGGGAAAAAATGATGTCCAACCATTTGGACGGTCGAGGATTGAATACCGACCTGCATGAAGCTCTACCGTCCAGCCCAAGTGATTGGATGGGTGGAGGTCTGGTCTTCCAGGTTGTTTGATGTGACTGCTCGCAGCCTGATGTATGTGTTACAGCCTGGTTGATCAGGTATCCTTTGAAGGTGTTTATCAAGTTCTCTTTAGAACACTGCGGGAATTCATCCAGTTATGCTCTTATGTTTAAAGCAGAGATTTTCAACCCTTTTAAACTCACGGTACACTCAACAAGGCACTGAAGTAGTGGAGGCACTCCATCAGTTTTTTGTGTGTGTTTTTGTCAGTACATGAGAATATTTTCCTGAGATGTGAGTTGACTCCTTCAAATGAATGGCAAGAAAATTGACTTCTTCCCTCAAACTCCCACAGCACACCTGTGGACCCTTCGTTCCACACCAGTTGAAAAAACTGGGAAAGAGGGAAAGTGTTAAAAAGTCTTGGGTGCCGAAGCTGCCGAAAACATAAAGTTCACTTTTGCAAACAGAGTGGTAGACGGTTGGAAAATGTGAGAAGGTGGTGGTGGTGGAGGCCAAAACTATTAGTAATTTCAAAGCGTTATATGACAAAGAGTACTGGGTAGACGGGATACTATGAGTGTAGCTCCTATCCTGTAACTACATTTAGCTGATTATACTTAGGTAATTACTTTGTTATGCTGGTGGGGCTCCTGACTCAAGGGCATTAGCTCAGAAAATAAAAAGTGAATTATACATACAAAAAAAATTAAATGAGCAAAAATATAAATGAACTGCAAATGATCATTTAAGCCAACATCATAACATAAATGCCTGGTTCACAATTCCTAGCCACAACATTGATAGCATCAACCTTTCAATATGTAACAACACTGATACAAAGTTCATTATTTGGTAGCAGGTGTTCTAGGCATCATTATGGAAGTATCAAAAAGCTTTGTGTAGCCAAACACATATAGAACTAATTACCAGATCCAGTAGCTTGGATGAAGTCCTGGTAATTGTCAAATGGAATCAGCGGCTCCTTGAGCTCACGGAAGAACAACTTCAAAGCCCCAGACAGGTTGTGAATTTCCTTCTCTCTACTCAAAATGCTGTAGTTTCTCTGGGCAACCTGTGGAAAAGAAAAACATTACCTAACAGTTGAATTTTTTTTATAGCTCTCTAGATTTATAATTGAAAGTTAAATCTCACCCTGAAAGATAAGAAACATTTGGTAAATCCTTCCTAAATATTTCACTTATTGACTAGAACAATTAGAAATGAATATCAACTGATTTGAACTAAATTATACAGATCTCAATACAGCACTACACTACACAAGTTTGTCAATCTGAATAGAAAAACTGGATTTCTAGTACAGTATATACAATAGTTTCATAGATAGTGAAGATATGCGAGTACATTAGTTGGTATGAGCAGAGGGAAGGAAAGGCTGCCTCGTGGTTGGGGAATGGAGCTATAAGCTGATTGCTTCACACCAACATGAAGCAGCTCACCTCGGGGTAACCAAACTTCTCACAAAATCAATGGAAGGACACATCACCAACGGTCCACTCTGTGGAAATGAGACAAAAGAAAGATAGACTGTCTGCAAAAATGCTGGATACATTCTGCAGGTGAATTGCATGAAGAACCAAACTCTGAGAATCCAGAAGCTGAGCTACTCACAGAGTATAGCTCCAAAAGGGAAGGACTGAAGAGAACCTAGTGATTCAGATAATGAACCACTGGGCAGCAGTCGAAATGGAGCCCGGAGAAACATAAATTTTCCACAGAGCCTGCAATACTGCTACAAACTTGTTCACAGCTGCAGCTGAAGGAGGGGACTCACGAAACGACCCTTGGAAGCCTGGTAAGTATTCTTACCAGGCTTCCTAACCCAGGTCCGAGGCAGCAGTATACCTGTACATGCTGAGCGATGGAAGTGGAAGGCATCACAGAACTGAACCTCAAAATGTTTGAGGAGGAAGCCTGCAAACAAACAAGTGGCAAAGAGCAAACAAAGTTCAGATCCAATGGTCCTGGCAATGGTGAAAACTTGCCAAAGGAATCATAACAGCTCACTAAGCCAAACTTTGCCCATGGGGGAACAACAGTAGGTAATTACAGACAAAATCCAGGCTCCCTCTCAACCAATCACCGAGTAATCCTGGGCCGTTGCAATACCAGACGGAGATGCCACTGCAAGCAGAGCAGAGCCACAGGAGGAAGAGAGGGGGACGATGATTGGAAATCCCAAGCCAGGTCTAATAAAGTCTGAACCTGGGAAAGAACCAACTGGGACTTCCTCTAAGACACCAGGAACCTGACCCAGGCAAGGTGAGAAACAACCAGATCCTTAGCTTAGAGACATGTGGACTGGCTGGGGCCCAAACCAGACAGATGTCAAGGTAGGCCATGATGATAGCCCGCAAAACATGCAGCCGAGTTACAACTACCTGTGCTAAACTGGTAAATACCAGAGAAGACAGATTCAAGCCACAAGGAAGAACTTGAAGTGATAAGCCACTGATTGGGGTTTGTTGTGTTAGCTTCACAACATACGCCAATCAGTTCCTGAACCCCAGATGAATAAGGATGTGCCAGTAAACGTTCATGAGGTCCAAGGGCACCATCCAAGAATCCGTCTGCAAAACCACATCAACCAAAGCAAGCAACCAAAGCAATATATAATGCAAGTATATAAAAAGTCAGACAAGGAAGGAAGCCTATTAATCCTGAGGACACCCACTGGAGAGAGAGTTAACTCAACCGTGCTAGAGTCCAACCAAGCCTGATGGCTTGGTTATACTGAATATTAGTATAGTTGTTAGTATAGCCAAGCCTAACAGCTTGGTTGGTTAAAAAGTCAAACAGAGCTGTGGGGAAGATATCCGGCACAGGATGCCCAAAGCTGAAGGAAGGGGGGGTGCACAGTATAATCTATTTACCTCAAATCTGATCTTCTGAATTTGAGCAGCATTTCCAGATATCCGATATAATCCATCAGTGTGTAAATTTTCGTGGTTTTTCTCTATGTGGTTAATACACTGAAGAACAAATATAGGAATTGTGGTTTTGTCCTGAATATGAAGCTCTGCGAGAGTACTGCCAAACACCGACTCTGTTGAACAAAAAGTAATTTAACCATTAAATTGGGTATAATTAATGAAACAAATTCACAGCATTACAATAATCAGCTGAAAAGTCAGCTGATTATTATATAATAATCAACAATAATCAGTTCTTTACATCTAAAAAATGCAGATGCAGAACACATTGCTATAAAACTAACACTTTTTAATGACATTTATTGAAGAAATGAATACTACACACACACACATAGTAATATATATATACACACACACACACATATAGTGATATATATATATATACACACACACACACACATAAAGCTCCCTGATCCAACATTCAGAGGTGAATACTGACAGTCTTTGCTAACATGTCCTGGGCTGAAATTCAGGCTCAGGGGATTTGGCAGTCTTTCCAATTTTCATTAAATGAGGATATCATTACATAATTTCCCATTTTCTTGAGAGGGAGTGACAATTAACAACAAAGTATGGCAAGACACCATTAAGTGAGGGAGAAATGCACTAGAATCAATATAATAATATTAGAAGTTCCACTAAAAACGACCTTACCTTTATAAATGCCCTTTTTCTCTAGAGTTTCCTTTAATGGCCTTCTTTTTATAAAATTACGAAGTTTATCAGTGATACCCTTGCTGTCAGGATTAAGGTGCTCAACACTGGCTTCACGTTTGACTGGAGAGGAAATAAAATAAATTATTACTCCCAGAACTACTGTATTTATCAAATTCAAAAAATACAGTGCAACCAAATACTTCAAGCTTGAAAAACTCTGACATTTATAGTTAGACACAATTTGTGTTGCGTTTATATTCTCTCCAAGATCAGCAACATCTGTCCACATATTGCAAACACAAGTAAGAATTTTTGTTTTTGTATATCTAAATCCTTACCTAAAGGATGATCACTAGATTTAATTAAACGGTTACATTATAAACCTGTTATAGTAAAATTAAATGACATTCCATGATGTGTGCAATGAATAGTTTGTGCCAACTCATGAAATAATTATGACATACACAGCGCTACTTAAAATGTTGGTCTGCAAGCCATTAGTTGCAGGTTGGTGGACTTCCAGTGAATTGTCCCAGGTCAGTGGTTGTCTTTATAATGATAATACATTGGGAACGTTTTCCTATTTATGGAAAGTTTTTGTCAGAGCTGAGGTAGACAGACTTTTGTCACTTTTCTTGTCAGTGTTTCTTTTGTCAGTGGTCTCCATTCTCACACGCCATTAAGCTGGACATGGAAGGATATTAACAAGATCTCATCTTCAACTTATTTACTCTCATCTTGATCTGTTCGTGCCTGTAGTGTGCATAGTAGACGGGCTTCATCTCCTAGTCAATAGAGTTTTGTTGGTACTAGGAGTCATTACCATGATGTTGGTGTAGCATCACCCAAAACACCGGGTCTACTTGTGTGGAGTGATGTTCCACAAATCGCTACATTTGATGATACAGATGTTGGGGTTACAGACTATTTCCCATATACTGTTGAGGACATAAGGGAACTGGACTATTTTATGGCATATTTCAATGAGTCACTCATGGAACATATTGTTCAGGAAATAAACAGGTATGCGGCCTATCTCATTACAGCATTGGAAAGATACCTCTGTAGGAAGGTACACTAAAGGAGTGTATCCGAACACAACAGGGACGATAACCCTGACAGTGCAAGGGTTGAACTTAAGGAGCACCCAGGAAAGGGAACCCTGAGCACATGCAGCTCCAAGCACACTAAACTCCTGGCTCACACTACACAAACATGCATAAGAACAACATCAAAAGGCAAACACCACTTAAAGAAAACAGGAGACTGGAGCCAGAGTGACTTGAGAGGGCACCAAGGCACTGGATACATCAGAATAAGAACTAGTGGTGGAGTGGCCGACTAACCCGGTCTGCCTCCTTCCTCCCCAAAATGAAAGGGGTAAGAATGATGGGGCGAATAAGCTCGAGCTAGTCTCAACAATTTTCAATCATTTGTTTACAGTGTTGGGGACATTCTTTTGGCAGTTTTGAGGCTGCACTCTCGTTTCTAACCAAGCAGTGGGGTTGTTTTGTTTCAGTGACTTCCCGGGTGCCTTCCCTTGGTGTGTGGCAGACATAAATATCTTTACATAAAAGGTTTTCATAGTGCCACCACTCCCTGTACATCTCTGAGGGGGCCAGGTTCTGACTCATGGTCCCCGGTAGACCAATAAGAACTCCGTGCCTGATTGCACCTAGTATTATGGCACTGTATCAGTGTAGTAGTTTCAGGAAGCCACTGGGGCTAGCCCTAGAAAAGGCCAAGCCCTATGGCAAGGCCAAACCAGGTCATGCAGGAGGCACATAAAATAGGCCTCACAAGTCCCGAAGGAGAACCCGAGAGGACATAACCTTTGGAAGGACACCCCCTAGAGGCCCAAAGGCACTCAAAAGTGAACCCTGGGGGAAGCTGCATGCAAAACCAACTCACACAGAGAGGGGGACAGAAAAAACCCTTCCCCCTTTACCCTCTGCAACAGAAGACCCTCTGTGGCAGATGCAATGAACCACAAAGGGCCAAAAGGTACCCACAGGCCTCCACCCAGAACCCCAGAAACCCCTATTAAAGGGCATAAGGGTCGAGCCGGCATCCAGGCCCACAGACAGATGGAGTCCAAGAGAGAGGACTCGAGGAAGGGGCCAGCTGGAAGACCCAGAAGCCTCGGTGGGACAAAAAGGAAAGGGAAAGCCCCAGGAGCTGACCAAGCCACAACCCAAGATAAATCCCACCACCAACCCTGAAGCCTTCAAATGCAACGGGGCTAAAAGCAGGAGATGGGAGCAGAGGAAGGGGAAACCACGCCCAACAGGGAGGGAAGAGGTGGTGTGGATGGAGCCAAGGTCAATACGACCAACACCCAGCTCCATGCCCAGAGCCCAACCACCAAGTGGGGCAGCTCAAGAGCATCCAAACGGGCACCCTAGACTGCAACAACAGCAAGACCAGACAAGCAAGGGTGCTGGATGATTGGAACCTCAGGTGACCTCGGCTGCCACCTGGAGGTAACTCAGATCACCCAGGAAGAAGAGAAGAAAAGGAGGAGAGAAAGGGAAGAAGAGGAAGGAAGGGAGAGTGGAGAAGGAAGGGAAAGGGGCATGGGAGACGAGAAGGAACAAGAAGGAGGGAATGGGGGGAGAAAGAAGGGGGGGAAAAGGAGGGGGGAAGGAAGGGGTAAGGGAAAGGAGGGGGGGAAGGAAGGGGTAAGGGAAAGGAAGGGGGGAAAATTTATCAGGAAAATGAGAACATAAGTACAAAGATGAGAAAAGAAGGGAAGAAAGAGGAGAGAGAAACAGAGACAATGGGGATGGGGGGGGGGAGAAGAGAAGGGGAAGGAAGGAAGAAAGTGGAAATAAAGGAGGAAGCAGGCAGGAAAGAAATGGGGGGAGGAGGCAACAAAAAAAGCAGATGAAATGGGATGAAAAGGTGGGAAAGGGGAGGAGGAGAAGAGAAGGGAGAAGTAGAAGGGAGAGTAGAGATAATTGGGAGTATGGGGAAGGAGGGAGGAGATCTGTATGAAGGTACAGCAGAGGGTCAATACAATACAAATATACATGCATGCACATACACACACACACACACACACACACACACACACACACACACACACACACACACACACACACACAGGAATGACAATACAAGACAAAAGAGGGAAAATACTGACTCTTCTCAGATCCCCGTTTTCCTTTCTTCTCTTCCTTCTCAAGCGTGGGAGCAACACTGTACTGTACACCTTCCTGTGAGTTAACAAGAAAATCATTCTTACTACAATAATGCTGTATCTTTTCTCTAGTATTTCCGGCACACTTGACAAACTACAATTATTGTATACAGATGTAAATCATTTAATCTTTCAAACTTGATACCTAAACTCAGAATTCCAGTTTAAAGATGCTATGTTTAAGATGCTAATTCCAGTTTAAAGATGCATTTATGATATTGATGCAGCAAAACTAATGTAGGAGTTTCATGAATAATGATAATAAATTTTCAAGCAAAGTGAAATGCCAAGCATGAGAAAATCTATAATATATATAAAGAAAACATTTAAATTTACCCAATACAAATTTAGCCACCCAACAACACCAGTAAGTCCAGCATTGAAAGTAATGAAATACCTCTTTCAAGTGGATCATTCGGTGGCTCCCCAAGCTACCAACGAGTGTCCTTCCAAACCTTAGGTACCACAAAGAGGCTCTAATGAATTCCAAAAGCTTACTGGAAACCAGGACAAATGCCTGGCTCCATTAATAGAGGTATAAGGAAGCCCTTATGTAGGGAAATGAGTCCTTTCCCTACAAAGAATGAATAACTTAAACAAGGAGATTGAAGAAATCGAGCAGAGACTGAAGCATTCATATCAAATTGAAGACAGCCAACTAGAACAGAAAGCAATTCAAGAAATAAAGAAAAACCCAAAATATTTCTTCACATATGCAAAATCAAAAGCAAAAACCACTACCAGTATTGGACCTATTCGTGCAAGTGAAGGTTCATACATGGAAGATGACAAAGAAATTAGTGAAATCCCCCCAAAATAGTATGAGGACATGGTTTAGCACTCCAATATACAGCATGAAAGTGGAAGATCCGGACAACTTCTTTATGCGTGATATCCAAACCCCAGTAAATATAACTGATATCAACACGTGCATGGCAGATTTTGAAAGAGAAATTGACAACATGCCCATGCACTCAGCCCCGGTTCAGACTCATGGAATTCAATATTTATAAAGAAATGCAAAGTGCCAGTAGTACAGACACTCAGTATAGTGTGGAGGAAGGCTGGTGGTCTGCCAACACATTCTGCAACCCATAAATGTGGACTGAAGATGTTACAGCTAGAGTCTAATGCCACAACAGCAAAAACTGCACAAAGCCACCATGATTCAGGCATTGTACCATCGGAGCACTGTCCAAGTGCACATTGAGCTAAATTCCTCAAGATGGGCATTCAATGTGACCTTAATTATTCAGACCAACTGATTCCTCCAGATGTCTTGGTACCTGAAAATCTAGATAACAAATAAAAGATAGCAAGATATAATTTATGTAAATATTTTTATTTTTATGTTTGTTTTAACACACACACACACACACATGCTAAAAATGCATGTGAATGTAATGAAATTCCTCTTTCTAGTGGGTCCCTGCTGTATCTCCCCGAGCTTCCCACTTAAGAGTCCTTCAAATGCAGGTACCATACCAGACAATTAAATCATTGATACCTACAGGAGACCATGACCAGAACCTGGCTCCCCTCAACAAAGGCACAGGGAATGGGGATAGAAGATCAACCTCATTACCAAGGAAAAACTCCAACAGAAAGGCAGAGTGCACAAGTGCACCAAAACAAGCAACTACTTACACAACATTTGCAGCCCTAATTCAAACTGTGTACACAACCATTGTCTTAGACCAGTTTCTAGTTAGCTTCAGTAAACCCTCGGGGCACAAATGTCAGCCCAGAACATGTTGCCAAGCGCAGCAGTCAAAGCAGCATAGTTACGAACGTGATGGGCACAAGGGTAGACCGCAAGCAGGATAGATTTATTTTAGACAACCTGAGAGACCCAAGCCCCTGAAACAGGGAATGAGGGAAATCGGCTAACCCAGAGCACGTCCATGGTAACAGAGGCCGAGGCGTGCAAATAACGGAGCAGAGCTAAAACTGGAAACAACACATGATGCACACCCGGACTGACCAACCAAGGGTCAATAACCCATGGACCCAAGAGGGGTCCCTGGCCCAAAAGACATGTGGGTTCAGACATTTAGCTCAAAGGCCCAGATCAATGCAAGCCACCATAAAGAAAATCCCCCAGAAACTTAGTCTGCAGACTGGAAGGAATGGGAAAATGCCAAACCAGAAAGAAGAGACAGAAATCCCACCAACCATTTTCCTCACAATCTTTACACAATTACAGTATTATATTCCACCTTTCTCTTATGTCTAACATCACTTTACAAATCTTTCTGCAGCAATAATTTTCCATGCATTCTATTTCTTAATAGCCTCAGAGATTTTCACTGAACCATGCAGTACGTTTTATCTCTTCCCTTTGTCATGGATTTAAACACCAGTTAAGCAAATTCATTATGATCTGGAAATGATAAGTACAGTACTCACATGTGTTTCAAGAATCTTAAACCATTCTACTGCAATGTCTTTATCTTCAAACTGAAGTAACACCTCTGTATCATGACCATTCCTCAAACCCAGCACTTGCTGTCTGCTTGTCTTCTTGTCTGTAGTGTGCTCCAAGTAGCATGTCGGATAAAACTCAAATATCTCCGCTTTCTGTAAATAAAAAAAAAGTTTACTACTGTTGTTGAGAATTTACCTTCTCGAATTTATTCATAGTAAATATACAAATATCCATAAACAATCTGCAGTACAGTACACAGAATATATAAAGTTCTTCATAAACATAAAATCAGTTCCTGTGATGCATATATATACATTGCTCACATTAAAATAAACAAATACAAACAGACTTTTTAAAGTTCACCTTATCTTCATCTTTCGTCTTGGAAAAGTAGAGAAGTCCTGAGGACCCCGAGTTAAAAGCTCCTACAATGAACCGAACATAAGATTGTGTCCAGTTTTTGCGGACCTTCTTCCCATCTCGTAAAAAGAAAGTGCGATGCAGGAATCCTTCTTTAACAATATTTGCACTTAACTCTGCCTGTGGTTAAAATAAAATAAAATTACCAATTTACAAATATGGTGGATATTTAATCACTTCACATGACAAATTTATTGTATGTACAACTTTTAATACTTCTAATTCATTATATTCTTAACTAAAGAAACCCATCCAGCTATTTCATTAAAGACTTGAATATGGATAAAATAGAATAATGTACCCCCCCCATGATAACAAAATCCCAAGGAAAGATAACCCAACTTTGTTTAAAAAAAAAAACCAGCGTTGAATGTAATGAAACGCCATTTTCTGGGTGAGTCCCGGAGGCTCCCCGGAGCTATCCCAGGCTGATATGCTAATGTCAGACTTTGGCATCAGTCATGTGTATGGAGTTCTTAGGCCTACCGGGGACCACGGCCAGAACCGGGCCCCCTCAGAGAGGCAAGGGGAGCAATGGCCTATAGAAGCCCCCGTGTTAGTGGAAGCATTCTATGTCTGCCATCGACTGGAACAGGCACCCAGAAAGGTAAGCGCCCCAAAACAAACCCCTATTCTGGTTAAAATTGCTACCTAAAACCGAACTAGTGGATAGAACTCCCCAACCGAAAACAAGCAAACTAGTGTGACGTCACACACTGCCGCGCCGCTGTCTGCGCAGCTCCCCCCTTCCCGGGAGGGGGAAGGGGGAGCCCCAGACCCCCCGCGCCGGCTACCCACACCTCAGTTCTTGAGGCTGGATGTCAAAAACGCGAAAAACCGCCGACCGGAGGGAGGGAGGGATGCCGGGGAGCCTCCGGGACTCACCCAGAAAATGGCGTTTCATTACATTCAACGCTGGTTTTCTGGGGGGAGCCCCGTCGGCTCCCCGGAGCTAACTACCCACAGACAGAAAAAGAGGGACTTACCCGGGAGGCGGTCGTCGCTCACCCCTCAACTCGAAGCCGAGACAACTGGCTGCAACCGCCGATCACAAAACATGATGCACCCCCGGCCAGACCAACCAAGCATCAACCACCCATGGACCCCTCCGGAACGCAGCAGTCTCATTCTTCGCCAGAAAAGAAGGAGACGGCTGCAAACGAACAAAACTATCACCACGACCAAAAGAGCAGAAACCCCTGCGCCGGAGGAGAGCATGAAGCTCCCCTACCTGACCCCCAGAGGCCAAAGCCAACAAGAAAAGTGCCTTGGAAAAACAATCCTGGACCGAAGGGGCCACAACGAAACGAGGAGATGAAAGGAAAGCGAGCACTCTGTCCAAAGACCAGGACGGCTCAGGCGACGCATGAGCAGGCCGGAGGTGAAACAATGCACGAGACAGCTTGCGAAACGGCGCAGACGTAACATCGATACCGAAAGCAAGCTGAAGCGGCTCCGCCAGCGCCGCACGATACGAAGCGACAGTGTTAGGCATAAGATGACGGTCCTGAAACAACCACGAGAGGAAGGACAAGACCACCCGAACAGACAAGGAGCTAACACGACGAAGACGCAAAAAGAAACGGAAGGACCGCCAGGAAAACTGCATACTGCCGCCGAGAAGAAGCCCTCAGGTGGGACACCAACAAGGAGGCCACCTGATCACCATAGAGATGATGATAGACTCGAGTCAAAAAAACCATACGCGAAGACTCGAGGAGAAGATCGAACCAGCTACGTGACGTACTGGCCCGATCTGCTGAAAGAGGCGGAGCCGCGGGAAAAACCCTCGGGTTCGGACACCGAGCAACCAGCGCCTGAAACCAAGGCTGGGCCGGCCACCAAGGGGCCAGAAGGACAACTCTCCCCCGGTAAGTCTCTAAGCGAGTCAGGACCTGGAGCAACAGCCGAACCAGGGGAAAGAGATACAGGAACCCCCACCTCGTCCAGTCGAGCCGAAAGGCATCAACCCCGACGGCCTCGCAATCGGGGAAGGGCGCCGCATAAACGGGAAGACGCCGCGACCACGCCGACGCGAAGAGGTCCACCTCGGGGCGCCCGAACGTCTGGCAAAGCCAAAGGAAGGACTCGTCGTCGACCGTCCACTCCGTGGAGAGAGGAACGAAGCGAGACAGGGCGTCGGCCAAGACGTTGGACACGCCCCGTACGTGAACCGCCAGGAGAGCCAAACCCCGAGAACTCAGCAGACGAGTCACCTGAAGCGACCAACCCCAAAGAGACAAGGACCGCATCGAACCCCCGCGGTTCAGGCAATGAACCACCGGAGAGCAGTCCGAATGGAGCCGAATCGTCGATCCGCGGGCCACCCGAATCCTCCCCAGAGCAAACCACACTGCCGCGAACTCCCGCACCGTACTGTGAGCTCGACGGAAGGACGGATCCTAACGCCCCTGGCCGGCCTGGTGAGCACTGGTCACAAAACCCCAGCCGAGACGACGCATCCGTGTACACATCGAGTGAGGGCTCGGGTAGGCGCCAAGGCACTGAACCCCGAAAAACCCGAAGAGGAAACTGGTGACGCAGCAACCGACGCAAGTCCCCCGGGGGTCGAACTCTGCGATCGCGAGAGAGGCGGAAAGGGGAACCCCGAAGGAACCAGAACAGCCGTCGAAGCCAAACCCGACCCGGCGGGTAGACCACCATCGCGAAGTTCAGGCTCCCGCACAGCCCCTCGAGCAACCGCCGGGTGACCCGAGGGCCCTCCAGAAACAGACGAAGGCGGGACCGCAGCCGCAGGAGAGACTCCGGAGGGAGAGACAAGGAGGCGGTTCGAGAGTCCCACACGAGACCCAGCCATGTCCGAACCTGAGAGGGAACCAGATGGGACTTCCTCCAGTTCACCAAGAACCCGAACCCGGCGAGCTGGGAAAGAACCAAATCCCTGGCTAGCAAGCAAGCTGACTGGCTGGGAGCCCAAACCAGCCAGTCGTCGAGGTAGGCCAACACTCGAACACCTAGGAGACGCAAATGAGCCACCACAACCCGTGTAAGGCGTGTGAACACGCGAGGTGCCAGGTTCAACCCGAACGGGAGACAACGAAAGCGGTAACTCAGACGCCCCACTACAAAACCGAGCCAGTCCCTGAACCGCGGATGAATCGGGACATGCCAATAAGCGTCCCGGAGGTCCAGGGACACCATCCAAGCTCCCGGCTCCAAGAGGAGCCGAACCTGAGACAGCGTAATCATCCGAAAGGAGGGGCAATGAACCCAGGGGTTCAGACGGGACAAGTCCAGAATGAACCGCAGGTCCGCGCAGTCCCGTTTCGGAACCGGAAACAGACGGGAAACCCATCTGAGGGACGACGTCGTTTCGACGACGCCCAAGCGTACCCACTCCAAGACGACTCGACAGAGCGCAGGGGAAGAAGCCTGCCCTGCCAGCCCCGACCCCCCAAAGAGGGGAGGGGCCACCCAACGCCACCGCAGGCCGCGAGACACGACCCGAAAGGCCCACGAATCGTGGGACCAGGCGCGGGCGAACAGCGCAAGCCGCCCCCCCATCGCCCCGTCAAAGGGGCAAACCGCGAAAGGGCCGGCGACCCCTACGAGACCCAGAACCCCGCACAGCGCGAACACCGCGCCGACCAGACGAGGGAGGGTCCGCAGGAGGAGCCAACCCCAAACCTGACACCAGAGGCCTACCACGACGAGAGGAACCCCGAGCCCTGGCACGACCTTTCCGGGAAGACCCACCCCGGGACCCCCGGAAAACTAACAAGTCCGACATCAGACGACAAGCCGCCGACGCAGCCTGAATAAACTGCGCCACGGCCGACTCCCCAAACAGGAGAGGACAAAAAGGTGAAGAACGCCTAAGAGCCAGAGCCCAAGCAGATCCCATGGAGGAACCCAGCACCGCCTGCCGACACGCGAGACGGGAAGCATAGAACAGGGAAACCGCATCCCGCAAAATCGGCGTGAACAGCTTCAACAAGGCAGCCGACGAACGCGCAGCCGAGGACAAGGTGCCGGACCCCGGGACGGACCCAAGCGTCCCCACATCCTCCACGAGCCAATCCGAAGACAGCTCCAGGAGGGAAAAGAACCGCAAGGCCGAACACAAAAGGCCCCGAGCGCGCAAGTCCTCCGCCACGAGCGCCGCCGAAAGGGAGGGAACCTGCACATGGAGCTGAATAACGCCCACATCGCGGGGAAGGGCAGGGGCAAACAAGCACTCAGTCAGGTACTCAAGTTCACCCCCCAGGAAAACCTGAAGCACCGTGGAAGCTTCCCGCCACTCCAGCGTGCGGGAACGACAGAAGGAATGCCAGGAATCCAGACCAAACAAGGGGCAGTCTGCTAGCCAGGACGACTCCGGAACCTCGTAACGGAGCCAGAAAGGGAACGAAGTCCCAAACCTGAACGTGGACGGATCCATTTCCGAGGCATAATCCGGGTCACGCAGGAGGTAAGCTGCAAAGGCCGCTCGCACCACACCAGGTTGGATGCGATAAGCCGAAAACCTCCGGAAGGACGGAACCGACGTACCCGGGGGAACACGGAACCGTACCCGGGGAGGGGCCTACACCAAATCCAACTCGTACGCAGAGGGGGGGAAAGAAAACCCCACTCCTTGTAACAATAAGCCCCGCTCAGTGGGAAGAAAAACCCAGGCGGGGTCCAGCGGGGCCCAAGGCCCCCAAGTCAGCCCCTCCCCAGCCTCGAGGTCCGTCACCACAGGACCCGAGGCCGAGTCCTCTCCCCAAGCCCCGACCCCACAAGACAAGGACGGAGCAGCCGGAAAAGCTGGAGGAAGAGGAGCCCACTGGTCAGACCCTGAAGCTTCGGCCGGGAGACAAGACTCGAATGCCTCTGCCGCCCCCCCGGAAGGGGCAACCCCCGAAGCTGCCCGAGTCTCGAGATCAAGTAACCCCTGCTCCGACCCCGAAACCCTCAGACGCTTCGGGGCCGGAAGCAGGGGCGGGGGACCAGAACGAACAGAAGGGGAAGGACGAGGAGGTGCGGACTGAACCAGGATCGAAGCGACCCCCACCCCCAAGTCCGGGTCTCGAAGAGCAAAGCGGGGCAGCCCCGGGGCATCCGGGGAAGCAACCAACCGAGCGCGTTGCAACAGACAGACGGATAGTCTCACCACTCAATAGGTGTAGGTACGTAGGTAGGCAGAGATGGCAATTACAGATCTTTAGTCTTTACCTGCTGCGGGGCCCTGTTTCACAACCAGGGCCATAACGATTGATCACTTACAAAGTATTTAGAAGTAAACACATATATATTTTTTATTAAGTATCTTTTACGGCTCTTACCCATATCTAAATAATGTTTTCTTCTCATAGACAAAAGACTAGGAGTACGCTAACAGCTGTTCTTCCTCATTAGACAGAGAAAGGTACATTTCACACGTGTTGGCGGACCTAGACTGCAACGCACGTGCCGCCTGTACCCGAATAGAATCAGAGGATTGGGTAAATTGAGTCACAAGCAAGCAGCAACACTCACAGGACTCAGGGTCGAAAGTATCACCGACCCAACAGGCAGCGTGGCAGAGGCAAAAACAATGAGGGTCACCCTGAGACAAGGGGACCGAGCAACCCTCAAACTCGCACACAGCGAGTGGGGACTCCGGGGTCACATCCATCGGACCCACGCGCCCCCTAGGGGATTCCCAGGGTCCTGAGCGTTTACTTTAAGAGGACTCGCGCTCAGGTAGTCCCAGGCAGGGTGCTGCAAACCGGCGCCCAAAACTACCAAGCAAACTTCTAAAGCTGAACCCCAGGGACGTGTACACTCACGGGGACCTAGCAGGGGGCGCCACCGAGGAGAACAGTGGAAGGGCAAAAACAAACTGAATAAAATGACAGAACCCCCCACCAGGCAAAAACAAAAAGAAAAACAAAACCCCGCAAGAGGACAGCGAACCCCAAGGAACAGAGCCGGCCGCGATGTCGGGAAATACAAGCTGAGCAGCACCCTGCGCCCCTACCAGTGCAAACTGCCTCTTACCTGCCGGTAACAAGGGAGAACAGAACACCCAAGAGCCCAACAGGCGGCCGAAAAACCGAAAGGTAAAACGGACCAGCAGAGGCAGACCCCGAGGAGCCTGTGGAAGGTGGCCCCAAGCCCCAAGAGCAGTACTTACAGGGCACCTAGGGAAGGCAGCCCTAGGCGCATGCAGCCCGAGTACTGAAGATAACTCCTGGCTCTCGCACCCACAAAACTAACACCACACGCAAAGCACAGTGCAGTAGCGACACCGGAGCCAGAGCACACGACCATCGCCTATAGCATCAGCCTCAAGAACTGAGGTGTGGGTAGCCGGCGCGGGGGGTCTGGGGCTCCCCCTTCCCCCTCCCGGGGAGGGGGGAGCTGCGCAGACAGCGGCGCGGCAGTGTGTGACGTCACACTAGTTTGCTTGTTTTCGGTTGGGGAGTTCTATCCACTAGTTCGGTTTTAGGTAGCAATTTTAACCAGAATAGGGGTTTGTTTTGGGGCGCTTACCTTTCTGGGTGCCTGTTCCGGTCGATGGCAGACATAGAATGCTTCCACTAACACGGGGGCTTCTATAGGCCATTGCTCCCCTTGCCTCTCTGAGGGGGCCCGGTTCTGGCCGTGGTCCCCGGTAGGCCTAAGAACTCCAGAAACACATGACTGATGCCAAAAATACACATGACTGATGCCAAAGTCTGACATTAGCATATCAGCCTGGGATAGCTCCGGGGAGCCGACGGGGCTCCCCCCAGAAAACAGCATTGAATGTAATGAAAAGCCATTTTCTGAGTAAGACCCAGAGGCATCCCGGAGCTAACCGGGCAAATATGAATGTATTAGACCCTGGCATCAGTCAATGCGCATGGAATTCTAGGGCCTACCAGAGACCACGAGCCAGAACCTGGCCCCCTCAGAGAGGCACGAGGAGCAATGGCCTATAGACACCCTCGTGTGGCAGATTTACCCCACTACTGTACCTGCGGGCTACTGGTTCTGTACCAGTGGATGCTCTCTGGGTGGTTCTGGTTACCTTGGTTCCCTGTTCCAGGGCTCGTGTCTCAGGTTTTCTGCAGTGCCATGAAATTTAGCCAGCATGTGGTCTATCCTCATGCCGAGGGTAGTCTACCCTCGAGCCTGGCCACCAGGGGCAAGATTCACGAAGCAGTTACGCAAGCACTTACGAATGTGTACATCTTTCCTCAATCTTTGACAGTTTTGGTTACAATTATTAAACAGTTTACAAGCACGAGAACTTCCCATTCAACTGTTGTTATTGATATAAACAGCCTCCTGGTGCTTCGGAGCTCATTAACTGTTTAATAATGGTAAAACAAAGCCGCCAAAGATTGAGAAAAGATGTACAGGCTCGTAAGTGCTTGAATAACTGCTTCGAGAAACTGGCCCCTGGTGTCTTGTGACCGTTCCGGTTCCTTCCCAGCCGTGTGTAGCTTTGAGGCCCCTGTCGCAGCCTCGTCTTGAGACCTTCAGTGCTGCCGCCTCCCGGGTATGTCTCCCCTTTTACTTATCTTTGGGTAGTTAGCTTCAGGGAGCTGATGGGGCTCCCCACAGAAAACCAGGCCAGAAAATTGCCCAGTACATGTATTGCCCAACATTCTCCCTCCTTACAGTCAGCAATTTTCATTGTTCAAGAACTGGAGTGGTGGGCTCTGGGGAAAGCTGGCAGCATCACGGTCAGTATTGCTAACAGGGGAAGGGGGGATTATCCTAACAAGCGGGAGTGCTAGTTGCATGAAGTGTTGCTTGTTGGGTTTCTTTCTATTGTTGAGTTATTTTCATCTTTTTGAACGTAGATTGCACAGGCTAACCAGACCGTGGTTTGTTTTGTTTTGCCTACCTTTATGGGTGCCTTTCCTGGTCGATGGAAAGTATGACATACTTAAAATGTAAAGTGCTCATAGGCCATTGCTCCCTGTGCCTCTGAGGGGACCAGGTTCTAGTTCGTGGTACCCAGTAGGCATAAGGACTCCTGTGACTGATGACCCCAAATATACTGTAGTACAAATCAGTTTGGATAGCTTCAGGGAGCCGATGGGGCTCCGCACAGAAAAGTTCCCCAAAACAACATTTCCAAAGATGGTCCACAAGAGATAATGCATTTAAATGGTTTGTTTACCTAACTAGTTTATTCTCAAGACATTAAAGAATCCTTTTCAAAGACTGCTTAGATTTACATACATTATGTTATATTATTAGTACAGCACATGGCTACTGAACACAACTCACCAAATTCTCTGCTATGGTGGAAACTCTGATCCCCTTGCCGTCCACGGAAGAGTTGTCACAGTCGTCAATCTGTAAATTTCAAGATAAAATTAAAATAATATTCCCAACATGAAACATGATTTAAGAAATTAAAAGAATAATAAAAATACAGTGTGATGGTGTACAACTTGTCATACCTGAAAATGTTGATCTGGAGTTTCTCTATGCTGCGGTTAAAACAACATTTTGCCTTCGCTCTCTCCTCTAGGTACTGTATACAGATTTGTATACTGTAACGAGTAAAAACTGAATACAGATTTATATACTGTATCAAGTAAAAACTGTATACAGATTTTTAGCTGGTTTAAATATTACTTACCATAGAATGCAGCAGTCTGTTTTACATTTTGTGATACTGTACACAACATGTGTAGATTAGGCTTACTCTGTAGTTAAATGGTGTGCTGGAGTTCTCTATTTGCATTTCCAGGCAGTGAACCATAATATACAAAATCATGGTTCACTGTCGCTGAACCAATAGCGCGCAGGTAGCAAAGTAAAGCCACAACTGGACACAAAATATGATGCACCATGACCAAGCGAACCCACTCCGAGATGACTCGACAGAGAGAACAAGCTGGACCTGGGACAACATGGTCATCCGAAAAGAAGGGCAATGAATCAACCAGTTCAGATGAGACAAGTCCAGAATGTTCCAAAGATCTGCACAGTTCCATTTCGGAACTGGAAACAAGCGGATCGTAGGTGTCTACGGACTACCAACACAACTTAGGCTTGCCTAATAAAAGCTAAGCAGTCCTTCTCTGTCTACAAAAAGCGAAAACACTAGAAAATAAAAACAAAAACTCCCCAAGACACACAACAAACTGGCTGTCAGAGAGAATCGTCGGCCGCTGTGTGTGCAAGTTGCGCCGGCCGCAGTACATGTTGCCCAGTACATGTATTGCCCAGCCAATAATGCCTCTCCACCCGGGGCGAAGACAACCTCAAGAGAAGAAGTCCACTATAGAGAGTAATTCCTGAACTTTTTGGATGTAGGTTGCAATTTTTACCAGACAGTGGTCTGCTTTGATTCGCCTACCTTTCTGGGTCCTTCCCCAGTCAATGGCAATTATGACATATATACTTGAGATGTAATGTGCTCATAGGCCATTGCTCCCTGTGCCTCTCTGAGGGACAGGGAACCAGAACTCTGGTTCTGGCTCGTGGTCCCCAATAGGCAAAGAACTCTTGTGACTGATGACCTCCAAACTAATATAGCACTATATCAGTTTGGATAGCTTCAGGAACCTGACTGGGCTTCCCACAGAAAATGTATTAACAGCAATCACAATGTCACATGCATGTATGTAAAAAAAATAAACACAGTTTCAGTGTCATTCAAACTAAAAGGAGCTAATTTTGCAAGATAGTAAAAAAGAAATGTGCAGATAAAGAAAAGTAATAAGCAACTTTTGCAGTGAAACTTACCTGGCATTAGGTTACAGTCCACTGTGTATCTGAGGTCACTTGATTCACTTTAACGTGTAATAATAAATACTTCTCACTTCTACAACTAAATTACACAAACCATAAATTATTTACCCCAATGTTAAGCTGCTAAAATGCTAATATTGTCCAAAATAAACTGAGTAATTAAACTATTACATGGTCAGATTTTTATAAACTATTGCCATTATTTCATTTACAAAATCAAAGTGTACTCTCTGAACTGTTTATGGTGTTTTTTGACAAAAATATAAAAATTTAAATTATGGAATTTGGCATCTCTGAGACATCATGTATCTAACTCATTTGTTGAGTGAGACACCTAATGTCTTGGGAATATAAATAGACACCTAATGTCTCAGGGATATATATATATCGACTTATTAGTTGAAAAAGAAACTCAACAACACACATGCCAGGTTTCTAACCTAAAACTAATGTTTTACTTATGTATATGATTAAAGTTAATGATTCAGAAAGACTACATTCATTTCCCGGTAAAACTCCACTGCTACAATACTTAAATCATCTACATACCTGTGGAAGTCTCCACAGACTTTTAGAACCCGACTCTTCGTAGTAGTAGATCTTGCCTTCATCATTATTCGTCGCCAGCCACTATTGATACACACAGTATAAGAAGAGTACACTGCCAAATGCAAGCAACAACGGTGAATTATCTTAAGCATAGCCAATATGATGAAGCTCAGCTCACTATCTGCCTTGCTGCATAGCAGTGAAATGAAAGACAAAAATCATGGCACTACTATGCCTCACAAAGAATGTATAAGTAAAATGATATAGCAAAAAGAGCTTAATATCTAGGATCATGATTTTTTGGAGCACTTCTTGGGCAATCTTAATATTTATGGAAAGTAATCAAGATTGACTTTTAATAATTAGGCATATGTGTAGCAAGAAAATGATAAGCATTAGCAAATAAGGTTAACAAAATGATGAAAGAAATATTACGTCAGCTATTATATTTACTGTATATATTGTAAATAATAAAAAGACATGGAAAAGAAAGGTGACTGATGATCAGTTGGTTAAGTGCAAACAAATTGGAAAAAAAATTGTTTGATGAAAGCAATAAGGAAAAAATAGAATACTTATGGAGACTATAAGATAATTTTAATGAACTTTATAACGCTCAATTTAAACTTAAAAATTATAACAAGATATCAATTTTCAACGAACACAGAAAGAGACCAAGTATGATACAGTACTTGATATGAGGAGAATACAACTAATAAAATTAGGTATGTTTTGACTGAAGATTATCAAGAGGTATCCCAGATGGGCATCTCAGGATATGAACGGAGACATGTGAGGACTTCTGGGGGGGTGCAATGGTTACAATGTGCTGTAACGAGTACAAGGAATATAATGAGTTTAGGTTAGTGTAATGAGTATATGCTCCTTTAATGAAAAGGAGGAAAAGTAGTTGAGGGTGTGGAGTTAAGTGTTGATGTTGTGGTCTTGTGGTGGTGGTGATGTAGCAGTGCTTACCAATCAGTGACTATGGAGGAGTTAGACCTAGCTCTTTATACCTCACCTCCTAGCCATTTTTACCTGATGCACTCATTACTTTCCTCGGCAAAATGTTTTCTTTCCATTTTTTCTTAAAATTGTGGATGGAATTGGCTGTATCAACCTCTTGTTTCAATGAATTCCACTTGCTGACCACAAGTATGGGGTATGTGAAATTTCCTTAAATCTCCACAACCTCTCAATTGCGTGTCAAGCTTCCACTGATGTCCCATTGTCCTACCTCCTTTTAATTTAAATAAGCCTTCTTTATCCACACTGCTTATTCCTCTCAGGGTCTTGCATGTAGTGATCAAATCCCCCCCCCCCACCCCTGTTTCTTCTTTCTAAAGTTGTAAGGGCAAGTTCCATCAACCCGTCCTTACAGCCGAGCCTCTCAAATTCTGGTACTAATCTAGTTGCAAACATCTAAACTTCCTCAAGCTTCTTTTTGTCCTTTGCAAGATGTGGGTTCCATGCTGGTTCTGAATACTTTGGTAATGTTTCACATATGCAGTGTGTATCGACTTAAAAGCCTCCTTGTTTAGATTCTTAAATGATGTATTTATATTTGCTAACTTCTCATATGCTGCAGATAATATTCGGTTCACAAGAGCATCAGTGTTACGTGCTGGGATTACGTCTACTCTCAGGTCTTTTTCTCTTATTGTTTCTTGTTTCCTTCCCCTTTTGGTGTACTTAAATACACTGGGATTACGTCTACTCTCAGTTCTTTTTCTCTTATTGTTTCTTGTTTCCTTCCCCTTTTGGTGTACTTAAATACACTGGGATTACGTCTACTCTCAGGTCTTTTTCTCTTATTGTTTCTTGTTTCCTTCCCCTTTTGGTGTACTTAAATACACTGGGATTACGTCTACTCTCAGTTCTTTTTCTCTTATTGTTTCTTGTTTCCTTCCCCTTTTGGTGTACTTAAATACACTGGGATTACGTCTACTCTCAGGTCTTTTTCTCTTATTGTTTATTGTTTCCTTCCCCTTTTGGTGTACTTAAATACACTAGGATTACGTCTACTCTCAGGTCTTTTTCTCTTATTGTTTCTTGTTTCCTTCCCCTTTTGGTGTACTTAAATACACTAGGATTACGTCTACTCTCAGGTCTTTTTCTCTTATTGTTTATTGTTTCCTTCCCCTTTTGGTGTACTTAAATACACTGGGATTACGTCTACTCTCAGGTCTTTTTCTCTTATTGTTTCTTGTTTCCTTCCCCTTTTGGTGTACTTAAATACACGTTTCCTATCTCCCTTAGACATTTTCATAACTATACATTTATTTTGATTGAATTCTAGCAGCCATTTATCTGCCTTCTCAAGTTTGTCAAGATCATCTTACAACACACTACAGTCCTCTTAACACTTTCGCGCTCCGTGGAAACTCGCGGTTGACAGGGGGATCGTGGCCCCTCCGTGCGGGTAAGCGCGCGGTGACACTCAAATGTGTATACTCGTTCCAGTTTTCTCACCTTAATTCTCGCGCTACGTCGCTCATTCTGGTATCATTGTGTTCGCAATTAAATTCTCTACAGGTGTGTATAAATATAATGTCCAAAAGCCTAGCGTGACTCCCAACAGCAAAGCGTAAAGTCGGCAAAAACGCACAAAATCAGTAACATGTGCATTCTCGTTCCATTTTTTTACCTTAATTCTCGTGCTACGTCGCTCATTTTGGTATCATTGTGTTCGCAATTAAATTCCCTACAGATGTGTATGAATAAAATGTACAAAAGGCTGGAGTGCCTCCCCGCAGAAAAGCCTAAAGTTACCCATGAACGAGCACCATTTTGTACATTGCAACCTAATGTTCAACTCGTTCAATTTGATAACATCAAATTTCGTGCTACGTCGCTCGTTTTGGTATCAAATTGTTCGCAATAAAAAGGCGATTATTTTAAAACTAGTCCCAGAATAATAGAGCAATAACTGGATTTTTAACAAATATTTTAATTCTGGACGCTAATCATCACAAATTTATTTATATCTTTCCAGTGTTCTGACATAAATATTTGTGTTACATCTTTCATTTTGGTATCAAATTGTTCGCAATAAAAAGGCGCACATTTTAAAACAAGTCCCAAGATAATAGGACAATAAATAGAATTTTAACAAATATTTTAATATTCAGACCATAGACCTATTTATAATATTTCAAGTGTTTGGACATCAAGTTTCATGTTATATCTTTGATTTTGGTATCAAATTGTGTGCAATCTAAAGGCGCTTATTTTAAAACCACTACCAGATTGATCTGATAAAATTTAAATTTTTAAAAAATATTGTAATGAGTGACTCAGTATTGCGTCGTTGGAACACATTCAGTAGAAAAATAAGTGACGAATTATTCAGTCTGTGGAACGCGAAAGTGTTAAGTTCTTACTCTCCTCGTTAACACTTTGAGCTGCTTTGTTATAGCTCCTCATTATAGCTTTGGGCTATAGAAAGCGATACTTATCACTTTTATGGATCATCAACAGGTGGAATGCATTGATAGAATAAGTCGAGGAAGCCACCTCCATTCCCACAGCTTTAAGGCCAGACAACAACAACGCATTCAAATGTCAGGAAAGTTAAAATAAAATGTTGAAATACAGTAAGGCAAGTAGGTGGGGTACAGTGAGTTTGATCTCACTTTTCCACCCACCCAGGTAAGCACCATACAATACATACATCTTGAAAAAAGCCAAGTGATACGAGAAGACGTTCTCCAGATATTATACAACAAATTTTGGAACAAAAAATTTGGTTGATAAATATTTTACATAACTGTGCATTTCAAATTACATTAAGTTATTTTGTAATCAACCCAAAGTTACCCATTCTAAATTATTGCAGTCCTGCTAATTTCTTCTACATACTGCATCTAGATGAAGTTTGTTTGCTATAGTCAATGAAAAATGCAAAAATATTAATATAGAAAACTGCCACCCTACAAACATATCTTTTTAAACATTTTAGAAACAAATATATTAAACCAAAATCAAGTGTCTTCACAACCACTCAAGTTAAAACAGTATCAGTACAAATGCACGCTCATTCATACATACATGCACACATTGCATAACAAATATCAAATTACAGGTATATATACAGCTTGTATGTATGTGTGTATATGTATGTGTGTATGTATGTGTGTATGTATGTATGTATGTATGTATGTATGTATGTATGTATGTATGTATGTATGTATGTATGTATGTGTATGTATGTATGTATGTATGTATGTATGTATGTATGTATGTATGTATGTATGTATGTATGTTTGTTAAACATTTAGTTCTTTCATGCACATTTTCTATATACAAATCAAATGTTTATTTGCTATACAATAATATATATTTTAACACCAAAGAAAGAAACTTATCTCTGTCTCACTTTGGGGAAAAATCTTGTTTTTTGAATACAGTACTTTTAATTGAAATGCACCTTTCTGAGCAGGACACTCGACTGCTTCCATAGGCACAGTCCTACTGGTCCCTTGGGCGGGACGAAATGGTCAATGGCAGGTCACTTTTCCATTACAGTCCAGAAGGGTTACTTTCAAATGTTCTTGCCATTTCATGATGGTGCTAAGGCAACACTAGAGAATGTTCATCCATTCCAAAACTACATCCAATACACTCAAAGCTCTTCAAAATGCTGCTTGGATACATAAGTACAGCAAAATACAGTAGCCAGTGCTCTTCATACAAGGGAACTATGGATATTGTGGGATAAATAATTTTTCATAACATGATCACTATTGCAGACGAGGAGTCACAATAACGTACCTGAAATATGTTGACCAAATCACACACTTAAAAGTGAAGCGACGACAAAAACCACACCACAGTTGTTGCTTCACTTTTTAGTGTGTGGTATAGTCAACATGATCATTATTCCTTAGAGACCTCTGGTAGTCACAGACTCAACCTTACATCTGTTGAAGTGCTGTACAGTTTTCCACACAGTCTAACATCATGGGATGGTATCCACATAGGCAATTATAAAAATCCTCCAGAAATGACATTTGCAGAAGGGTTATGTAATTATCAGAAGGAACTAAGCCAGTATAGCAATGCAGTATAACCAGTGAGTG